TTTAATAAGTTGTACTTATGCATAATTTACTTGTAATCTTGAATTTTAAGTAATATGCATCAATATACACTACTTTATGACTAAAAAATAGTTTTTAAGAGTTTTTGTCGAATGTTTTATAATATAGTATTGATAAAGATGGAACACAAAGCCATAACCGCAAATAATTGAAAATTGAAATTGATTTTTTATAGTTCGGCATTGTAAATTGTAATTCTTCAAATTATTTTGTGATAGCATTGAATTTCTTTTTGGACCCGTTATTGATGTTAAGGGTCGTTTACTCGATTGCTTATCCGGTAAGCGCTTGCCGATAGGAGTCAACATTATGATTTATTTTGTATGCATAAGATTTTAGTATAACAAAACATATCGAATGCAACAATTTAGTGGGTAAGCGCTTACCTGGGTAAGAGTCGTCATCCTCACTCATCGGGTAAGACTCTCCATCATGTTCATCCGATGAGGAAATTTATCCGGTAAGTACTTACCTAGTAAGTGTTTATTAAACGGCCCCTTAATGAACCAAATGACTTGTTTACATTACTTTCCACAAACTCAAGTACGATTTGCTTTCAATTACGAATTTTGGCATTGGTATCTGTTATTAATCATACGATCAGTAGGGGTGCTCAAAAACCCAACCCAACTTAATGTGAAATAACTCAACCTGAAGCAATCCGATGTTTAATCGAGTTGTAAAATTTTCAAACGGTGGGTATTAGGTTGATACTGGGTTACTATTATTTGAACTCAACCGAACTCGATGAACCCGATATCCTTTTATTTCTTGGATTTAATATGATTGTTGAATTTCTATTAATATATACATTAGACAATTACACTATGACGTACGTTCTTCGTATGCACATATTTTCAATCTATTCACATCTCTATATAATTCATTCGTATACATGTTCAGTGATTGTGAATATATATATATATATATATATATATATATATATAAATTGAGAAATTAATTGAATGTGATATACGTAAGAAGTGTGGATAAGTTACATCAAATGATTAATGATGAAAAAGAAATTATGAATAGAGAAATAACATATTCAAGGCTAGAAAAATATTTTAATGCACCAAAACATCAATCCGACCAACCCGTAGGAGTTGGGTTGGGTTGGGTTGTACTTTGGTTTGGGTTGAGTTAAGATTTTTCAAACCGCAAGCATTGGGTTGGGTTGTTCAAAAGTCTTAAACCCGTACGGGTGGGGTTGACCGGGTTGAAGACATTTGAACAACCCAACAAATAAGCACCCTAGCATGATGTACTAGAAAATTTACGAATGATGAGACCTGTTGGATGAAATATGAAAACGCACTTGTAGTGGATGATGGTCTTCAACGGAAGTCCTGAGAGAATATCGATCGTCAACTCTGCTAGTAAGTCTTCCATGGATGGATCGATGTTATATTTTTTTAATTAACCTGGATATCCAACCCGCTATGCGAGCCGACTAACCCCAAGGTGACCACTTGCTTTGCAGATAGCCCGGAGTCATCGCATTTGAACCTCCGTGGCCACAAGGGGATTTTTATTCCTCCTTGGATTTGAACCTGAGACCTTCTGGTACTTTTGACCTTTGGATTCAAGCTCAAACCAATCAGGTACCACCCATTCGATTAATGTTCTGAACCAACAAAATTAGGGTTTTTCTTAAAAAAAAATTGACATATGGAAGAGATTTACTAGAGCTGGAGATGGGGAAAGAAATAGGCGATTGATTTTAGTTTTTTGTCGATGTCGATGTCGATGCCGATGCCGATGACACCATCTCCTCCTCTGTCATCAGAGGTGGCGTTTAGGTTGGTCCCCCTTGGCTCAAAACGAGACTCATTAAACTCTTTAAACCGCTAACAAACAGACTCTTAGCCAACGAGTGTCGAGGCAAATAAATCGTCATCTTCAAGTTTTTGACCATGTTAGGTCCTGCATCTCAAAAAACCATCTTAAATTATAGATTTTAAGGGTGCATTTGGTATTCAGACATGACGTAAATGACAGAACGAGACAGGACAACATAGAACATGACAACACATAACAGTTGTTTGGCTGGACAGAACATGATTGATAGAATGACCAAATTACCCCTAATGATTTACTTATATATTTTTTACATCTTGATTAATTTATGCAATTTATTAAATTATAAAGAAATAAATATTTTTTATAACAAATTATATCATTAGAAACTTTTCATCAATTAAAATGACACCAAAATATGAAGTTTATTAATTTCCAAATTTTATTTTATACATTTTTATATTATTTTTTATTATTAATATTTCATATAACCAAAATATACAAAACATAAAAAAAAAATATTTTAAGGATAGTAAAGTGTAAGTTTAAAGAGGATAAAATGTAAAGAGAAAGATACGGATTTGATGTTCTAAAAGAGAGTTGGATTGTATTTTGATTGTATACTGGTAAAATATAGGTTTGTCTCACCTTGTTACATGGAGTGGAGGTGGAACATGCCTATTCCATTTTGTTACTGTCTGTTTCACATAAAAGTCATGTTAAACATGAAACAATGATCTATGTTATGTTCTGTCATGTAAATCTAAAAAAAACCCTTAATTACAACATTCCAAGCGTAACGTACAACTCAAGACTTCAACTTTTATAGCAGGCAATTATGCTCCCCGGTGATTTCCGCTTCCAAGAAATCGATTCCGCCTCTTTTCTAAGCTCTTTCCCTGCATCAAAAATAACTTTGTAGACTTTCCCTTCAGGTCAAACCGCGATTTTGCAGACCAACATTAACGATGCAACCGCTCAGATAAATTCTTAGGTCCGCTACTAAATTCTTAGGTCAGTTCATAAAAAAAAAGTCATTAGTTAACACCAACGCTTCACATCTGCTTGATCATCAAAAACCCAGTTCATAATTCAAACGTTCAACAAGTGTTCATATTCATCTTTCAAATCATTCGATACAGGTTTAAACCCATTAAAACGATGTTAAACCAGTAATAATTACATATACATTTTAGGCCTCATATTTCTCAATCCATCAAGAAAAGAAAATGGATAAAAGACATGTGATTGAGAAGTCTTCTTTGATGTTTTCCAAAAGATAATTTTAAAGTGAATTGGAGTTAAATATTTGGCTTTAAATTCTTGTTTTCTTCCTTTTGTTTACTCTTCACAACCATCTTTTTTTTATTTTTAATTATTTTAAATTATGTAAATATCTCTAACTTTTTTTATTATTGGATTTTATTCCTTTATATTTTCTATAGATTTTAATTTCAGATATTATTTATGTATCTATTGTGTCTGAGTCAGTTTGTATGCACCTCAACTAATCTGAGAAAGTTCGGAGAACCGCCAGAAAATCTCTGATAACATTACAAGACTTGAACTGATACCATCATATGATTTAAAGTTCATAAGATTTCGTTTCTATATAGATATTTTATAGGGTTGTTTATTGGGATGAAACTGGAACCAAAAGCTCAAAACATAAACCATCTTGAAGGAATTCATTTCTGACTTGATAAAATCGGCTCGGTCTTGAACTGAATAATGAACCAGATATGAAGTCGAGTCTTTTTTATTTAAACTTTATGAACTTGTAGCGATGTTATTAAAAATCAAAAAATTAAGCACAAGAGTGGTGTCTGATTGGTTTGAGTTTGGACTCCAAAGATCAAAAGTGTCTGGTAGTGATGGCCAAAACTGGTCCCGGGCTGGGCCACTTACGTCTGACCATAAGCGTTCCCGACATTACCGGTCCCGGTTGAAAAAGGTGAGTGCGGTTAAGCTTATGTATAACCGGCTATGGGCCGCCTATCCCAATTTTATTTTTTTAATGATGTATATTTTTAATACATTATAAAATTTGTAATTGGTTCATTCAAATACACTTTAAAAATGCATTTTATTATAATAAAAATTACATTGTCTTACAAAAATACATTATAGAATTATTTAAAAACACACTTATTCATCAATCATCATCGGTATCCCATGTCGGATTGATTTGAAGAGCACATGTGTCTTGAATTCTTCTAATAGCCTCTTGGCCATCAAGGTCATCAATGTCGAGTTCCTCATCATCGTCATATTGTGAGTAAGTGTCTTCAGTATCTGTAGTTGGCGTCTGGTAATCCTAGGTTCAAATCCAAAAAGAAATAAAAACCCCTTGTGGCCACGTAGGTTCAAATGTGTTGACTTCAATCTACCCGTAAAGCATGTAATCGTCCTGTGATTAGTCGGCTCACATAACGGGTTGGATATCCAGATTAATTAAAAAAAATATTATTAATAAAAAGCATTTAAAATTTGTGATAAATAACATTAAAATAAAAAAAATAGTTAAAATATTGTAGAAAAAGCAAGTAGTTCCAGGAAAAGAGAATGGGGATATATATAGAAGGCATTTTGTCCCATGGGATTTTGTGGGACCTTTGAATCTATTCACTTGTGAATTGAAAGCAACCTTACCATGCTCTCTTTTCTTTTATTTTGGTTGGATCTTAACCAACATTATTCCCTCATGTCTCTCACATCTATTTCTTTTGTCAGTGGCTTAATGATATAGAAAGTAAGCTATTTAATAAGTTTATAATGAAAGCTTTATGTAAAAAACCAAGTTTTTTTTAACATGCTCATTTGAATTAAAAAATATGCTTCTTCTATCTGTAAAAGAACTCTCTCATACAAAAATCTTCTCAATTTATAAAGACATATTAAATCCATACGGACATATTTATCCATACATGACTTAATGGCAAAAACCAACCAAACTACCCCTAAAACTTAAATGAGTCGAGACTCTTTGAACTTGCACTAGCCAATCATCGTATAACTTTTTAAATTTTGATTAGAATTTTATGACATAAATAGCTAGAGAGCTAGGAATTTTGTCCGCACGTCTTTTTTAAAAGTGTTAAAGAGCATTAGTAACCAAAGGGTCTTTGGCTTAGTGATACTGTAGTATTTGTCCTCTTAGAAGGTCAGGGGTTCAAACCTCACCATACGTAAGAAGGGTGTGTGAGTTTATTTGTTACATTTGCCGTATATAAATATTATATACTTCAAAATAATATCTTCCACAAACTTACATAATATATGTTTAGGTGAAAAATCCATAAGAGCAAACGACTAATATAAGTCTGCGACAGCCATATCCCAGACATAAGATTGTGCATAACCACGACAACTGATTATTTACTTATTAACGACGTTCATTACTTTTATGATATTTATTGCAGGTAATCTCAATAACTGAATATTAATAACAAAATATCCCCTGAACAATTCATACGATCAATTGCTCTCAAAGAAATCTTTACTACTGGAATTTCTGTTCAGTTTGTTATCCACAACTTTCAGTATTAACTATGTTTTGTAGTAGCAACAACGGTTATTAAGGAAGACGTCCCTTATTCACATCCATAGTGCATAGACAATAGTCATGACTTAATGACCTCTCATTAATCTAAACAGCATGAATTATCAAATAGTGAGGGACTGTATATCAAATACTTATCAGGTAACTGTTTGTCCGTAGAAGAAATTACTCTCACTTACCTTATCATGTAACATTCTCGGTCATTAAAATAGATTATTGATAAGCATCTTAAATCCATTAAGCGCTTATCAGGTAAAAATATTTTTTTCTTACTTACTGAGTAATAGTCTTTTTCCTCACTCATCGGGTAAAACTCGCGTTCTTTGTTATACCTCTTACCGGGTAAGATTTTTAGTCATTATATCATAATCAATCGGTAAGATAAGTAATACCAGTAAGTAAGGGTGCTCACAATCCAACGCGAAATAATTCAATCCGAAGTAACCCGATGTCTAATCGAGTTGTAAAATTGTCAAACCATAGGTATTGGGTTGATATTGAGTTACTATTATTTAAACCCAACCCAACCCGATGAATCTGATATCATTTTATTTCTTGGATTTAATATGATTGTTGAATTTCTATCAATATATACTTTACACAATTACACTATTATGTATCTTTTCGTATACACATATTTTCAATCTATTCACATCTCTATATAACTCATTCGTATACATGTTAGGTAACTGTGAACATATATTTGTAGATTGAGAAAGTTAACTGAATATGATATACGTAAGAAATATGGATAAGTTGTATCAAATGGATGATGATGAAAAGAAAACTATGAGTAGAGAAATAATATATTAAGGTTAAAAGAATATTTTAATGTACCAAAGTATCAACCCGACTAACCCGTACAGGTTGGGTTAGGTTAAGATTTTTTCAAACCGCAAGCTTAGGTTGGATCTTCAACCCGATCAACTCAACTCATAAACATTTCTACCAGTAATTGATTATCTAGTAAAGATATAAACAAAGATTCACCCAACGGATCAATTGAAACCTAAACAAAATCCATGAAAAACAACAACAAAAAACCATTATTTTCCGTTTCCCCATAAACAAATAAATTGACTATTTTTTCTTCATTTTAATATTCTATTTATGCGGTTGACATATTCCCTACACACACAGCTATATTTTATGCTCTTTATGTAATAATGGCTTATTCGTTCAGCTGTTAAATAGTATTTATTTTTATTTAACTTCTTAACATTAAGTCAATATGTATTTGTTGATCATACTTAACGTTTTTTTATCTGTTAAGCGTTTATTAAGTAAGAGTCTTCTCTTTCACTTATTAAGTAATATTCTTTTTATTCACTGACCAGATAAGATTCTTAATTTTTGTTATGTTTCTTATGACGTGAGATTCTCGGTACTTGTCATGTTTTTGTATTTGTGTTTACATATTTACAAAAGACACCCCTAAACATTCATCACTTTTTCTCTTACACCACCTTGGAATTTTGTGGGTTATCCTTTTCCGCTCTATCCCGTCGATACCCCAGCTTAAACCCTCCTCCTCCTACAAATACCCAACACCCATCTCTCACATATTACAGATCTCCTTCCTGATCAATCATCAATGTTACAGATTGTTGACATTAATGGTGATCTGGAGAGAGAAACCAAGAAATTGGAGCAGAATTTTTGCATAAACGATCACGTCGATTTGTTAATTGAAGTGTTGCAGAGGCTCGACGGACGGTCGTTGGCAGCGGCGGCGTGTGTGTGTCGGCAATGGTGTTCCATCGTCCGGAATGACTCGTTATGGGAACACCTATGTTTCGGAAACGTGTCACCGCCGCCGTCGATTGGAATTCGGTCGGTGGTTTTGGCACTGGGTGGGTACCGGAGGCTGTACATGGTGTGTGTGAGGCCGGTGGCGAGTCAACTGAAGAGGAGGAGAATCGACGGCGGCGAGTCGGAGGTGGTGCGGCGAGTGTGGAATCGGCATGAGGTGGAGCTGTCGTTGTCTTTGTTTTGTGTGGAGTATTATGAGAGACTGTTGGGTGGTGGTGGGGTGGTCGGCGGTGAATCCCGGGCGACTTCGCTCAAGTTTTTATGCAAGGCCGTGAACGTTAGTATATGACAGTCGCCAAGAGCATTTCGTAAGAAAATGCCAAAATACGACGTCGTCGCATTTTTATTTTTGTCTCGATTCCCAATAATTTGTCCAAAAAATTACAAACATTTATTTATCATTTATTGATTTTTAATTTTGATATTTCAATATTAAAAAAATCAATGTTCTAAAAAGCTAGTTGCAACAGCTCTTATGGTTTGTTGTTGCTTAAGACTTATGTCTTATGTTATGTTATGTTATGTATGTGGCATGTCACGACATAATACGCAGTTTTTGTAATACAATAATTGATTTTTCTTACTTTTTAATGTTTTATTTGTTAGTTTTTAATGTATAATTTAATTTAGATTATTTAATATCATTGACATGTTAAATAATATATATATATATATATATATGTATATATAGGAGCGATCAAATGAAAACCACTCCAATTTATAAAAACCGTAAAAACTACTTTCATCCGTCAATTTCATTGTTTAATCTTATGAAATTTTTTCATGAAATTATTTAATCTTGTGAAATTGTTTCATATAATATTTTTTTTGATGAAATTGTTTCATATATGGTTATGAAATTGTTTCATATATTACTTAATGAAATTGTTTCATATATTACTTAATGAAATTTTAATGAAATTGTTTCATGTATTTCTCTAAAATTAAAATAATGAAGATGATAATATCCATGATTAACATCCTTCACAATAAAAATAATTAATCAATCTCTCATAATTACAAAAAAATGAACAAAATGAAAAATTATGATTGGTGGATAAAGGTTTTTACGGTTTTTACATATTGAGTGGTTTTATTTGATCATTCCCCTATGTTTATATGCATAGTATTATAGATAACATAAAGATTTATCGCCATAAGTCATGTCTTGAAAAATGTCACGGTCTCACCGTTCTCCTATGGCTTGAGGTTTGACCTCGTCACATCACACCATTTAGAACCTTGAAAAATATGCATCTTGTTTATATTATTTTTGTTAGTTATTGTACTTTAATTTTGATTTATAAATGTATACATATTTATAAATGTGTATGTACCCGTTTTATCGGCCGGTTCAGACAAGAAGGTGACTAAATTTTACGAGAAAGTAAGAAGAGAATCTTCAGACTTGGGATCATGTGAGACCAAAGGTTTTTCGTGAGATCCATAAGACCAATTCTCAACCGTTGGATTAGATCTATAATCTGAACATTCATAATCACAAAATTGTCACGAGACTTCTTAATAATCACAAAATTGTCACAGTACAACTTTAGACCATTAGATCATTAGCTTATAAAGTTGATCAATGAACATAAATTGGTCTTCCGGGTCTCACGAAAAAACCATTGGTCTCACGTGAACTCAATATATATATATATATATATATGTAAACCAACATTATAAACTATTCATATGGTTCATATATGTATCTTTATATGGATTTTTTTATTCACATATGAATTTTCTCTTAAAATTCTATTATTACTTTCTTACGAAATTTAGATTTTATATTTGAGCCTCCCACTATCGTTTTATCTGTCTTAAAATAAAATTTAAAACATCTCCTTGTCAAAAGCACAAAGCTTTTCAAACGAAGAAAAAGTAACATATATAGCATCGATCACCTATGTTTCTCACCCCACCCTATCCTCGATGACTCGGTCCCGTAATGTGTGACTCGGTAACTTCATACATCGATCATTTCGGCAAGCATGTGCGTTGTCTTTGTTCTTATATAACAACACCACCATACTAAGTCTCCCCACTTCAACGTCTTAACAGGTCTTGAGAATGATATTGAAGGGCTCAACCAGGAGCTATTAAAATTAATGTTTATCAAACGCTTGTTTACCAGCAAGAGTCATCACTCTCACCTTATCGGATAATATTCTCGACCATCATAACAAACTGTTAGTAAGTGTCTCTTACACGATAAGCGGCTAACCGTGTAAGTGTTTTTCCTCACTTTCAAAGTAAGATTCTTGTTATTTGTTATGCATATTACCAGGTAAGATTCTTAGGGGCCGTTTACTAAACGCTTATCCGGTAAGCACTTGCGAGATCATTTGCCTTATCGGATGAACATCGCAATGACCTAGAATCTTACACGGTAAAAGCGATGATAAGTCATTACAATAAGCCAACTTTTAGAACTTTCTAGATATTCTGTTATTTTGAATAAAAAGATCTACTAAATCTCCAATACCATTATTTTAACATAAATATCGAAGATGTTTTTAAGTGATTCCATACATCGAAATTTAAAAATCATTTATAGTCATCAATCAAATATTGAAGTTTTAGGATCAGGTTAAGTGAAAAACCACAAAAAATAAGAAACAGAAGAACATCTTACTAAATAAGATCGTGGTGTAAATGGCAGTGATCATTGATTTCCAACCACTTAAAAATTCCCAATATCACACCATCAGAAATATCAACATTATAATGTTTTTAGCTACCATCATGAACTCTAACTTTATAAATTAAGAGGTCGTTTACTAAACTCTTACTGTGTAAGCATTTGTCCGAATCACTTGGCATACCGATTGAGCATGACAAAAAAAACAAGAATTTTACCCTGTAAGAATAATAACAAGGTCTGAAAAGTCACCAAATGGGCAAGCCCCTAAACCCTAATTGACCAAGGTCCCCAATTCGCATTCAGTGTAATGCCCAATTTGTTACGAAACGTTGGATGCAAGTTTGCATCAGAAATTTCGGAATTATTTCAGATATAGTGGACTTTTGACAATATTTTGGCAAATACGGTGTACGGTATTGTAAAGCATCCAAGTGCTCTCACGTTTCCTCTTGGCAAAGATGCGTTATTTGGGAAAATAAGAGTTTAAGTGGATTTCAAGACAGTTGGAACAGTCTCCGAGTTGGGGTCAGTAGATCGCAGGGCAACATCATATTTCTTCCATCTCATAATTTAATCAGGATCTCCTTTTCATTGTTTCATATTTGGTTCGCCTTCGTAGTCCTTGTTTTATTTTCTCTTTGTTAGCTTCTATTTTGATTTGTTTCGTGTTTCATTTGCCCTCTACATCTCGAAGTCACAGAAGGCCATCACGTAGTCGCATGTTTCGTCTTTTCTTACCATTTTGGCAAAATAAGTAAGCAACTTTCTATACCAAACAATATGTTTAGCTAACCAAACAAGTTATGAGTCTCATTAAGCTGCTAATAATCACATTATTATTCATTAAGAGAGTCATTTTATATGTAAATGTATTTTACAACCAAGGGGGTGTTTGAGATTGCTTATAAAAATAATTTATCAACTTATTTTTGTATGACACCAATAATAAGTACTTTTGAATGTTTAGACAAACCGATGATAACTTTTTTTGAATAAAAGTTAAATTATTTTAACTTATAATAAATAGATAAACATTTTTGTAGAAAAACGTAATTTGTTTCAAATAAACAATCCCAAATACAGCCTAAGAAGCAAGTCTCTTGTACAATACATGCCTATTATTGAGTTCTCGAAATCAAATAGTAGCATTTTAGATAACATCCAATGCCAAAGTCACTTAAGAAGCAGTCTCTGAATAGTTTTATTAAGAGACAGTATCTGAATCATTAATGATTCAAAGATGAATCGTGTGTGCCAAAAAAATAGATCTGTCAGTTAATGATTCTAAAACTCTCTGAATAATTTTGTATCATAGTTCTTCTTTAACTATTTAGCACCCAAATTCTATTGTAAACAATTATCAAACAATTATATTTCATTTTGCATCATATTATGAGAACCTCTTGCTCATTCGGACCACTTAATCATTCGAAAAACTACCCAACAGCCTCTTACCAGGTATCCAAAACAACTCATGTAAGGTGATTAATTGATTGGGTTACCAGCATAAACTCCACATACAAGAGAGAATACAAGAATGCAACCAATTCTTGTAGTCTAATCACATATTTTATATTCAAATTTCCATGGCAGCTACATCCGTTAATTTTAGGGTTCCAATCACCAGTTTTCACTATGTGGCCATGGCCATCCTCTAAAGTCGGAGATCTGTAATTTAAATCATTAATATTTAATCCCTACTAATGTTTTCCGTATTAAGCAGTTGAATCCTCAAAGTTTTGCTTCGAATCCATAGTCATTATCAACAAGATGAAAAAGAATGCATCATTTATCAGATGTCGTCACCAATAGACGCAAACAGCCGGTGAATTCGAAGCAGGTTGCCTGGAAAGTGACGTGATCATTCTTAATTTAAGAGAAGAGATCATCAAAGAAGACAAAATCAAAAGCCAAATTCCATTCTACGATCTCTTCTCCAATCGTACATACAGACACAAAATCAGACGAAATCAATCAAGCAACAAACAATAGACAGAAGATTAGAGAATATGTATGAAGTTCGGTAAGCAGATTTATCGACTGAAAAACGACAACCGGCCAGTAAAACTTCCAAGTGAATGTAGCTACAGCCGCTGTGGCAATCAAGAGAAAGGTATCGATCGACCTCACACTTGGTACAATGCAGCAGAATCACATTGAACAACAAGAGATGAAAACAGGTTAACTTACAATGGTAGATCGAGCAGGATTAAGGGGAAATCCGTGCGTCTTGTGAGATAAGAAACCCTAGCTCTAACCCAATTTATATAGACGTTTCGTGTCGTGTTGACATTGCAATTTGCAACCCTACGATAATTGGGCTTCATGGGCTACTTGGTTTCTTTAAGTATTTTAAATTGGGCTTATTGATTGAAATGCTATGACGTATATGGTATATGGTGATTCGAATGTCGGTTGTTAATACATATGTTCGTAGAAAAGAAGGATCATGTGATAATAGAAATAAAGGTGAGAAATGTAAAAAATGATCATCATGTGATAATAGAAATTAAGGTGAGAAATGTAAAAAATGATCTAGATCATTGATCATTTTTAATCTCATCTCCACCCATGAATTACGTTTATCATCGGAATTGATGTGGTGCATCTCGATACACCACATTAGTGTTGATCTTCAATTATGATTCATCCAAAGTATAGATCACTTCTTACCTTTCTCATCATATATGTGTATATGTATGTATGTATGTATGTATGTATGTATGTATGTATGTATGTATGTATGTATGTATGTATGTATACATATATGTATATGTGTGTGTATGTATTGAGCGTCTATTTGATAGTAGCTTAAAAGGCTTAATAGGCTCACGGATTACTCAGTCAGCTATACCTACTGTTTGGCAATGACTTAATGATATAGAAATTAACTTATTCAGTAAGTTTCCAATGGAGCTTTTTACAGAAAGCCAAGTTTTTGTAAACCTGACTCTCTTAATTAAAAAACACATTTATTCCGTCAATGAAAAAACATTTCCAAACAAAGTTATTCCCGATCTATACAGACAAATTAATCAATACAAACAATTTTATCCATACATGATTAAAAAGAAAACCAACCAAACAGTTTTTAAAACATATATCAAGTAAATTAAAATTTTGTCCATGTGATTTTATCCTCGTTATGAAGAGGTTACCATAAACCTAATTTTTGTCCTTGGTTTTATCAAGGTTTCATTTTCGATACGAAAATGGGCTTTACCCTAACCTTGTTAAGTCAAGGATATTTTAGTCATTATCTTTATTTCTATAGTATTTTCTTATTTTACAACTTTATATGCATTTTGTATAAGTATATAAGACATTTAATTAAAAAAAATAAAACAAAAATGAAAAAACATCAAACCAGTAGCCATATTCGGCCACTCCCATACTCCCTAGTCATCTTCTTCGATAAGTTCTCCATCTTCAACCACCATACAACAATACGCACAATAGATAAACATGAATCCAAGCCCTAATAATAGAACTCACATATCAAAATCAAAGAAATAGGCAGAGTGTGAGTAAACAGGTAGCAGGAATAAAGACTAGCATACAGTCAACAAATAAGAAAACAGATAAAATATGAGAAAATATCTAATAGGCACATTGAACATACACAACATGCATATTCTATCAATGTATGATCTCTTAAAATTTAAGCTTCAGGTTATTACGGTATACGTACAGCTTTTTTACAAACTCCTTGTTTGAATTCTATAGAACCAACTGTTATATACGTTTAGATACAGATAAGCGTTGAGTCTTACTAATACTGTGGAATCCACAATAAATTTGTATACCCTTTTACAGAATAATTATGTCATCTTATATTATCTATTTACAATAAAATTTACATCTTGTTACATTGCACAAATACATCTCCAGTACAAAGGGGATGTCGAGCATATGTATATAAAATAAAGGGAAATTAAAATAGTCATTTTTTAACCGTAGGTTTCATCTCTTATTATTTCTCTCCCAAAATAAAGAAAACAGTCATAAGTCCACGATTGGCAGAGATCTGCAATTTGCAGAGATGTCAAATTGTAAAAAAGAGAAGTTTTTGGACCAGGTCCGTAATTGTAGGGACCAAATATGTAAATTTAGTTATAGGTCCGCAAAAATATGTCTACAATTGGGGATGTGTTTTCGAATTAACATATTTGATCCCTTCAATTGCGGATCTGGTCCAAAAACGTCTTTCGCAACACAAATTGTAGATCTATCGATTGTGGATCTATAACTATGTGATTCAAATTTGGAACCTGGGGCGAAAGGAAGCCTAAGAGAGGGAGCAATCGCCAAGGGGCACATACGAAAACAAAATATGCACGTTAGTCACATTTTGATCAAAGCGATAGAGGGTTGCGGTTGGGTTCTACAGCAAAACGCAACCGCACTTCCAACAAGCACACATATACACACATTAAAACAAGAACCAGAACCTGTTATACAAAATCAATTACAGAAATAACATAAAAAGTAGCTCGGAAAACCATCCACATGACACAATGTGACAATTAGGTTCGAGAACATGAAAAGTTTGAGCCTCCGTACCAATTTAGCAAAATCAAGATCATCACGACACAAATTTAAGGAAATTGACCAAAATAACCGATCTCCTCAAACAAATTCACTTTTTAGCCAAAGGGCATTTGCATAAAGCCTATTTTCATATAAAAAATAAAGAAAAAAAACCCTTTACGTAAATTTGTTTTCTTATTTGGAAAAATGGCTAAAAAGTGAATTTGATAATATATTGTAAAATTTACAAGTAATTTTTAAAATTTAATTTATGAAAAATAAAAAATATTTTAATTAATTACATAAAAATGGAAGGAGACTAAGTAACATGAATACATGTATTCAGTTAAAGTATATGTATTAAGTCACGTATTTCACGTTACAAATAGTTTTTTTAATTCTCATTTTGAATAGTGTAAGTGGTCGGCGACGTGTCGGAATCTTGAAATCTCGCCGCCGGTGGCTGCCGGAATTCCACAATTTGCTTTTATTTTCGGGTTTAAATTATGAATCTACCCAATACCCTAATATTTATTTTAGTATAAATAATTACAAGGTATATTTATTTATTTAAAGGTTAAGTTTTTATTTTTATTTTTCACTTTTTCCTAAATTTACAAAAGTTAAGCTCCTTCCGTTGATCGTAGATCTGACGCAAAATCAGCACAAATTCGAGATCTTGTTGCTGTTGGATGCGGATTCAAGTAAGTTTTACTTCAATTTTGAGTTCAGATACTGTAGAATTTGGGAATAGATCAATAATTTTTTTAGGGTTTTCGTAGGTTTAAAATTTGAGGTATTTAGCTGATCTGAACGGAGATTTTACTGTTTTGTGTTCGAATGTTGGTGGGGTTTTTGTATCTTCAACTGTGTTGTTCGTTTTGATCATCAATTTGACATACAGTTGAAATTTGTTGACCTATATGAAGTTTCCTGAACTGGTAATTGTGTTAAATTTGGGGAAAATTAGTTGGGGTTTTGTAATTAAGCTTATAATTAACTCGTATCTATGTTTGGTTGTAGATTTAGCTAGAGTATGAGTAGGTCTTGAATCCAAGCTTCGATAATTATGAGTTTGATTTGGTAATCTAGGCAAACTTATAATGGTGACGATTGAAATGTATCATTTCTTATTATCTGTTTTGCAAATATGTTCCATATTTGTAGTTTTATGCTGCATAAAGTTGGGAAATTAATATTGGCAATTTTTTAATTTTGGGAGCTTTGAATCCTGTTATTGGAGTTACAATTTGAATATATGCTCTGCATTTGGTTATGGATGTAGTTTGTTTGGTTATGTAGACATGGTGGAGCATGAAATAGGAATTAGATTGTTGTCTTTATTCATGCTAGTCATTGTTCCTTCTACCTATTTGCTCACATACTTGCACTAGCCAGTGTCTTCACAGAAACAACTGCTCTACTTTTTGGGGTAGATGACAGGTTTGCGTACATCGCACCATAAAGACGGCAAGACCGTACTTTCAAAGTAAATCGGTTTTGTTTGGTTTGTTCTCGTGCATTATTCATGATAGTCGTCGTTCCATCTTACCCGTTTGCTCACACGCTTGCAAAACAAGGTGTCTTCACGTAAACAGTTGTTCTACTCTTTGGGATAGAGGACAGGCCTGTGTACGTCCCACCCCACAAACCCTACTTTCGAATGGGATATTACTGGGTTGGTTTGGTTTGTTGTCGTGCATTATACATGCTAGTCATTGTTCCATCTACCTGTTTGCTTGCACAGTTGCACTAGACGGTGTTTTCACATAAACAATCGCTCTACTCTTTGGGGCAGAGGACAGGTTTGCGTACATCCCACCCCTAGACCATACTTTCAAATGAAATATATACTGGGTTAGGGCCTGTTTGTTAGTAGTTTAATGAGCTTAATAGGATTCACAGCTTATTCGGTCAGCTATAAATGACTGTTTGGTAGTGACTTAATGATATAGAAAGTGGCTTATTGAATAAGCTTCTAGAGGAGCCTATGCAAAAAGCCAAGATTTTTTCCAAAACCTGCCCCTATGAATTAGAAAAACATATATGTTTTACCATCTATGAGAGAACCCTCCCAATCTATACAGACAAATTAATCACACAAATAACTTTATCCATACAGTACCTAATGGAAAACCAACCCAACAACCCCTTAGTTTGGTTTGGTTTGGTTTGTTTTGTTGTGGTGCATTATTCACGAGTTATAGCTTTCTTGTAGAGACTGAACGTTTGAGATGGATCCAACCATAGAAGAAGCTCTTAGAGCTAAAGAGAATGCAGAGAAGCTATTTGCAGTGAAAGATTTTGCAGGTGCGAAACAATATGCTTTGAGGGCTCAATCATTGTGCCCTCAACTTGAGGGTATCGCTCACATGGTGGCCACATTTGAAATATATGCTGCTACAAATATGAACCGGGAATTTGATTTCTACGCACTTCTTGGATTGGATCCATCTGCAGACAAGTCTTTACTGAAGAAACGGTACAAAAAGATGGCCGTCCTTCTTCACCCTGACAAGAACAAAACTGTGGGAGCCGATGAGGCTTTCAAGCTTCTCTCTGAAGCGTGGGCTGTGTTATCCGATAGCGTGAAAAGAAGCTTGTATGATGCCAAGCAAAATAAGCACTTATCGGCTACAGTTTATGGTACTTCCGGTGTTCCAGGTTCTGAGAGTTCTTCCAACACTCATTCATCTGTGAATAGACTTGATACTTTCTGGACTGTGTGCACCTCTTGTCGTGTTCAGTATGAATATCTTCGAAAATACGTGAATAAGAGACTTTCGTGCAAAAACTGTCGAGGAGTTTTTGTAGCAGTTGAAACTGGTGCAGCTCCGGTGACCTATGCTCCTTGGTCATATTCATCTGAGAATGGATATGTTAACCATCCGTATAATGAAGCTACGTATGTACCAAGCTCATCTGTATGTGTTTCCGGCAATGGGTCTGCTGCTAATCATTCTGCACACGGGTATGAATACACCGGCACAGTTTCATTCCAGTGGAATACTTTGGATCCTAACGGTCTGCCTTCTAAATCCGTCAACATTAGTAGGGCAAAAGCCAACGGGAAACATCAGATGAGATTGAACACGGGTTCCGGCGAGACCCCAGCTCCTAGGCTCGGCAGACCACCTAAGAAACGGAAGATAGAAGCAGCAGATGCACCTCGGAACACAAATGGGGAAACGGCTTTAAGAACTGAACCAGATTTGGTAGCAACTAATGGCGACATTCCAACCAGGCAGTACCCGGTTCCCCCTGTTTTTGATGCCAGAAAGATGTTAATTGACAAAGCTAGATCGGTAATTCGGGGGAAGTTAAAGGAAATGAAGCTGGCGTCCACTTTGAAAGTTGAAAAGAACGGAAAAGCACAGAATAAAACTAGTTCGATGCCAATAACAGTCCCTGACCCCGATTTTCATGATTTTGACATGGATAGGTCTGAGGAAGTTTTCAAGCCGAAGCAAATATGGGCTATATACGACGAAGAAGATGGGATGCCACGTCTTTACTGTATAATCCGCCAGGTCATCTCCGTGAAACCGTTTCACGTCCACATCAGTTACTTGAACTCTAAAACCGACACTGAATTTGGTTCCACAAAGATTGAATCTGGATTCACTAAATCTTGCGGAAGTTTCAGGGTTTCCCATTCCGACATGGTTGACCAAGTGAACATCTTTTCGCATCTTTTGGGCAGAGAGAAGGCTGGCAGAGGCGGATGCGTTGGCATATACCCGAAAAGAGGAGACATTTGGGCTGTGTATCGGAATTGGTCAGAGAATCGGAATCGGAAGACAACGAAACGATATGAAATGGTGGAGATTCTTGACGATTACTCTGAAAAACGTGGAGTCTGCGTGACACCTTTGGTGAAGCTAGAAGGGTACAAGACTGTGTATCGAAGAAATCCAAACAAGAATGCGGTGCGATCGATTCCCAAAAAAGAGATGGTTCGGTTTTCGCACCAGGTCCCGTCTTGCTTGCTAAAAGGTCAAGGGCTCAATTTGCCAGATGGGTGTTGGGATCTTGATCCAGCTGCAACACCAGAAGAGCTTCTGCAAGCTGCAATGGAAGTAGAGGCAGATGAAGCGGAAAAGAAGAAGAAAGGTGAAGTTAGAGGTGTGGAAGGTCATTTTAGTCATTTACTTTGACAAGTAATGAGATTGATAGTGTATAGATCCAAACACATAGTGACGGGGGGCAATTGGTGAGAAAATTTAGGTAGCTGGAACTGGAAAAAGGGTCAGTAGAAGATGATCCGCGGATGATGGAGCTCAAAGATTTGGTTTTTAAGATTGGCTTAAAAGATGTTGGTTCAGAAACTTGTACTAATTAATTACTTATTTATGAGTTAATTACCTTTGAGATGTATTAATCACTTTTATACCAATGATGCATCGATGGGTTATGATCTCGAGCTTCGAGTGATGCTAGTTTTTCGTTTTAGTCTTTTTATCCAAGTTATGCACTTTTTGCGAGTAATGGTAGTCAAGCTTCGGTGATACACTACTTGAAGAATAAGCGATTGTAACCGAACTCGGAAAGATTCTTGATGTGTTTTGACGTTTTAAATTTTCGTGTTCGGTTTTTGGTTTTGGTTTTGCTTTATAACTTCGAGAATATACAGAATTACTTGTAACGTATCGAACACAAAATGCTAATTTAACCAGTAACGTTACGAGGAAGATAAAAAGGGTCGAATGGTGGACAAAAATTCCCATATTGCAATGATTTTGGGCCAAAACAATAAGAAATTAGGTCAAGGAGTACTAAGAAAAGGTAAGAGTAGATTATGTTTCTCTTAATTTGAAAATATTTGTGGCTCACTACAAAATTATAACCAACAATCAAGACAAACTCTCCCTTTCTAATAAGCAGTAGTTCTGCCTCTACATGTGTCTTTTCTTTTCTTCTTCCAGACATTATAATATTATCATTTCTGAGAACCGGTGGTGGTCTCAATCGGCTCAACTACCTCTGCTTCGAGGGTTGCCTGGGGCTCAGCCACTATTTCAGCCTCTTGTGTCTGTAAGCTCCATTTGTTCGATAAAGCCATATTCATCATTTCATAAATCTTCCCCCCAAGCTGCGATGGACTCTCCGGCTGCACCAAATCAAATCATAAACCACGTCAGTTTTTGAAATAGGTAGTTGAATGACACTTGGGCCTTGTTTGTTAGCAACTTAATGGGACTCGCAGCTTACTCGATCTGCTATACATTGGTACCGGCTTATTGATATAAAAAAATGGCTTAACCAGTTGGCTTTTCTGGGAAGGGCTTTATGCAAAAAGCCAACTTTTTTTTTTTCCAAACCTGCCCCTTTCAATTAAAACACACACTCCTTTTACCTATGAAAAAGCCCTCCCAAGCAAAAACCTTCCCAATCTATACAGACAGATTAATCCATATAAACAGCTTTATCCCTACAGAATTTAATGGAGAACCAACCAGTCCGTCCCTTAGAGACCTTCTACCAAATGCTTACCGGGTAAGTGCTTACCAACCGTCACTTGCCTTGCCGATTGAGCCTGACGATGGCCGAGAATCTTACCAGGTAAGTGGAAAAAAAAACTTACCCGTAAGCGCTTACAAAGAATCCATTTTGATGGTCGAGATGTTACCCAATAACGTAAATGAGTGGTGACTCTTGCCAGTAAGCGCTTACCGGTAAGCGTTTGGTAAAGTTACTGTCATGTCATTTGTGGAGTTGAATTTGGTCCACAAGATTATTTTGTTTTGTTACTGAAGAGTATTCTAGATATTTAACTATAGCCAAACCACTTCTATTGTATAAACGTAAAAATCTCTATGGGAGTAATATGTTTTTTACTAGGAGTATGATGTAGAATTAGTTCATAACATGGTTCAAACAAATACTGATTCTTGCAACGTATTTTTAACATGCGGCAAAAATGCAGGGAAGATACTTACAGTGAAACCGCTAGAAATCAATGCAGTATCGTACAAAAGATCAATAGCTCTTAGGGCTTCTTCATCTTCTGCACTGCTCCTGCAAGCAGCCTGCATCATGCACCAATTCAAAATTATTAGACAAATTTATAACAATCTTCCCAATGGTAGACACTTAGTTAACAAAATAAGAATCATACATTCAATGTCTGAATGATTGAATGTTCAGGATTGATCTCAAACACTCTCCTGCTTCTCATAAAGTCCAGGCTAGAAGAATCACCAACGGTCTGTGCCTTCATCAGCCTGAGGGTTTACAAAAAGAAAATCCAGATTAAGAATACGGAATCCCTGAGAGCCTTAAAAAAGCTGAGAATAAAATTCACCTCTCCATATTTGCAGACCAACCAAACTTTCCAGATACAAGAACACAAGGAGATGTTTTTAGACGATTTGAAACTTGGACACTCGCAACCTTGTCACCCAACCGTTTCTTCATCCAGTCACAAATATGTCCATATTCCTGCTTCATCTCCTTTTCCTTCTCCTCATTCTTGTCACCTAACAAGTTCAGCAAAAAAAAAAGGAAACTGTGAGAACATGACAGAAACCTTAGCAAGGTGTTGGGTAGAAGGTCAGGCTGTAAACTCCATTCATTAGAACTCAGAGCTAAAATACGTTGAAATCACAAAATAACAACCCCTTTTTGAGCTAAGACCTAAATTCATAATTCATTGAACATTGCTGTACTTCTCTTCCAAAACAAGGGTCTTCACTTGAAGCATAAAAATGAGAAAATCCCACAAATATCACCACAAAATAATTGGGCTATTATTTGTTTAACTTTATAGTTATAGCAAGGCATGTTTGATTCTAAGAATTGATGATTACGGAATGAATTGATCATGTGCATAAAATTGTAGTAGGTTTTCATCTAAGCGCACTAGAAACGCAAAACTACAAAAAAATACGTACTTAAAAGAGTTGACAACCACCAAAGGTGAAAGCCATACGAAGGCAGAGCGTTTGGAAAAACATAGACAGTCATTTAATTCAGAAAAGCATGACCAAAGAGCTCACTTCATATCGGAAAACATAATTTGGTGTGGATGGAGTGTCATTTGTAAGTTTTCAAAGGCCTGAAGACTAACCAATATCCAAGTCTTCCTTGCTGATGTCAACAAAGTTCTTTTCCTTGTACGATTTGAGATTTGTGACAGCAACTTCATCAATGGGATCAACTAGAAATAGTACCTGTAGAAAAGCCCATAAATATTAACAGTCCAATTAAACAGCAAAAACAGAGAAAGAAGACAAAAAAATAAAATTCTGTAGCCACATGCTATAGATAAAAAGGGTAACATACTTCGAGCTCCTTCTCATATAGTCTCTCCAAGAAGGGGGTGTTCTTTGCACTTGTGACACTGTCAGCAGCAATGTAATAAATATCCTTTTGGTCGGGTTTCATGTTCTCAACATATTCATCCAAGCTAATCATCTCTTCTTCACTCTGTGACGAGAAAAACCGAAGCAATGGAGCAAGACGTTTGTGATTTTCACGATCTTCAATGCATCCAAGTTTCAAATGCTTTCCAAAGTTCTCCCAGAACTTCTCATAGTCCTAAAGCAAGAGATAAGAAGTAAGAAGGTAACAAGGAACAAAGGGAGCATTTTTCTTTATAGCAACAATAACATTTCTTTTATAGCCGAATGGGAGTAATATGAATAATATCAGGTACTTGGAGAAAAGTAGGATAATGGAAAAGAAGGTGTTCACCTCTCGGTTCTCACTCATAGATATGCCAAGAATCATGTCAAATGCCTTTCGAACCAACCGCTTCCTCATTATACGTACCTTTCATATGGAAACATTAAAATCAATACTTGGGTTTAACTCCAAATAGCTTGTGAAAAAAAGAGCAAGTCAGATAAACTTACAACACGACTTTCTTGGAGAATTTCACGTGATACATTCAAGGGAAGGTCATTAGAGTCGACAACACCTTTGACAAAGCTTAGGTATCGTGGAAACTAATACAAACATACAACAATGAAAACTGGTTAACACCCAACTGGAAACTCTTTTTAAGGTTTTCCCCCACAAAATACATAGTGATTGCTCTTACCAGTTCTCCATCAAAGTCATCTGAAATGAAGACACGTTTCACATAGAGTCTTATATTCTTAGTTTTCGGGTTCACAATGTCTTCCTTCCCCATGGGAGTGATTGCAGGCACGTAAAGGATTGATCTGAATTCCACCTCTCCCTGCAAAATAAGGGTGTAAAAAATTATTTCCACAAACTGAACTCGACATATGAAGCATATATCAGCAGTCCCATTTACACCGCACAGCAAGGCGGCAAAGGTTATATTCATTTATCCCATTTTCCTCCATTCTCCATTTACTATTTTGTGGATCACATCTTCATTTCTCTTCGTATGGGATTTAAAAATTTATGCTCACACCACCCACAAGTTGAACTTGTTAAATAACAGAACAAGGAACTAGTCTTTCAAGAAATCTGATGCTTGTGTAAAGTATATAAACCGAAATGAAGGCACCAAAATCTTGTATTTCACCTCTGTTGTGAAATGTGAAGATGCTAAAGGTTCCAAGTACTCGTTGAACGTCTTCTTGTAGAATTCATTATATTCCTCTGTAGTAACTTCCTTAGGGTTCCGAAGCTGCAAGAATGGAAAGCTTTGAGATGCACATCTTAACAAAAGTAACTTGCACAATACTCAAATAAAGCATAAATTTAAAGAGAACTTACCCATATAGGTTGTGTCTCATTAGTGAGGTCCCATTCCCAGTATTTCTCAACAATTTTTTTTGTTTTCTTCTTTTTCTGTTACAACAAAAATTACCATGCTCCGGTGGTTAGATCTCCCATCTTGTGCAACATGACCTCAATTTACTAAAGAGTACTCGCTCACCTCAACACCGTCATCAGTCCCATCCTTCTTGGCCTCAGCTGGATCATCATCAACTTCAACCTGTTTCAAGAAACAAACTACTGGGTGAACCAAAAAAATTTGATGCCTAAATATTTTACTACAGCAATGGATTCTCATAAATCCATCAACAATATAGAAGGAGCAATTGCACCCCCACAATAGGCTAGCTCAACGCAGATACATTCCGAGGAACCGTTTTCATGGAACCATGACTGCTAGCCGCAAGGAAACAGAAGATGTAGGAACGCAAATCTAGACTTAATTAGCAGAATGATTGAGACCCTCAAATATGCTTACCCATAGAAGAAAGACTGAAACATTCCATTATACGAAATTATGGACAGCATGCAAGTACCTCTTTTGTGTAGCCCTTTTCTTGCCATGTGTAAATAGGAAATGACACAAACTGCGAATAATTTTTAACAAGTTTCTCGATTCTCTCCGGATGAGCAAAACCTTTATCATCACGCTGAATAAAAACAAAACATAGACTGGTATTGTTACTGAGACTGATAACAAAAAATCAAAAGCAAAAGATAGTATGGTGGTTTGCATATAGACCTTGAGATGTAATGTAATGCGAGTTCCTCTAGGAATCATCTTCTCAGGATCAGTCTCTTCTCGGACAATATAGGAGCTAGAATTGGCCTCTCCTTCCCAAACAAATTGCTTATCAGACTTGGGACTCTTTGTTGAGACCACCACCTGTTAATAACATAAACAGTGAGACAGACAAAGACCATAAATAATTCAAAGTGTCTCATGTGAAGATGCAATTTACAAGTTTGAAATGCAGCATACCTTATCAGCAACCAGGAAGGCAGAATAAAATCCCACACCAAATTGACCGATCAAATTGCTGTCAGAACCAGCATCTTTGCTATCCTGTGAAATCAATGGCTTCCGTAAGTATATCATATCTTATTCTCCCATCCTCGTATAAGACACTTTTAATTGATGTTTCTTTAATCGAGAAAAAAAATTATATATGTTAATAACATCATGCACCTTTAAAGCTTTTAGAAACTTTGCAGTTCCACTGTGGGCAATTGTTCCAAGGGAATCAACAAGTTCTTGGTGCGTCATACCAATACCAGAGTCCCTGAATATCTCAGGCACATTAGAAAAAAAATCATGTAAAATTTTAACCAAAAATCTTAGCAGCAGCCGCTGCAAATCTTACGTGAGAGTAATTATTCCATTGTCTTGATCAGTTTGAATCCGTATGTCAAGTTCAGCAGCACCCTCCAAAAGCTGTGGCTCAGTAACACTAAGAAAGCGCAGCTTGTCCAAGGCATCACTTGCATTGCTGAAGCATAAAAAAGTATTTGAATTATGAGATAACCGTTAGATGATCTACATAATGGATTAAAACTGACTTGTACTGGTTGGATCTATAAGCCTCGACTAGAGCAACAACTTAAAACAAGACACATCAATCATTTGTATATATATATATATAAAGCTCATGTATAATGCAACTAGTAGTACAACTGATCCACCTCAGAATTGAGTTAATGCCATCATACCAACGCTTTTTAGTGTCATTGGTAGCTAATAATTACATATATAGTAATAAGCTATACGCTAGGAACATGACAGCCTCCATATTAAGTATCAGCATCACATCTATAAGACCAACCAGCAAACTAGGATCAGAAAAAACAAAAGCATCGCAAAGCTGAGTAATTACACTGCTAAGACAATCTATGAATGCACTAGCATATTTTTATATGCACAAAGCTCCCAATAAAACAGAATTCATTAGGGAAACAAAATCATTTATGGAACAAGCATGCACTGTCACTCTTTATAAATCATTAATTTTCCATAAATAAACACCTGCCACTAGACTTCATTTTATTTCCCCAACATTGATCGGACACCTGGCTTCTTATCCTTCTTGGAAACACTCATGAGTGTTGTACAAGAGCTTTTATCTCACAGTACCCATATTGTATATCTACCATAACATTAGTTTTAAAACTCTTCAAGCAGCCTTGCCCTTGTTGCCCTGCCTACCTCCGCAGGCATACCTTGGAATCAATTCATCTCATCAGCCTGCTTTGCTGATGATCACTCAGAAATGGTAGTAACAGAGGCTTTGTCTCTTCCTCACGCTACTAATATCATATATCTTGTATCACATAAGGTAAGAAATACACATGATCACAAACACTTCCACACCATAACCATTTTGAATTTTTAATTCAACATTGAAACATTAAAAACAGCAGAAGAATTACAAAAAAAAAGTGACTACATTACAAACTTGCTGGAAGTTTGAAACTTACCTGATAAGTTCCCGAAGGAACACCTCTTTGTTGCTATATAGACTGTTAACAATGAGATCCATAAGCCGGCTTACCTGCAGCAGAACAACATCATGATATTGCATGCTAATGATAGTAAAACAAGTTTAATTTCATTACACTAAAGAAAACTAGATAGTTTATATTTGCACACCTCAGCTTGATACTCGTACTTCTCCACAGGTGTATCAGTTGCTGAAATGTCCGCAGCAGTTGATTCATACCGCTTTCCTATAGGAATCATGTTTCCTGATTTCAAAGGCTTGGTGGAAGCAGGTCCATTGCTTGTCAAATGCGTTAAAATCGAATACCTTCTGCCACTAGCATCCCTCTCTCCACCCTGTTCGTGTCAGATATATCAAAAAAAGAAGTGAGAAAATACCTGGAACTAATTGACGATATAAATCATTTTGCTAAATCATCCAGGAGATCAATAAAAAGACAACATTACGCATCTGTGATTGCACTGCTAGCATGAATCATTAGGACCACTAGAGGAATTCTCGATATATTCACATGAATCGTGTTGCAAATTTAAAGAAATTTGCCAAATACTAATTTTCTCTAATGTTCATATCAATTTTGCAGTTGAAAGGTAACCCGTTCAATATCAATCGAACTCCTTTTCGGTACAAAATAAGTGTCAGAAATGATCCACGAAAATCCTATAACGAAATGAGGAAGCCTCGAACCGTCTCGCTATGGCAAGACTTGGTGAGCAAGAAAAAGTCATACTGCTTAATAGAAATGACAACCAACACTACATAAAAAAAATGGGTACTGGTAGGAAATCCAGAATAGATGAAGAATCATACCAATTCGTTGATACTTGAAGAACCAATGGAGGCCACAGGCATGGCATCACGGTGGCGATGGCCACCGTAGCGGAGGAGAGAGTTGACAGAACGCCTAGATAGCCTGTGCATGTTTGTGCAATTGAAACCGAGGAACAAGAGTGTGATAGATTGAAAATTTCTTCGCGACTGCGGAGGGATTACAAGGGTTTTGGTAGGGTTTGAGGAAAAAATAGGGGTTTATGGAAGCTTCTGGATATGGAGGGGTTCTTACCTGCTAAATTTGGAAAATGGAAAAAAAATAAAACCAATAAAAAACCTTTAACATCAACGGAACAGTGTGAAATTTGTTACTTCACATTTGATTTGATACGATAATGTGTTTCCGTAATAAAAAAATAATTTTTTTTTATATTTTTTAATATAAATAAAATTAAAAAAAACATATATATATATATATGATTTTATTTATATTCTAAAAAAAATCATTTTAATAATCTTCTTAGAAGGTATTAATTTGTTCTCTTTTCTTCTACCAGTTTGGGGAACGTCCAGTGCCAAAGTCACTGAATGGGTAAATCGCCAATCCCTAAAACGGACTATGTAATGCTATGTAATGTAAATGAGAAGTAGCTAACCAACTTCTAGGAGAGACATAATTGACTGCATTGATCTCGGTAGCTACGCCACCCACGGAATTTAAAGAACCTAAAACTCGGACCTGTTCTAAAAGGTCGAGGTATTTCGAATTGTTTGTTGACACGGACAAAGTCAGGGAAAACCTCTGAAATTTTTTCAATATTGAACCTTGGACATATAATAGTTCCGAAGGGAAAAGTTTTAGAAGGAAATTTATGATTATTTTTCTTCTTTTTCTTTTTTCTTTCCCTCTTAAAAAGTTTTGAGAACACGAGTTTTTTCTCTCATTTTCTTTTCTTTTATTCGTAAAAAAAGGTTTTGAGAAGACAAGAAGTATTGTGTGAGGATAGGAATTAAGGTGAGAAGTTTATAAAAGATTTGGACATTTGATCACTTTTCATCCTTAAATAACCAATGAATTGTGTTTTCGAATGAAATTGATTTGTATCTCATTAGAGGTGTGTGTGATCTGGTTTGGGCCCAAAATGCAAACCACAAAGAACATACGATTGGAGCTTTTTTTTTTCCCCCAAATTGTGTTACATATGTCTAAAACTGCAAAATGTGGAGCGGTACATTTTATACAGTTATATAACACAGTTCAATTAAATTATTATAAAGTCAAAACTTTAAAAATGTATTCGATAAACTATGTTTTCTGATGTAAAAGAATCATGGTTTCTTTATCCAAATATGCAAACCGCACAACAAAAGTTCAAATTCGGACTATGTACCAAAATACAGAAAACTATAAGATTTTTAATATCCCCGTGAGTTTTTCTGGTTATAGACATTTTATTTGCAATCATTTTTACTTCTTATAATATTTCATTAAAATGCAGTTATGCACCCTCCTGTATGTCATTGAAAATTATCAACACATGTATTTTGTACGCTTTGCAGGTTCAGCTCACAATCGCACCCCATTATGAACACCTCTAGCTATACAACATATAGGTATTTGTTGGAGGACCTTCTTTTAAGAACTCTCTAATTTGTGAGATCTCTGAGAACCAGTATATCATGTGTTATTTTATATGATTTTTTTTCCCATATGAAATAGTGTAATAATCAACATATTTTTGTTTCACAATGTGTTTCTTTCACGTATACTTGGTTCACAATGTGAGCCTCTTTGGCCTGTTTGTGAAACAAAAAATACACGTAAAAAAATTTCATATTGTAAACCAAATACATATGAAACAAGCACACTGTCATAATAAATTTTGGAGTTCTCAAATGATCAAGCATTAATACTTGTCATAATAAATAAATAAATAAATAAATAAATACGTGAACATTTTTATGGCGTATCAAGTGTTGTCTGTCCTAAATAAAACCAGTAGAAGTTTTCACTTAAGAAAATATTACATGCGTTTAATCTATATAGTTTGATGGTAGAAATGAAAAAAAAAAAACAGTTGTGACCGGTGTCTCAAACCGATTATAATAAATCCGAATCAAAAAGTATCACCACGTAAACTAGACGGATGCATCACACTATGTTTTCTAAAAAAGCAGTATGAACCAGTTAACTTTAACAGTTAACTGGTTCCATTAATCAGTCATTTAAAAATTAGATTTGATCATGATGACTATAACTAGTCAAAGACCTTCCAGCCTAGTGGTAAAGACTTGGGCATGACATAGTCATGAACCCGAGTTCGAGCCCTGGGAGGGGAGTGTTGGCGACATTTAAGTGAGGCCATGTTTTGACTCCAAATTTGCCGGGGATTAGTCGGGCTTTGGCCCGGACACCCTTACAAAAAAAAAAAAATATTATATATATATATATATATATATATATATATATATATATATATATATAAGGAGTTGTTTGGTTAGTTTTTCATAAGTCCGATATAAATAAAGACGTCTGTATGAACGAATATGTTTGTATAGATTGGAAATATTTTTGTTTAAAGGGGTTTTCACATAGAGGGAAAGAGCTTGTTTTTAGACTGAAATGTTATAGCTTCAGGAAAAACGTGGCTTTCTGCATAAAGTTTTTTCCAAGTAGCTTACTAAATAAACCACTTTCTATGTCATTAAGCCACTATCAAACAGTCATGCATGGCTAACCGAATAAGTTGGTACGTCCCATTAAGCTGCTAACAAACATGCCCTAAGATGCCACAAATCATCCCAAAACAATGACATCAATAAGCTGTACCGACAACATCAGAAAGATCCAACATGAAAAAAAAATGTACAATAAAAAACATGTTCATCTTTGCAAGAGAGACTGATTTCGTATAACCGAACCAAACCAATCGGCACAAAAATAATAAAATGTAAACAGACATTTTCTCTATCCCAACGAGTAGAGATGATTTCTAGAAGACCATGGCTTGCAAATAAAACTGTAAGGCTTTCATGTCAAAACCAATTTATAACACTGTACAAACAAAAATATCGGTGCCAAATTGGCAACAGAACGCATAAAAAATACGACTGACCGTAAAAGCCAAAAAGAACTTCACATATATGATGAAGCACCAGGAGATCAAAATTGCAGGTGTACACTATAACTCAATCTACTGTAAAACTATCAGTAAAGAATCTCTATATATTCAATTATGGCTTCCAATGGTATCATGCTTCTGTACTCAAGAATGTGCCGAGAAAGGCTTTACTAAAGCATAAAACGAAGAAACTTGCCTCACGTGTTGTAAATAGCAAGAAAGGCATCGTCTTGCTGCAAAAATGGAACCACAAGTAAGTTTATCGATAGATATAAGATTGTATATCTATCAACGCCAAGTTTTCTCTGCCTTCTGTAAGCAACCCCGTTGTTGAATCTTTGAATCCTGCAAAGTATTGAAAAGAAAGCTGATGAAATTCGTGACAACTTGAACAAAGCCCGGTACTTTTCTATTCATTATGAATTTTAAACCCGCATTTTATGTAAAAGATCTAAAATAATATGCTATCAACTTGAAATTGTACACGATGCTAAAGAAAAATGTAATAAATCGGAAAGACGTATTTTTGGTCAGTGTACTCCCTTCGAAATCCAGTTTATCCCTTAAAGGCTTAAGAACCCTACACGTCAAACCGGGAACTATTTTGCATAAAATTTATGTTGGCTAGGAATGAAGCTACTTTCATGATATAAACCCATGCTCAGCAATCATGGTGTCATCAATCAAGATGAAGACATTTCGTTGTCTGGTTCAAGTTGGTCTTTGCCATCCACATCGGTTTTTATATAAAGTTTGGAGCCGTGAATTTCAGTTCCAAATTGTGCATGTTATAGTAAGCAAACGGGAATGAACAGGACTAGACGACCAAGAGTGAGGTACGTGAGTGAAAGAATTGTGCAAGGTCTTTAGGGTTTTAATTTGACATGAGTAGTTTAGTAATTTTCCTATCCTGTCCCCATCTCCCTTGACATTTTGTTCCACCTATTTTGGTGAGACAAAATGCATTTTTGTCCCACTGTCTCATGTCCTAGTCTCCTCTAATGTCACACTAAACGTAGAACAAGTTTTTGTTCTGTCCTCATGATAAGGAAAGCTTGTAACAACTACCAAGCTTTAACATAATTTCTTTTCAAGTAACATGAATGAGTCGATGAACACTCTTTTCTGAAAAATGGAAAAAGTAACAGATTTGACAGCTGCTGTATTGTTTACTCTTACAGAAAGGGTGCATAAGTCATGCTTGGTTTTTTTTAAAAATTATTCCTAATCTGCTTGTGGTTCGTTTATCCTTCTCCGACAATTTTGGCAACTCTTTTGCATCTTACTAATAAAAAGATGGTTAATTATTGGACTTACAAATTGTTCCATTCAGATTAGTCTTTGGGGGTCCAGTTTCATGAAGGGGCAAAGATACCAAAAAGCCTAACGTTTGTTTACAACATCTCCGTAGTTCAAAAACAAAATTTCACTTTTGGACCAGAATTTCGTTTCCATATGCACTAAATTATTTCCTTTTACCTATAAGCAAATATAAGACTTCTTTGTTTCTATAAAAAAACACAGAAAACATATATGACGCTTCATCATCGGTAGTCAACAATTTTCTATCCCTACAGTCCTGACAGTCTCATAGAATTGTTCCACAGAAATGAGCGTATCATGTAATCGTAGGCAATTCTAAGCTCACAAGTCTTCGAAAGTGAATTCCACTTTTCACATTCAAGAAACTGATGAATAGATTCAATCATGGAATAAATTTATCATCATAATTGGTGTTTGGTTCAACCTTGGTATATTTTCCTCATTGTTTCTATCTCCATTTTTCATCGTTCAGAAACTAAGAAGGCTGCACTAGAAAAGATACAAAAATGTTCGACTAGATACACGTCCTCCAGCCTAGCATTATTTTGGGGTCATGGAAATAAAAATCCACATCATTATAGTAGAATTATAATGTTCTTTCTCCAACCAAAGAGAATTATGAAGTTTCTTTTTGAGCGAAATTTCAAGCTAAACTACCTATTTACCCATAGTAATCATAACAAATTATATTGATGCTAATTGTTTTTGGTTCACAAGAATCCTTTCTTTTATCAATGAAGGGTTATACTTGTACTATAATTGCTTTATAGTCAAAGACTTCTATTAAACATCAAAGTTGCAATTTTAAGACAGAAAAATTCGCCAAATTCTAAATTCAAATTTCATTCGTCATGTAGTATGTTTTATGGACTATACTAGAACAGAAATTAAGAAAAATATAATCTAGACAAATTATTCAGAATTCAGAAAGTAAATGGGAATAAAATTTTCATAAAATGTGTTTACCTGAAATGATCATGTCTTATCAGTAGGGTCACATCTTTCCAAAAATCAGATGTTGCGATTTTGGTGCTCTTCATCCATGGAGTTCTGTAACAAATTTGACCACCTGATTAGAGCATGCTCTTTTAGAAGCATCGCCAGAAAGCGAAAATACCAATAATTAACCATACCTATACGAACAGAGCATCTTCGCACTCACCATGCAAGGATTCGCATGGCTAGAAAGAGGTTGCAGCTCACATTTATCTACAGATGGCAAGGAGCCAACCTAGCGAACACGTTTTTTTCAATGACTCAAGTGGATAGCACCACCTTTCACAATGGAGAAAATTCAACCTGTTGTCGTCCCGCTATAATGTTTCAATTTAGCTACAACCTCATGAATATCACAATTCTTATCGGCTGCCGACAATTCTTTTGCCAACATCAGATATGTCTGAAAGTTAGGAATTTTGTTCTTCGATTGCATTATATGGATAAAATGTATGCATGTCTCCACCTCAGCCTCCTTGAGAAGCCCATCAATCAAGATGGTCCAAACAATCTCATCAGCATCATATGGTCGGTCAAGCATGTCTTCAAATAACAGACGAGCATTACCCACTTGCCCTGACTTGCAGAAAGCAGAAATAAGTGATTTATATGATTGGATATGAGGTTCAAGATCTTTTACCATCATCAAATCAAAGAACTCCAAAGCAACATCCACTTTCAAGTTATTACAGTGAGCAGCTATGAGAGAAGCATATATATTTCGGTCAGGATTTATGCCTTTTTCTTCCATCTTTTGGAGCAACTCGACTGCCTCTGTACTCTTGCCCTCCTTACACAAACCGGCAACTATGGTACTATAGGTCTCAACTGTTGGTTCAAACCCATATTCTGACGTTCTGACCAGAAGATTCTCAAAGCTCGCATCTCTCTCATCTGAGCTGCAACTGTACATTTCTTCATGTTGGCCTGCGGCTTTTTCAAAATGTAACCGGCATTCCTTTTCTAGTCCCTTCATCAAGACTTGAAAAGTTCTATAGTTGGGTTTGCATCCTCTACCAACCATCCGTTGAAGAAGTGAAAATGCATGATCCACTCGATTTAGTGATATATATCCATTGATCAAAGAAGTATATATCACATGATCAGGAGTGATCCCTTTTCTCTCCATTTCTTCAAGCAATATCTCCGCTTCATCAGCCCGGCCTTCCAAACATAACCCATAAACGAGTGAACTATAAGTGAGCAAATTTGGCATGCAATTCTTCTTCTCCATTTCATGGAAAATCTCAAATGCAAGATGAACACCACCATTTCGACACAGGCCATCAACTAAAGTTGTGTAGGTAATCACATTTGGAGCCACCTCTTTCGCTACCATCTTCTCAAATAACTTTTGGGCTTCACATAATTGATTCCTTTTCGATAAACCAGATATTATTGCATTGTAAGTTTCAGTCTCGGGCCTGCAACCATGTGTTTCCATCTTTTCCAGCAACAAAAGACCAGCTTCTACTTTCCCTTGTTTGCAATGACCATCTATTAAAGTAGTATAATGGACCTTATTCGGTATCAATCCTTGCTCCAACATTTCATGGAAAAGAGTTGAAGCTCCATCAAGATCCCCTCCTTTACAGAACCCGGAAATGAGTTCAGCATAAGTCCACTCATCTGGTTTGCATCCATTTGCCTTCATCAAACTCAATAATCTCATTGCATTATTGAGATCCTTTTGTTTGAGGAATCCAATAATTAGTGTGTTATATGAAACAACTGTTGGCGAAGGGCCTACTTTGGTCATTTTACTTAATAAAACCATAGCTTTCTGGAGGTTTCTTATCAAGCACAAGATCCTAATGATTTCATTGTACGTTTCGGTATTCAGCAAGCTACCATGTACCTCCATCCAATCAAAAATCATAAAGGCAGAGTCAAACCTCCTTATCTCTCCTAATTCATATATCAAAGCATTATAAGTAACCATGTTTGGGATCAGCCCATCTCTCAACATCTTGTGGTAAAAGCCCATTGCTACTTCAGCTTGTTCCGTACGAAACAACCCACTGATAAGAGCCGTGTAGGTCTGCACGTTTGGCAGGCAGCCCTTTTTCCTCATGATAACGACAAGATTAATAGCCTTCTTCACAAGCCCACCTGCACACAATGAAGAAATCGGGACCGTGAACGTATAAACAGTAGGCTCGATGTTTTTGTCCATCATTTCGTTGAGCATGTTTAACGCCTCATCAACCCTGCCAACATTGCATAACCCGTTTATAAGATTGGTGTAAGTCGCTGAATTTGGATTACAACCTTCCTTCACCATCCCATCAAATACCCTGAAAGCGGATTTTAAATCTCTATTCCTACAATAACCAAGAATCATAGAACTGTAAGTGAACACATCCGGATACAAATCATACTGAATCATCTGATCTAAATATGATTCCGCCTCCTGAACCTTTCCCTTTTTACACAACATGTTAATCATGGTGTTGTATGTCAACAAATTGGGTTTGATCCCACAACTCAAAATCTGTGTAAACACATCCCGAGCAGCCTCAATCATTTGAAACTTCGCCATTTGAATCAACAAAGTGTTGCAGCTATATAAACTATAGCCAAGACCTTTACTTCTAAGTGCATTAAAATAATCAAGAACACCCATCAATTCCTCTTCACATTTACATTCTTTCACCATCAAAACCCTAATATGATCCATATCGGCCAATCGGCCTTCACGAACTAACCTGCTTAACATCGCCTTATAGCAATTCAAATCATGCTTATAAGAATGGTTCTTGGAAATCCAATAAAAGAAACGAACAACTACATCTAAATCTCTATGGGCAGTTACAATTCTGGCAACATGAACATGCTGAAGTTTATGACTAACATGCTTGAGTTCTTTGTTTTCAAACCAACGAGGTTCACACAAGATTTTAGAAACATTATCGACCAAATTAGGGTAGGTACGCTTGTTATTCTCAGCATAAAGATTGGGATGTGATGAATATCTAAGAAATGTGTGAGATCCCAGTAGAGGGGAGTGCTTTCGGAGATCAAAAAGAGATTGGGGATTAAAAGGTTTTACCATTTCGTGTTGAAAGATAGAAATTTCATTCATGAGCCGGCTGCGAACAGTTGCATTGAGGAAGAATCAATACAAGTAGTACCGATTTTTCTAGTGAAAAATGGTAACGGTGGCATGATTCTACGAGTGAACGTGGTCGATTGAAGACCATATGAATAGAAATTGGGTGGTGAGAAACATGAATTTGGGAATCGAATGCGATATATACACCTAAAAAGATGATTACGTTATCGTAATTGCACGTAATCGGAGACCCTTTTACGGCTGTTAAAACCCTAGGCCTAGGGTTTATTTTGAAATTAGGGCAGACGATATGTTTGCAGTGGTATCTGGTTAGTTCCTTTGGCTGAGATGTGACCAGACCGATGGGTTACACTGGACTAGACGAACTAGCGGATGATGGTTGTAGAAAAAAAAAACATTATTTGTTATCAAAATAGATGAAAAATTAAGAAAATTTGGTAAATTACTAAACTATCTATCTATATTTATATCTATACTATATTATAAAACATTTGATAAAAACTATTAAAAATCATTTTTTTATGTATGAAGTATTGTATATTGATATATATTACTTAAAATTCAAGATTACAAGTAAATTATACATAAATACAACTTATTAAAACTCCATGTTTGAATTCGTGTTGCTAACTGCGGATAAACATAATAAAATAGAGAATAAACATCTCATTTTAAAATCTACAATATAATTAGAATAATTATTAAGTTCTAACAAAATAATTAATTATTATCTTTATAAGAAAAAAAATATGTATAAATACAACTTATTAAAGCTTTATGTTTGAATTCGTGTAACTAACTATGGATAAACATAATCAAATAGAGGATAAAAATCTCATTTTAAAATCTAAAATATAATTAGAATATTTATCAAGTTCTAACAAAATAATTAATTATTACATTTATAAGAAAATTATATTATTAAACCAAAAATAAATTACTTCGTTATTGAACCTAATTAAGTTATAATAAAAAAAATGAATTAAAAATTTACACAAAAAATGAGAAATTTTAAATAATTAATTTGATACTAATATCGATATATTTTTGTCGATATCTTCAAATTTATATTTTATTGAAAAATAAAAACATCATCCTTTTTTTCAAAATCACATAGGAATATATTATAACATCGACTGAGATAAATAATAAAATAAAATATTAAAATCAAGATGTATCTCGCTGCGTTGCACGAATACCCTTCTAGTCTTATATTAAAACATTCCATGATTTTTCATTCATATACCTTATTTTCGTTCGTCCGATTTGACAGATCCATAGACTTTCTTAAGCGGATGCACCTTTAAGGTGAATCAAAGACTTGTGAAGTCACGTGTTTGATAGAAGGGAAAAGTTGTGGCAGTTTGACTTGAGGGAAAGTCAACCATATCGATTTCGAGAATAATACATTTTTTTCAATCTAAATTAACATTGACTTTTTAAGCATGACACAAGTCTACGTCTTACATCTGACGTGTTTTTAGCTAAATTCCACCATTGCGGGGAACTTTTTTGGCTGTTTTTATAAAACTTTCCAATTTTCAGTATTTAGTTTTGATCTGACCGTTTTTTGCTAGGTTTTCAATTTCCTTTTCTTATGTAGAACTCCTGGTGTTAAATAGTATGTTTTGCAAATTAAAATTAAACATGCATCTTATTTATCTTTCGGTCTTCCTTAGGCATCTAGGCTTTCGAGTACTGGTAATTAAATCAGTAACTAACAGTAAATTGTAAAATACAAACAAATCAGGAGGGAAAACTTATACGTTTGGAAAAAAAATAATGATCAAGAACAGATAAATAATATGCAATTAATCAACAAAAACTATAAATAAAAATAGAAATGGAGATGAAATTAATAGAGTATTCAGTGTGGAGTAAGAATATCAGTAATTGGGTTTTCAGTTCTTTAAAAAAAATCAAATATCTGCTACAGACAAAGATTGAAATTGAGACCTCCTATATGGATAACTTTTGTTCGCGTAGCCTAAACAATCTCACCAAGTCTAGATTCATGTTAAAAGTTTGGTTTTAAAATGCATCAGGGTGACCTCAAAATCAAGCGCGTACACCTTCAAGATATTTGTTTTTTTTTTCCTTGCAATAATCACGTAAGCGAGTGCATGGGACCCTGTTCGGTCCTTTGTAGGTCTGCTCCTATCTAGTTTTGTCCAACTTCGTCTGCATAACAAATACCCCTTAAGAAAAATGTGGTCGGCATAAATAACTTCTTATTGTAAACAAGAATGTTAATAGCTGGAAAAAATCATAACACGAAATTGAAAAATCCCAAAATTATGACCAAAAGAACCAGCTATGTAACCACAATGGTGGTGTTTGATTGGTTTGGGGTTGGGCTCTAAAGGTCAAAAGTGTTTGAACGTCTCAGCTTCAAATTCAAAGAGGAATAAGCATCCTCTGTGGCCAAGAAGGTTCAAATGTGGTGACTCCGGGCTACCCGTAAAGCAGGTGGTCGTCCTGAGATTAGTCGGTTCGCATAGTGAGTTGAATATCCAGGTTAATAAAAAAAAACTCAGCTATGTTCCATCTCATCACATGTTAATGTTTTATATCATTGTTTTTTACCTGTAAGGTTAAAACAAACTGTTTTTTGGAACCATTAATTTCATAGTCAAACGCCCATGTTAATTATAACTTCAGATTTTAGTTTGTTTTTTAGATAAGAGGTCAGTTAAGATTCACACACTCATTATCACTAGCAGTAAAATGCATGACAAAACAGTATTAGTTTTCAAATCCTTAATCGTAGATATGAGTTTGACCATCTACCATGGTTGGTAATTTTTCAAAAGATGGGAACTATTTTAACTCATAACAAGAAATCCATTTTACTCAGATACAAAGGAAAACTTACACGTGGATGAAGTAATCAAGAGGGTCGGGGGTTCGTTTACTAAATGCTTACCTTGTAACTGTTTACTGGATCACTTACTTTACCAGATGAACATGACAAAGATCAAGAATATTACCCCATAAGAGCGATGAGAAGGATCAAAAGTATTACCAGTTAGCGCTTACCAAGTAAATTGTTGCATACGCTTACCATCTTATTCGGTAAGGTAATCAATAGTGTTGAATTTTACTGGAAAACACTTATCGAGTAAGCGTTTAGATAAACAACCCCTTGATGTGAGATAAATAATGAAGCAAATTATCAAGGTGTAGCACAAAAGCAATTAAATACTGAAATAGATAGACATATCGGAAATTAGTAACATCATATCTTTATATCGAATAAAAAACTTAAAAAAATAGACATAAAACAAATTGTTATTTAACCTTTTTTGTATTTTTCAGTATGCAATATAATTATTCATATATTTTTGGGTTTCCTGTTATCTACTATTTTTAAAGTTCTTTTGAATTACAGAGAAGACTAAAAACACATCTCTTATATATAATTTAAGGTGACATTTATATTTTTAAGAAGTGCTTAAGTCTGAAGTCTGATTTTACTTATGATTTATAAGATGTGGTCCTGGAGTCTGAAATCTGGATCAATAAGATTGTTTGTTCTTACGTATGAAGTCTGAAATATGAATCGGTCAAACTAGTGCAAAAATATAAAAGATAAACCGTTTTTTTTACAAAAACATAAAAGATAAATAGTTTTTGCTAACAAATGTTTTTCATCCCCCAAAATATGAACCATTTGATAGAAGGTAGATTAGAATTAAGAAGTATTAAGTGATACGTTTACCACTTAAAAATTTCAGAAGACATTTAGAGCTTTTAAACTATTATTTTAGATATAAAACAAACGCTTTTAATATTCAAATGCCTGAACAAATCAAATTTCAGAGATATTAAGAGATAATTTTTTTTTTTAAAAAGTACCGAATTCTCTATTATATAATTTTTATGGACTCTGTATAATATAATGAGTAAGCTAAAAATTGGGTCCTTATAGTTTGTCAGATATAACACTTTTAGTCCTTATAGTTTTAAAATTATAAGAACGCATCCGTGGTTTTCGAGATAAAAAAAAAAATTGTGCCCCTTATCTTTTTGGGCCCTTTGACAAAATGATTTGACTTTCTCGAGTTCGTCCGGCGGGAATCCAAGATTTGCAGCGGCAAACCAAATATCTGTTTTCCGAGAGCTTTAGGGAATTTCCAGTTCGGACGATCAATAACAGCATTGTTCTTGGTTTCCTTTAATTCTTCAACAAAAACGGCCTACAATTCTACCCACCTTTCAAGATGCTCCAAGTTGCAGCTTCTGGCTCTCTTCATGTAAAATCAAGCCTGTATTCTTTCCAAATCTGTAGAAACCCAGTTGAACCTGCTCAATTACATGCTGTATCAGTGAAAACAGCAACTTTTCATGATCCTTTGATCTCTTCTCGCCTTATATCTCTCTATGCCAATTCTAAAATCAACACCCTTGATCATGTCCGCTCTGTGTTCGACCAAATGCAACAACCAACTTTGTTTTCTTGGAACGTTCTCATCAAGTCCTACGTCGAAAACCAGCGTTCGCAAGAATCCCTCCTCTTGTTTCTTGAATTTATGTCGCGGTCAGGCTTAATGCCTGATGTTTTTACTTTGCCTTGTGTGATTAAAGGGTGTGGAAGATTAATGGCGATCAAAGAAGGGGAGCAGATTCATGGGTTAGTTTTGAAGTTTGGGTTTGGTTCGGAGGTGTTTGTTCAGAGCAGTTTGGTGAGTATGTATTCGAAATGTAAAGATATCGATTCTGCACGAAAGGTGTTTGATGGGATGACTCACAAGGATTTGACTTCGTGGAACTCTTTGATGGACGGGTATGTAAAATCTGGTGACATTGAACTTGCAAAAGAGTTATTTGATGAGATGACTGAGAGGGATGTTGTCTCATGGACGGTGTTGGTTGATGGGTTGTCAAAATGTGGCAAAGTTGATGATGCCCGAAGGGTGTTTGATGAAATGCCGAGCAAGAACTTGGCATCCTGGAACGCCATGATTAACGGGTATATGAAAGCGGGCAACTTTGTTTCTGCTCGTAACTTGTTTGACCAAATGGAAGATCGAGACATCATCTCTTGGAATTTGATGATTGCAGGGTATGAATGCAATGGAAGGTTTTCAGAAGCTCTAAAGCTGTTTACGGAACTGCTAAACTCGCTATACGTACCTACTCATAGTACGTTGGTCAGCACTCTATCTGCTATTTCTTGGCTAGCTCTTCTTAGCAAGGGAAGGTGGGTTCATTCTTATATCGTTAAAAACGGACATAAATTAGATGGAGTTCTCGGTACTTCGCTAATAGAAATGTATTGCAAATGTGGGAGCATTGAGAATGCTTTGAAGGTTTTTGAAGCTATACCCAAGAAAAAATTGGGCCATTGGACCACTATAATCGTAGGATTAGGAATCCATGGACAGGCTAAGCATGCTCTTGAACTATTCCATGAAATGGTTAAAATTAACATCATCCCTATTGCTGTAACCTTCATCGGTGTGTTGAATGCTTGTAATCATGCAGGTTTGGTTGAAGATGGTCGAAGATATTTCAATATGATGGTTAACAATTATGGAATAGAACCCACAATCGAGCATTATGGCTGTCTTGTTGACATTCTTTGCCGAGCGGGTCATCTTGAGGAAGCAAAGAATGTGATAGAAAAAATGCCCATGAAACCAAACAAGATTATTTGGATGAGTTTGCTTAGCTCTTCAAGAATCTATAGAAATATGGAAATTGGGGAATTTGCCGCTTGCCATTTAACCAAGATTGCGCCAAATGCCATTGAAAGTTACGTGCTTTTGTCTAACATGTATGCTGCAACTGGGAATTGGGATAAAGTGTCGAATATTAGAGAAACGATGAGGAAAACAGGCGTGAAAAAAGATCCTGGATGCAGTTTGATAGAGTATAAAGATTCGGTTCATGAGTTTACGGTGGGCGATAAATCACATCCTCAGACTGACGAGATATACGATAAGTTGAGCGAGATTAGGGAGCAACTGAAATCTTTAGGGCACGTGCCCGATAAAACGCAAGTTCTGCTGCATATCGAAGGGGATGATGAGAAGGAAATGGAGTTGGAAAGCCATAGCGAGAGGTTAGCGATTGCCTTTGGTCTAATTAATATGAAACCAGGGATCCCAATTCGGATAGTGAAGAATCTTCGTGTCTGCAATGATTGTCACTCGGTTACGAAGCTTCTGTCCAAGATCTACGATCGTGAAATCATTGTCAGGGACAATAGCCGTTATCATCATTTCAAAAACGGATCATGTTCTTGCATGGATTATTGGTGATGACTATTGAGGCAGGTTAAAGTGAAAACCGTAAATATTTTGAGAACGTGGTACCAACTATTCTGCTTTATTCATGACGAATGTCGTGATAGATATTCAATGATGAATCATTCATTATCATGAAAATACATGATATTTATGATGATAATGCATGATATTCATGACAACAATATTCATCATTATTCAAGGTTATTCATCATAAATAATACATGAAATACTTGGTTCCCTGATGTTGGTGATGAGGTGAACTATCATGATCTCACCTGCCAAAAGAATCTTATGAATCTGCACAATGGGAGTCTGTTTTCGATTCAGATGCAAAATCGATCACTGATTTGAAGACGATTTGCAGGTTCAGTTCTTGCGTCTACATACTGCTATCAACCGGCTATAGCATGGTGATGATCAAAGGTTAAATCTTTACTTTCTGAAAGTTGGATCAGTTTATTCATCAATGTTTTAGGAGCTGTTCAGTGGTTTTTCTATTAAGTCCTATATATATTAAGTTTTTTGTATGAATTAAGCCATACATTACATTAAGCCAATTAGAGCCATTTCCGAACAAGCCCTTAGTTTCTTTCGTTCCATAGTTCTCTTTTGTTTATAGTGCAGTTCCCCAATTAATTTTGCTCCAAAACCAGAATTTATTCAACTTGATCTTTAGCTTTATGATTCATGCTTTCCATCTTATCTGATCTCTAACATGGTGCAACTTTCTGTTAAGAGTTCAAGAATCAAAAAGTTATCGACTTTTTGAACGAACGGACTTGGTTCAAAAGGTTCGATCATTCGGGAATAAAAACCAAACCAAACGAGCCCGGTATATCCCACCTGGAGGTGAGGTAAGACGTACACAGACCTGACTTTTACTCTAAAGAGTAGAACGTCTGTTTCTACGAGGACCCCTGACTAGCGAAAAGTATGTGAAATGAGATACAAATATGCTAAAACTTGAAAAACTACTTGGGGAATAAAAACTGAAGCTTGATATATGAAATGCTACATAGTTCATCGACAACACAGCTTCTGCTTGTAATTTTGCATACCGATTATCAAATTTACAGTTGTTCAACTCATTTTCCGGGCACAAAGTTGGTAGCGTAAGCCCAGGCGTTGTTAGCTACGGGATCGCTAAGATGGTCAAAAAGGTTCTCAATCGGGCCCTTTCCGGTTACAATGGCCTGAACGAAGAATCCGAACATGGAAAACATCGCCAACCGACCGTTCTTGAGCTCCTTAACCTTCAACTCAGCAAACGCTTCTGGATCGTCAGCAAGTCCAAGTGGGTCAAAAGCCCCTCCGGGGTAAATCTTGTCGAGTCCTTCGCCAAGTGGACCACCACCAACACGGTACCCTTCGATGAGCCCCATGAGGACGACTTGGGACGCCCAGATGGCTAGGATACTCTGGGCATGAACCAAATTGGGGTTTCCGAGGTAATCGAGCCCGCCTTCCGAGAAAATCTGGGATCCGGCCTTGAACCAGACTGCTTCGCCGAATTTGACACCATTCTTTGAGAGAAGCTCGGGGAAGACACAGCCAAGTGCACCAAGCATTGCCCACCGAGAGTGGATCACCTCAAGCTCACGGTTCTTGGCAAACGTCTCGGGATCAGCCGATAATCCTGCTGTGTCCCAGCCGTAGTCACCGGGGAACTCACCGGTCAGGTACGATGGGGTTTGCTCAGAGAATGGGCCCAAGTACTTTGGGCGGTCTGGTCCGTACCTGTTAAACCAATTACAAGTAATTTCAGTTACGAGTCGTTTATCAATACAAATTGGATAAGCGCCGACCAAAGTCTAGGTAAGAGGTCGAAATGGTTGTTTATGAAGTAATCCTTTCATCACAAAATAAAAATCCACAACGAAAAAGACACAATTTTTTACAACTATGAGACTCGGAATGATGAGCATTTACCATCTCAAATTGTTTGGCAATTGCTGAATGGTTTGGAGCAAAATGATTAAGTGGTCAGGATGATTAAGATGCTATCATGATATAGTGCAAAATGAAATATAATTGTTTGGTAATTGTGTACAATGAAAGTAGGGCTCTTAATGGTTAAGGGAAATCCATGATACAAAATCATTCAGAGGGTTTTAGAACCATTAAGAGGCAAACTTTTTTTTTTTTACCAAACAAGATTCACCTCTTAACGATCCAGAGGTTGCCTCATAATGAAACTATTAAGAGGTAAACAAACAAGATTCACCTCTTAACGATTCAGGGGTTGCCTCTTTATGCTAACATTTCAATTTCAAAAACAAAATGGTGGCACCCAACAAAACAATACGGTGGCACCGTTCAATAAAGCAATGGCCCTTGCCACCGCATTGCTCCTTATGGGTCTGCCCCGAAGTAAGAGGCTCTTATCCGGTAAGACACGAGAAATATCAAGTAAACAACCAATTAGTTTTTCATCGTTGTAGAACTGGAAACCGAAAACATCAGTACGAGAGTTTTTACCAAATGCTTTGTGGTGCGCTTTTGACGGTACGGCGCATGGTGAAGCGGCCTCCGGTGAAGGTGCCGGTCTTCTTGATGAGGTCGTTTTGCGGTTTCAACGCCGGCTGGCCGGCGAAAGCCGAGTGTTGGATTGCAGAGGTTGCCATTGCTACAAGGGAAGTGTTTGAAGCTTGAAAGGGTTTAGAGGAAGGTAAGTTTGTAGAGGGTGTGAATTGGTGATGAGGAGAATTGGAGGTTATATATGGAATTGATGGATTAGGATGTGTACACGTCAGCATTATCTGATTGGTTTATTGGATTGGTTTCTGATTTTAAGTGGGTGAGATGGAGGTCCATCTTCTGCCACGTGGATCTCAGATTTCTTTCTCGGTTGATTCTCAGCCACTAATAAAAATGAATAAATTAAAATAAAAAAAGGAATTTTTGAGATATAGTGTAAAATGAAATATAATTGTTCGGTAATTGTTTACAATAAAATTATGACGCTGAATGGTTAAGGGAGATACACGATACAAAATCATTTAAAGGGTTTTAGAATCATAAAGAGACAACTTTTTTTTGTCAAACAAGATTTACCTCTTAATGATTCAGAGACTGTCTCCTAATGGAACTACTAAAAGGTAAACAAATCTTGGTTTTTTACGGAGCTTTTAAAATTTTGGGGTTCAATTTTATTTGTGTTTGAGATTCGGATTATGTAGCTTTTAACCCATACTTAGAGACCTATATCAGTTTTTCAAAATTAAAAAAATACTATTTAATTTCAGAATTTATCGATTAAAAACAAATACAACTTTTTGATATTATTTTCACTTTGTTATTTTAAACATTCTATATTTTATTTTATTTATTATTCATTCTATATGATTTATAGTTTTAGATGTCTAACAGGACCTCCAAAAAAAAGTACGGGCCCCAGTAAAAACCGATGCGCTATTTTACGTTAATTTTTTCCTTTGAGGGACTGTTTACCAAACGCTTACTCGGGTAAGTGAACACCAAGTCTCATTATCTTACCAGATGAATATGGTAAGGACCAAAAATCTTACCCGGTAAGAGCTAGACAAAGACCAGGAGTCTTACCCAATAAGTAAGGGCAACGACTCTTACCACGGTAAGCGATTACCGGATAAATTGTTGCGTACAATATCGTTTTAATGGAATAAATTCTTACTCGGTAAGTAAATAATAGTGTTAAATTCACCGATAAGCGCTTACCGGGTAAGTGTTCGCAAACGGCCCTTAAAGACTAGAATAAATGGTATATGACAAAAGATATTTTATATTGTGAAACAAATATAAGTTAATCGATATGGTCTTAAATGAAAATAAATAATGTAAAATAATACTTTCAGATAAAAGTTTCTATGGCTTTTTTATTTTTATGTAGGGGTGGGTTTGGTACGGTACCCATTTTTTTTTGCTAATACCATGTACCAACCAATTATAATTGGTATGCAAAATCATGTACTATGTATCTACCAACTGTAATTGGTACCGATTTCTTTCGGTTGGTACATGTTGGTACCGGTTTGTACCAATTTCAAGTTACATATACGAAACAAAACAAAAAATCAAACCCTGGACAGATGGGATATTCCACCCCTAACCTCAACCACTACACTACCAATCCTACCCATTTCATGCAATGAAAACTTGTACTCAACGCAATGGTCGTTGGTTTATCGACATCCATCGCAATGGATTTCGCATTTTGAAAGCACCGAGTACGTCATGTACAGTGGTTCGAACCGATTCCATTTCACAACACTAAAAACAAACATCTACAACTCACCAAAACATTTGATTCATCATTCTGTTGCAGTTCATTATCATCTCAACAATATTCACTCCATAGGTGAAGGACCGTCTTCTGATCTCTCATCGGCCGCAACGCTTCCCATCATGATTGCCATCACCATCAACTTCCCGGCATCTGGAAAACTTCTATGCTGCATCAAGATCGCTTCCACAGAAGAACCCATAGAAACCTCCGATGATTCTTGCCTTAACGGAAGCACTTCTTCGAACCCACCTTCGTAAGTTTCGGCTTCCGGTCCATAACACCTACGTGAAGCCTGAAAAAGAGCGGTTTCTCTAAGAACCTCCAAGATTTCCTCATCGCTCAACCCCTTAGCCATGGATTCCTGGTTAATGGTCTCCCAATCGTCTTGATTAGCCACGTGCTTCCAGCATTCCTCTAGAAGACTTGTATTGCACCTCAAAAAGGAAAGACTGGTCCATGCAAATACATCGAAAGCATGCAAAACAGGTTTCTTGTTTTCAATCTTGAGGCATAACTGAATAAGGTCGGCCGGTGGGAGAAGCTTCTGAGCAATCTCCTGTGTTTCTTCATCATCGGGAAGGAGTTCCAATATCTCTTGCTGCGATATATGGAAGGTTATAAATATATAGAGATACAATTTTATAAATATATAGAGTAACTGAATATATAGTTGGGAATGTTCCACATAATCATTGTAACATGATGGGAACATCAAGGCCATGTTTGGCAACCGTAAGCGAGCTTATTTTTTGAACTTATTGAAAACTCTGTTCAGTTAGCCATTAGCTGGCTTTTTGAAAAGCCACTTCAAGTAGCATTTCAATATGCTGCAGGGTTTTTTTCCACCTTTTTTTCTTCCAATTATACCCTAATGTCCTTTTAGGTTATTTTATATTGTCATCAAGCTTATAAGCTAGTTTATCAGCTAGCTTATAGATTAACAACCAGCTTATTAGCCAACAACTAACTTTTCAACTAACAGCTAGCTTATCAGCCACACTAAGAAACATTTTACAGACTGAAGACAACCTACCTGCAATTTGAGAATTCTTGAATCAGCTTCAATGCGCTTCAATCTGGTATCATAATCAGCATTTTTTCCTGCCAAAATAGGAAGAAACATGAGATCTAATCAGCCATGATGAAATCAAGTGATCTGAAACCATCCAAGGAGATAGAAATATTGGTCGAAGGCAACAAGTAAAGAATACGAGTGGACAACCAAACTCAGCAGTAAGCAGTAGCAAAGCAGCTCCATTCATTCTTGACAAATAATCACCCACCATAACCCAACTTAACAGGAAAAACAAATAGTGAAAACGATCCATCAAGTTATAAGTATGAGATTTAAAATATAATAAAGTTCTTTTAATCCCGTTTCTTCACTACACGCCCAGAAAGCTTTAAAATGGAGTTACTGTTCTATTTGGATTTTATCGTGAACACCCACTGCTGGTAGGCTCCATGAAATTGGAAACTGGTACTCGGAAAAGGATGCTAGTTAACATATGATTACTACAGATACCAAATCATTACTCCCTCTGTCCCAGAATAAGTGTCCATATTTTTTTAGTTTGTCCCAAATAAGTGTTCACTTTCAAAAGTAAGTGCCTAATTTCCATTTCTACCTTAATTATAAGATGGAGAAATCTATTACTCCCTCTATTATTAAGTGTAAAATTGTCATTTAGTTATTAAAAAGTGTAATAACTACACATTTCTAAAACTGTCTTTTTCATTGTGGATATTTATTTTGGGATGGAGGGAGTACAAGTTAGTTAGGCGAAGAGGTCAAATGCAGCTGATCAATGTAAAAGTTCAAGTACAGAAGCCAGACCTGCCATGGCAGCTATCTTTGAGAGGTTTAAGAGCCGCCTTCTGTCCGCCAATGTTGGTTCGACTTTAGTTTCATAAGACGTGGGCTCCTCAATTTCGGAGATTGAACTATCTCCATCAGAAAGTGCCAGGACATGAAGAGTATCAGAAGCCGAGGAAAATTGATGTAGGAATATCTCATGAAGCCAGAGGAGATCTGGGTGGTCCTTCAAAAATATTGCTAGCTCTTCCGGAAACTCTTCCCCAAGCCTCATAAGTTTGGCGAACTGTTTATTGTTGTACATTTGCTTAAACACAAAGTTACTAAATCCACCTTTAGGACCCATGCTGTCATGCTGCACCAATAAATATCGAGCTTTGAGGACACACACAGAGACAACACTGTTAAATAACAAAAACAATGGAATTTCCTTGGTACTGTAAATTAAAAAGACCCCCAGTTTCTATTTGTTCCCGTCCGAGCACACCACGTCAATCTCAATCTAAATAATACACCCTCCGTCACAAAATAAATATCCAAAAATGCACAGTTTTAAAATATGTAATTATTACACTTTTTAATTAACTAAATGACAATTTTACCCTTAATAATAGAGTAATAAATTTCTCCATCTCATAACTAAGGGTAGAACAGGAAAGTGGACACTTATTTTTTAGACGAAGTAAATTAGAATCGTGCACACTTATTTTGGGACGGAGGGAGTACCGACTTTCCAAAACATACCAGAAAAAGTGTGTGCATAGTTGTGCTTGGGGTTGGTACCAAGGGGATAAGTCAAGTAACAAGACATGGTATGGAGCATACGATAATTACTGGAATGTAGAAACATCAAGAAGATTGAACTAAATGATTGTTGAATCAGTTGAATAGAACTTGTTTATATCCATACCATTAGACTTCGGAGTAGTTCCAAATCATTGTGATCAAAGCACAAATTCCAAAGAGTTTGATATCCCTCATGCCGTTTAGCAATAGCAAGTAAATTAGAAGAAAGCTTTTGCCTGATTTCTTCATTTTGCTCTTCCACCACTTCACTCGAACCCTGCAAATACCAATAATATCAGTAATCTGTCAATGAAGTTTCAGATGTTCAACTTCACGTTGTCAAGAGCATCATACAAAAGGTTTTGTTTTTGTTTTCACTCAACGTTGATACTCCCCCCCCCCCCCCCCCCAAAAAAAAAAAAAAAAAAAAACTTCCCATCCCACCACATCCACAAGATGGGGTGTAAGGGACCAAGTCTTTTTTAAGATTATTCAAAATATATCAATGTCGAACAGAAGTTACCATATGGGAACTCAGCACCCAAATATGCACATATATGCAGAGATCCATCTCTCAAAATTTCCACTTATACATTTACAGGTTATCGGGTAAATGTCAACACAAGCAAACAATATTGGAAAACACTTAATTTTATCTTTGGAAAGCAGGTTTCTCCCCAACAAAGAACAAACCCCCAATATCAAAAAAGCTTCAGCCATCTTTCTAGGTGGAGGTCACTTGGTTTCTGACAATTGCTATCTACATTCCATTTCATACGGGCTTAAGCATCAAGGGCAATGCATCATTCAGTTGGGTCACACACTTACAGAAGAGTTAGCCAGCGTGTTTCAGGAACTTGAATTTACTGTCCTCATTAATAAAAGCGTCTACACTTATTAATATCAATGGCAAGAGGAAGACCTACTGAAAAGAGCAATAAATAAACTTAAGGAAATGAAAATTGTATTTGCAACCATTATATAAGAAGCTTCTCTTCTGTAGTGATCATAGTATCATAGGCGACTTCAGAAAGGATATGATCATATGCCTTATATAGAGGTTGAAACTTGACTCGACAAATGCACGTCCAATTTAAGATAAGAGCTGGCAATGTTGTCAACAAGCTTCTATGCCCGTATCGGCAATGCATCAAGGGAAAACCTTGGGACTAAGACAGACCAAGCACCCAGAAGTTTAAGTTTAGTATTTCTCAAGATAAGGCGAACCAAGACCTTTTGAGTCTATCTGGCCACCATATTCCATTTGAAGTATATAATTATATATGGTAAAACTCACACACATTCCTCACCTTTGGTGAGAGGCTTGAACCCTTGACCTAGCTTTCTGCTCATAACCCAGGTACCACTGGGCCAATGGCCCTTTGGTAGCCACCATATTCCATTAAGTTAACTTCATGATAATAAGTATTAGATGAGTGCTTGTAAATAGAAGCATAGTTTTGTACAAAGCGTATCCTGTTATGCATCTAAGTGGCATGCTCCATCAGATGACTCCAACGTGATAAAAGAAAAACAGACCAGAAAAAAACATTAACTTGTATCCTAGTCCATTGGAAGGAAACATACAATATCTACACCAAAATTGCACAAAAGAATAGATTCTGAATAATTTTACCTGGTATGTGGCTTGGTTAAAACCTTTCACTTGTTGATAAAGTGAATCAAGAAGTGTATCTCTCCTCTTCCAGTACTCTTCCAATAAACTAATATGTTCTTCTTCACGCTCAACTTTTGCTGTGACGGCACCAGAGTATGCCTCAAGTAATACTTTAATCAGTACTTCTAGATGAGAATGAAAGTCCAACTTCGCTGATCTATCGAGGTGCCCCATATCCTTTACCAGTTGAAGCATGAAAGATGCAAGAGTCCATATCCCACTCCTCACGACAGTTTGAGAATACCACGGTGTTAAGCCTTCTGGAGAGGGATACCACATGTGATTCTCATCCTTGTAATTCATTGATGTATGAAGTAAGGTGACACACATGCTTGACAATTCACAGGCTCTTTGGAGCTGAAATGTGAATGGCATATCTCCACTAATTATGAGACTCAACTTTCTCTCCAAGCAATGAAATACTTCTTCAACTTCAGACACCTTACTGTAGAACACTTCTGCATTATCCCTATCCATCAGAAGAACAGTATTCTGACGGGCTCTCTCACCAACTAACTGGATTAAGTCCCAAATGGAACCAGAAAGTTCATCTTGTGAGTTAGAGTTGGTAAAGGCACTTCCAGTTGAGCTCTGCTGCCTAATCAGGTTCTGCAGCTCCCTGAGCTGAATCATGGCAGCAAGCTTTTCACCATGTTCCATGATGATCTGCAAGGATTTCCCTGATTACAAGAAGAAACAATTGAGAATTCATAATTGCAGGAGTGGACAATGATAAACAGAACAGACAGTGGACGCTCTTGGCACGTACTTACGGATGCCAGAGGGAAAAGTTGGAAGAGATGTAATTTATCTTTAATACAGCAAGAAACTTTCTATATAAACCTATTTGGGGTAGGCCAAAATTGAAAAGAAAGAAAACTATAAAATAGTATAACCCAAAAGCAAAAAAGAGGTGAACTCCCTGGGATTTAATTTCTCTACCAGAAAAAAATTATGGTGGTTTCAAGGAGGATATTTTGTGGTTTTATTCAGATATGGAGCTAAAATAACAGCAAGAGATTTATAAAGTCCTTAACCCCCGCAACCACAAATACACACATACTGTTAAATAACAAACAATTGTTTAACTTCTTTCTGAAGTCATAGAGAAAATACTAACCAATTATAGTCGCTTGCACATAATACATATGCTTGAACAATAGTGGACAAGAGAAATTTGCACCAAAGCATGCATTATTTACCTAAAATAACAAGTATAAATAGTTTAGAGTTTTGGGTTCTAAACTAAAACACATACCCAGGCCAGGCCATCTATTGATCAATGTATGTTTGGAAGTCAACCACTTCATCTATAAACACATAACCCATCCCAATGGAGGTGGGGTATACAGCACCAATCTTTCTGTCATATACCCATCAACAATTATGTAAGCGAATAGACGCAAACCACTTTTGTTTCTCTAGGTCTCTCCTCCCTCCATTATTGTTTTTTGTATTCCTAAAATCCTGTCAGTCTTTGACTTTTATTTTTTTCTTGAATTGCTTTTGTGCATAACTCATTAACTGTTAGCAAGTAAAGTTTATAGCAGGGAATTCAATAACTATAAAATATGAGTAGAATGCATTAAATTGATCGGTAATCATACTCTGTCGAGAACACAGTTCTTCATGGCATTTAGACAGAGCAAGGAACTGGAGAAACTTTTGATGCTTCTGCTGCTTATCTTGGAGTTGAGTGGAGACAACAGCTAGAGCCACGATCTCTGTACCCCTAGTAGTCGTCCAGTGTTTAGCTAGGGTGTCAACAATTGATTTGCTTAACCTGGCAAAGACATTTGTCTCTCCATCCCTTTCAAATGCCCCAGAATTCTGTAGCTTATTGAGTGTACCAGTGACCTCTCCAGATTGAAGAAAATCGTGAAAAAACTGGGCCAGTAAAGCTTCAGATTCTTCATCTTGGGCAGTCCGATGAGCAATTCCTGTAAAAGCTGGTCTTTGTCTATCTCCAGCATCCCATGCCTCTGAACTAGCCCTTCTAGGAGCAATATTTCCTGCAAAGGAGACGTTTCTTCTCTCCTCCTGTGTGGATCCTTCTTTAGAGCTTCCTTTACGAGACAAGCTTCGTTCAGGAGGTTCAACTCCACCAAGCAAAACAGCCTTCTCAGGGATAACCCACATTCCAGCTTTCTCGGTGAGGACAGCCCAAGCACCATCTTCTCCGTCATCAGAAGGGAAGACTGAAGCATCCAGAACTTTCCCAGCATCATAAGGTAAATCAAATTTATAAAGCCAGCTAGTGTTTCGCAAATACCGTGTGACTGTTGCAGTTCCATCCCCAGAGAGCACGATTGAAGATCCAGAAGGTTTACCCCCGACCTTCAACCTCATAGAGAATAAGAAGTCCTCATCTTCTACTCTAGCTTTTGGAATTATCACTTCAACTGGAGATCTTTTCTCCAAAATTTTCTTATGTGAACTATAAGTGGATTCTGAGCACACATCCAGTCCAGGTTTGTATTGCATGGTCAGAAGAGAGTATTCGGTGTAGCTTGAACCAGTGGCCCTGTCCTTGCAAAAGGTGGCGTAAAGAACAGTTATTACTTTACGGTTAATGTCTACTTGCATGTCAAGAGGCCAAATTTTCTTTTGCCCAGCTAGGCCCTTCTGTATACCAGCATCACCATCATCGCTTACTATTTCATGACACCACAGCTTTGACGTTCTAAAATCAGGAAGAAGTTCGACAGAAAAACACTGTATTTCATCATCCGTCAACAGAAGGAACTTCCTTTTTGGTTCTTTCAGAGAATGATCGGGTGCATGCCAAACCAATGACCTTGGGTACCCCTTGGGTCCCTCAGAGAATACGCTTATGATCTCTTGACAATGAATGCCAGTAGGGGAGCAAATAAATTTACAGAGTTGACCATTAGAACTACATGCAAGAGCTATGCAGAAATTATGCTTCTCAGGAATAGCAGAAGAAATCAAGGAATTATAAGAACTTGATAGTTTCTGTTTGTTTATGGTAGTTATGCCGCTACTAGACAAAGAAGTGGACTCTGACCGATCGATATAAGTGACTGAAGGAGAGGAAGAATAAATGTTGGGCCAATATACAAGAGCTCGTGTTTTCCTATTGCATAAGAGAACACCAGCAGCAGTTATTTTTTGATGAACCTTGTTTGTACTCCATGTGTTGTGATCCCAATCAAGAACACAAAGTAACCATGCATTACTCAAATTCTTGTTAGTATCAACATCTTCTAGTATGCTCGAAGGGAGTTCAAGAACGATACACTTTCTTGACGCTGCTGGTGATCGGTAGCTCCAGACGAAAAGCCGGTTTCCACATATAATCCATGCCAAAGTGGTTCCCTTGTCCATCCCACCAGAGATGCGTGTATCACCTGTCAAAATGAGGTGAACATGACATCTCATGGAACAACATGATAATCTTTCAAAAAATTGAGAACCATGTGTACTGACCAGAACCACGCTTCTGCAACATGTTAGCCTGTTCATCACGAACTACTTGGGGAACTTCTCCAACATATACAGGTTGAATGGGATCTACGTCATCCACTTTGTCGCTTTTCTTCACAGTTGGGATTCTACATAATATAAATCCAAGGTTAACACAGATGAATACTACCAAGCAATTCTTCAAGAAGATACACTAATATCATGTGTCATAATCACTAATAGGAAAGCTACATTGATATCAAAATCGGTCCACATTAAAAGCTACAAAACACCAATTGCTTCATCACGAGTTTTCAGAACAGCCGAAGGTCATCCTGGTATGACTCCCAAAAGTATTTTACACTTTAAACCTAAATTTTAAGTGCCATGAGCAAAATGTTTTCAGAATGTTCAAATCCATTCCTCATTTCATATGGCTAGATAATGCACTCCAATATATTCACCCTACAAGCCTTTTAACACAATAGACTGCAATTCCTCCAATAAACTTATTACCAAACTTCATCCAAACAACACAAAGAAAAAATAGAACCATGGGATCTCTAAACAGTATAAACCTGCTTAAGATATCATAGAATACTTTAAAGAACAAAAAGAATACATAAAATTTGTCCAAAACAAACACTAGTAACTCCATGTAGAACACAAAATCCAAAACCAGCAATAATTGAGCACAAATATAACATATACATCAGCACATCATGTAAAATTAATCACATACATACAATACTGATGTTAAAAGAGCATGTAGAGACGAACTACATTATGTACCTGTACTTTAAACCCTTGATTTAAGTATGATTCAGAAAAGTACTTCAAATAAAATTACTCACTCCGTCCCACAATAAGCATCCTGATTTGACCTTCAGACGCTAAACCTAGCACTCCCCAAATTCAAATTCAAAATCCACATTATCTATTTTCACATCATTCACATCAAATTTATCATTCGATTTGGTTACGGTAGGGTTTAGCGTAGTTGTTCATTTACTATCCAAATTCACGTTCTGAAGTCAGAGAGTGGTCTAATCGACTCTTACAAGTAATCAGTCACACCTATTGTAAATCGGAAGGAGTAAACAAAGAGAATCCAATCTTAAACGCCATACGAACAAAAATGTTTCCACCCCTAAAACGTGCATTTGGTTTCATTGCTCATCGACGTGCTTCTATTTGTGTAGACATGATCCAATCGGCTTCAACAACTTACGAAAATTACAAATAGTACATCCAAAAGGATCTACAAGTCAACTGAGTTCAGTAGTTTACCTAGCAAGAACAGACAACCGAGATGCCCAGGGAGCGGGGGTGCCGGTATTAGGTCGGTCAGGGATAGCATTTTCCGTCACCGGTTTTCTGTTCTCAATAAGAGGCGTCACCGGAGAACCATTACCTACAGGAGGCGTGTGTGCACGAACTGTTCGATCTTTTCTAGAGCTGAAGTTGGATTTCTTCGTCCCTGGAGAAAACATGACTGAAGGAGATTGAAGAAATGAATCAGAACTCAGAAGATTTGAATAAAGGGGTTTAGGGCTTTAGAGAAATGGAGGCAAAAGTTGTTACACAACTTTTGAGGAGGGGTAGAAGGTGTCTGCCCTAGATTTCAACTCGAGTGTTATAAAAGTTTGAAATTTGTGGTCAAAATGCATACAAATTCAAACAATTATTCTGGTATCTATGATGTAAAGTTTTAAATATTAAAATATCTAGATAACCAGTTGAAGCATTTGATGGATATCGTGCTAATTTGACGATTGATGTGGTATCTGATTCAGTATTATTTACTGACGTGATTAATGACATGAATTGTTTTAATCTAAAATTAATTTTTTAATTTAAAATTAGTCTTCAACCGGTTACCGAATATTTAAATTTTTAAAACTTAACATCTTAGGGGGTGTTTGGGATTTGTTTATTTGAAACAACTTATGTTTTTTTTCTACAAAAGTCATTATCAACTTATTATAAGTTGGAATGATTTAACTTCTTCAAAAACTCCTTATTACCGGTTTGGCACCGGTATAAACCGTTTCTCCAAACATTCAAAAGTGATTATTACCGGTGCCACACCGAACTAAGTCAATAAGTCATTTTTATAAGCAATCCCAAACACCCTCTTAGGTAACAAAATGAAAGTTCTGAAAGTACGTTACCCAAAATAGGAATCAAGTTAAAGTACGTTACTTTTTCATGCAATTTGCTCTTTAAAAAATATTTCTATATATATACCGAGACTGACTTGGTATGAAGCATACGGTGGCATTACTCCCCCGTCGAAGGATAAAAAAAAGTTAGGTTCGTGAAAGGTGCAACCATATTAATTTGTGGTATGTCATCGTATGTATTTTGAAACTACAATGAGAACAAATTTTATTTGGTAAAGTTGGTATGCAAGACTTTTATTCCACCCCAGACCCAAGTTCAAATCTTGTTAGTGCCATTTTCTTGGTCAAATGGTGTCACTATTTGAAAAAAGTTTTGTATATTTTCAAATAGTTCCGTATATTTGTTTATTATAGTCAAACGATGCCCCGTTTGAAATTTTTTCTCTAAATTTTTTTCTTATAGTCAAATGATGTCATCGTTTGAAAAAATTCTTGGGTCTATCCCTTCATTGTTGTTAATCGTCGTTGCTTCTACCAAGCCATCGAAAACAAGCATCGACCAGCAGTCAATGGTTGAAACAAATGAACTTTAACCTAAAATGTAGCAAGAAAACAAGGGTCCAAGATCCAGTGTGGAGTCAAACCTGGCCACCAAACCAAGCATACCCAGAATATCTCACTCAACTCAAAAGTAGATCAAAGGATCAAATGCATAGAGACTTGTCGTCCACTCAAAATGGTAGAACAATTGTTTCTGTAAAGGTACCGGTGTCTTAAGAAACGATTACCAACGCATGGTTTTGGGGATGGATACCTTTCGAAAAGGCGCTTAATTGGTGGTCAGAGTACACGGGTTCAAATTTTGTAATCTTTGCCTATATCGAACGAGAGAAATACATCTACACAAAATATAATACAATTTTCATCTCCGTATTATCTTCCACAAGCTTTACATAATAAAATTGATACAGAAGATACAATATAAGACGACGACGGCGATGCAGCAGCAGCAGCATCTTCAACAGCAGCTACAAGAAGATGCTTCGCTAGTTTGATTTCTAAAATAAAAATGAAACGAAAGAAACGACATGTTGTGCGGATATCGTGGGTGGATTAGATGGACGGGAAGGATGTATCAAACATCTGGTTGTCCTGATCGATTAATCGGGATTAAAGATGTATGATACATCCTTCCGAGGAGACCTCATGTTTCAGTCAAGGTTCTAGCTTCATGGAAACAACCCGTGATTGCCTGTTACGCTTTGCCACCCTCACAAAGACTATCGATAGGCAAGATGGGGCCCACCACGGCCGCCGCACTTTTTGCTCCCCCTTCAAGCAAGCCACTGGACAACAATAAACAAACCGAATCAGTTTATACCCAAAAGAGACATAAATGAATAAGATATAGAAACTACAAGTACTCTCTTATCTCACACACACACACACACCAAAATGAGTCTACGTTATCAAAACCAAACAAACACTGTATATCACACTCGAAAGTCAAGTCTGAGGGGTTGTTTGGTTGGTTTTTCATTTTAAGTTCTATATGGATGAAGCTATCAGTGGGGATTAATAATTTGTCTGTATAGTTGAGAAGATTTTCGTTTGAGAGGGTTTTTTCATAGACGGAAGGTGCATGTATTTTAATTGGGAGAGGCAGGTTTGGAGAAAACTTGGCTTTCTGCATAAAGCTCCCTCCCAGAAGCTTACTGAATAAGCCACTTTCTATAATCATTAAGCTACTACCAAACAGTCATGTATAGCTGACCAAATATGTTGCGAGTCTCATTAAGCTCGTTAAGCTGCTAACGAACAGCGCCTGAGTCTACGATAACCATACCAAATAAACTAAGTATATCTCATTCGAAAGTAGGGACTGGGGTTGAGATGTAAGCGGAACTGTCCTCTTCCCCAAATGGTATAGCAGTCGAGCATAAGATATCATATAAAGTAAGGGAAACCATCTATGACACCAATAGAAATGTGCAATCCCAGATGAAGGCTGCAAACCGTTCAATATGTATGTTATTTATACGATGATGTAAATGTGGATATCATATCCGTGTATCTATAAACATCCAAAATTATATTGGGAATTTCGAACTTCTGATTTCCACTTCTGTGTTTCCACATCCTGTCAGCGTTTTATATTGCATACATTATTTAAATAGTTGTATATATTTTATGTTTATTGCACCAAATTATACAATTAAAAGTTAAAATATTTAATCAGAACCTTTTACCAGCCTTCTTATACTAGAAATAACAGTATAGAGTAAAGACCAGGCTTAAAGCTGCATATTAATATGTTAGTATTATATAATATTAATACTAGTTGATGGAATTTTTTTCTTCTGCGTCTCGGGATTAGAATAGTATCTACCACATACAAGTATAAAGGTCAAAAATTTGAACTCATGGATGCGGAAGTCGAAGGATGTCGATTCCAATTGTACTCCAAATTCAGATGCAGATAGAGTAATGCCCGTTCTGTTTCTGCTCTGTTTACACCTGTACTAAATATACTCCCCTAATAATCATCCCAACTAATAAAGCCAAACAGTAGAGCTAAAAGTTATCCAATGAACAATCTAAATAAATGTTTATCCGTATAATATGAATCCTAATTATCCCCAACTTTTCATAATGAATGTGCAAATACAACTTTATCTTGAAATAATACCCTGTTTGTCCCATTAAGGTTACCATGTTTAACTAGGAAGTAGGAACATAGTTTTACAAGTGTTTGACTACTTGTCTAACTAGGTATGTACAATCAACAAAGCCAAAATAAGGACGTTTTTATGGACGGAAATCAAGAACATGGTGGATCATGATGTTCATATTCAATTTAACATCACAATATTTGTTCCATAATGATTGCAAATCAACTACTTGTTCTTGAGATTGTGTTTGAGTATGACTCACCTGTGTTTCCACAATATCTAATGCATCAAAGAAAAAAGGCTGTTTGGGTGGGAATCAAAGTTTGTGAGCAAGAAATCAAATAAATGGTGGCATTAATGGCAGAGGAAGCTCGAGAGTTCGAGGCTTTAGATATGGCATAATAAAGAAGAGTAATATCTTAAACTATTAGGGATGCCTCCATGGGCAAGGCAGCAAAAGTTTGACCCCCTTGAATGTGGTTTCACATGTCTTCTAGAAACATAATTATCCTAACCAGTAAAGCAAATAATCATCCTATTAACAAAATAGATAATTATCCAAAATAAGTCTTATACAGTACTTTTACTAACTAAGAAAATACAACTTTATCTATAATAATTCTGAAATATTAAATTCCAAAAGTTCCTATCAAGTCCCTCATCTCTGCCTCACAGATTAAGTTTTTTTTCTTGAAAGTATGCATGAGTGTGTCCTTTTACAGTACCTGGCAAGCAAGTTCACATTATGTTCTATTAGTTCTATCAATCATTCAGTGTAAATAAACTTGTAGGTAGTTCATTTGCTTTACACTTTGTTCTCAAAACCTTTTTTCTGAAGGAAAGGAAAAAAGAGGGAGGGAAAGGTAAGGAAAGTAAAAAAAACTAGTTGTTTTTGAAACTTTTTTTAGTGGAGAAAAAAAAAGGAAACGAAAGGAAAATAATGATAAGTTTCCTCCCAAATGTGGGAGGAAAGGGAAGGAAAGGAAAGAAATTAAAGCCCTTAAAAAATTATTAAAATTACAAAACTACCGAATCTTTCATTCTAAAGGATATATTTTTAAAGGGTATATTAGTAAAAATGACATATTTCCTTTCCTTTCTCTCCTGTTCAAGGACATGAAAATTTATTTTCTTTCTTTTCCTTTTCCCTTTCCAGAAAACAAAACTAAAAAATATTTTCCTTCCATTCCTGTTCTTCTTTATTCTCTCCAAATTCGAGAGCACAGCATAAATTTACGTGCATAATTGTTGTGCAGATTGTTTGCAGTTCCTATACTCTTGACATTGGTTCGAAGTAATATCCGCCATAAACTTCATCTTACATGTGTTCAAACTCGCCTAAATCAGCCTTCGAAGTTTGGAAGAATTAGTTGGTTTTACCTCTTTTTATAACTGGTAGACTTCATACAACAACAAACAATTTCAAACGGTATGAAGAAAAATGTGAAAACATTTTACCAGACCCAAGGTCAGTGGTGGCAGATCAACATGTATGCAACTAATGAGATACAACATTTATGCGTTCTAAGAACCCATGAGTAATTATATAACCAGAAACAAAGGAACTTGTAAGAGCCACAAAACTAAATATACATGATAATCAACAAAAACACTTGCAAGCGACAGAGTTCGAGAGATATAACCTTTAATCCTTCTGAGTTCCTTGCAAAGCGTTATAAAATCCCCCCATTTCATGTGGCAACGTCGAATGAACCGAAGAATTTGCTCGGTTGTAAACATGGACATACCTTCCAGATACTCTCCGTTAACACCATTTTCTTTAAAAGTTTGGCGATACCCTCCCAGATTTATTTCCTCCAACCAAAGGCCAACATCCTGGGAGACAAAATTTGACCACAAAGCGTCAACCACTCTGCAATATTCTTCAAATAACCTAGTGCAAGGAAATTAATAAAAATAGAATCGTTGTGATGCAAGCAGAAAAATGCATGCTGAGGTAGTATTTACCCTTTGTTCATTAGATTTAGGAGGTCCATGACCTTGGTATGGGTTGTTATGATCATTGCAGTTAATTGATATCACAAGCATATCATAATACACTACTTACTACTTTGTTTCTATTATGGGTTCAATAAGGGATAAGCACATGTTGGGCAGTGAACCGCGCCGCTACAGCACCCTGGGAAGAAATCAGGGTGGCGCAATTGCGGTATCAAATAACGGGGCCATTAACCGCTAATTGGACTCAAATAGCGGAAAGAGAAACCACTATTTTTTGTTGGGCTCTTTTGGTGTGAAAGAAATCAGAGATGGAGAATCAAATAAGAAAGTTCAAACTTAACGTCCACCCCATTCGTCCCTTCCACTTGTTTCATCTTCTAATCTTGTGTCATCACTTGCCATCGTCTGCCGTCCTCTTTAATCGACCAGATAGACTGAGTCAGAGGAAAAATTGGAGATGGGGTAGATGAAAGAGAGGTGAGGTAGAGGGAGGATAGGAAAGAGATGGGGGTTTTACAGTTAGTTCTTTTCATTTTTTGACTTTAAAATTTATATTTAATTAGATAAATAAATTATGGAATTTTTGGAATTTTATTAAATAACACTATAATACTTACAAACCAATAATCAAATACAAACCCAATAAATGTTACAAACCCATGAAAACCAATCCAAACCATTCAATGAGTTTGATTTTAAATTATAATTCATATTGTTTCATATTTTCGGTTCTTGTGTTTGTGTGTTTCATATATAAACGTATTTTTGTTTTTTCCCCACAAGCAAAACAATGATAAACGTTTCATATATGAAAGAACAATGTTATACATTGCATGTTTACATGTGTTTTGTAAGTTTGTAACATTTATTGGGTTTGTATTGATTTACTCGTACATAAAACATGTACTAAGTATTACACACACACACACACACATATATATATATACATTTTAATATTTTTATATCAAATGAACTGCTAATTTGTTTCCACTATGCTACCCCTTTACCACTCTTATCTCCAATATATCAAATCACAGTCCTGGTCACAAATTCCAGTGTAGGACCGCCATAACTGCTTAGAGCACGTGTCAGTTGAACAGATGGGAGTTCTACTATTTTACAAATCTTAATCCGCTAAACTAGTTCCGTTGTAAAGTAGGACTAATAATATACAAAAAACAAATAGTTGCAAAGAATGAGATACTAGATTCAATTGATGAATTCATCTTTCTCTCAGCCTCTAAATGTTCCTCTTTTGAACCCTCTGTATCAGTTCACCCATGTTTTGGGATATCACTATAAAATGATGGCATTTATAAGATATTTTTGACACAAACCTACTAAATGCAAATGTCAAGAGCTTTGTTGCATATGAAAATGAAACTTGAACACAAAAGACTAGGATAAACCAAACCAAACAAAAATATTATATCCCACCCGAAGTTGGGGTCAGGGGATGGTGGGATGTATGCAGACCTGATCTCTAGCCAAAGAGTGGAGCAGTTGTTTCCATTAAGTCCTCCAGCTAGCGCATAGTGTAAAAAAAAAGATGCATATCAAATTTGCAGAAAAATAACATAAAAACATTTGAAAGAAAAAACGATGTTGCACACCAAAAGAGTAGTGAGGTTGTTGCCATTAAGACCTCCAGCTAGTGCATAGTGTGAAAAAAGAGATACATATCAAATTTGCCGAAAAATAACATAAGAAAAACATTTGAAAGAAAAAACGATGTTGCAAACATTAAAGACAGTACTAAATTTTGAAAAACAAGTTAGAAGCAAGCAACAACAAATCAAACAGACAAAGAAACGCATACAAATGGGAGCAGGTACACAAAAACGTAACCAAGGGAACCCCACCCCTAGTCTAACCTAGAATTCAGGGAGTCTAACTGCCACTGACTAACCCTACCCCATCTTCGACCTCTCCAGATCCCTTCCTCCTGTCTAAGGGAGCCCACCCCTAGGGCCTGTTTGTTAGCGGCTTAATGAGCTTAATAGTCCTCTATACACGTCTGTTTGGTGGTGGGCTGGTGGCTTAATGGTATATAAAATGGCTTATTCAGTAAGCTTCTAGGGGGGGGGGGTTTATGCAGAAAGCCAAGTTTTTTGCCAAACCTGCCCTCCCAATTAAAAAATACGCTTCTTTTATCTATGAAAAAAACCCTCCCAAACAATAACCTTTCCAATCTATACAAACAACTTTATCCATGCAGGACTTAATGGAAAACCAACCAAACAGCCCCCTAGTCTGTTACCCTAATCTTTCATCTCCAATAGTTCCTAACAGAAGATTGGGATCATGACCAAAAAAAGATAGAAAACAGATATAAACACAACAAACTGTTGATACATCTTGAGGAATCATATCTAAATTATACGACCACCAAACAAGCACGATCAATTGAATAGGATTGTAGTGTCCTACTGTTGCCATAGTACAAGAAGCCATCAGATTTCTTGTAGATAAGAAACCTTCTCTCACATACAACCACACAAGGAGGATGGAGAGGGGGAGGTCGTGTCATTTGCAGGCAATGAGTTTGGTTGGTCTGTTGAAATGGCTTTATTCACTCCCAAATACAAACCAAACATGATAATGTAATTTGATGCTTCAATTGAAGATAAATCGCCCAACAAATCAAACAACTCGAATCAAAATTTATCAATAGAGCTGTAACTGGGTACGTTTAGTTAATACCCATACGAAAGACACGATACCAAAAAGGTCAACACCTTCAAATCCCCTCCCACATTTGTCGATTAGAAACAACGAAATGCCCAATTACCCATCATCTATTTCCAACTCAAAACACAATTAAGCACAAGATCTATCATCTGTATACAAATATATATATATATATATATATATAACCATAAGTAATCAAGCATACCTCAACCGTCCAAATGAAGAAATCAAGCGGCTCCGGTGGCCGTTCTTTGCTCATCTCCCGAAATCTCCAGTCCCGAAAACAAAAAACGCAAAACCAAACAAACCCTAGAAAAGAATCCCAAAGTGAATAAAAAAAAAGTAGCAATTGAATCAAAGAAATCGTTAATTTACGGAATCTTGAAACAGAAAACAAAAGAATCGATTAGATTTACCAAGGAAAGAGTGTTCCGATTAGGCTATTGGATCAGTTGATATGATGGCGAGAGAGAACATGCCCCTTTTTCAGTGTGTGTTTGTGTGTGAGAGAGAGAGAGAGAGAGAGAAAGAAGAGAGAGAGAGGGATAGCAGTTCGTAGCAAAGCTTGTAAGTGTGTGTGACCCCAAAGTCTCTTTTGTGTGTCGATATTGCCATGTGGACCCTCCCTCGTTGTTTTGCTTTTAGTATTTTCCATTTTTGTCCCTTTCCCCTTCCCACCCATCTCTTTTTTTATTACTATTTAAATCCTAAAGAAAAATCTCAACTAAAATTAGCTCAAATGCCTAATTTATATCTGTTTCGATCACAATCTTGTATCAAATCCATAAAAATCAATATACATCGGGTGTATATTACTATTCATTACATTATGGTATAAGAGTTATCATCCTCAATTACCGAGTTACCTTGTAAGACTTTTGGTTCTTGTATTGTCTCTTATCGGGTGAAATTACTAGTTATTGTTATGTTCACTCAGTAAACTGAGTAAAGTAATAAACCAGTAAGTAGGATCCTCCTACTGGTTTTGAAAATGTTTAGTATGACAAAGTTAGAAGAATATCGAAGAGTCGCTTTTGTTTTTTATCAGCATATTCTGAAATTAAATGACCGTTTTGATTTTGAAATAAATTATTAGGTGGTTCCCACGTTTACATAAATCAGGCCCAACCACAAGTAAAAATGGGTCTCGGAATTTTGGAGACCCTGTTCAAAAAACTCGTATTTAATATGCTAATAGACGGTTTTGTCAGTAAACGATTATCAATGTAAGTGTTTAGTAAACGACCCCTTAATGTCATATTTGGTATATGTCTCTGTTGAAAATATTTAAAGCATCTTCAACAGACATTTCGAATGAGACATTTTGGAGATTTTGCCCCAACGGATTATTTTTTAGAGAATTTGATTTTTGGTTTACTATAAAAATTATAAAAAATTCATTTTAATTGTCTTTTTAGATTTTAAATTAGTCGTTATTTGATGATTTAAAATTTTAAAATAAACTTGAGGGGCATAATAGTCATTTTCAATGTCAATTTTAAACTGAATGTAACATAAATGATACATATTGCATATTAAATACTTTTTTTTGGTGTTTTTATAATTAAATAATCTACTTGGAATTTTCATAAAAAATAGATAATATTTTTTAACATTTTTCTACTTTATTTATAATTTCGAGATATATAATAAAAATATTGTGAGAACTTTGTTTTTTGTTTTTCATAAATAAAAATAAAAATTTATTTCGATAAATAAGTCTCAAGTATCATAACTGTGTATTTTTCGATTCGAATCAAGTAAATTGGCTAAATGAAAGTAATTCAACTAGTTTTGTGGATTTAATAAGGGGCTGTTTGGCAGTTGCTGAATGATTTGGTGGAGAATGATTAAATGGTCGGAACGAGAGACTTTCATGATATAGTGCAAAATGAAGTGTAAATTTTTGGTATTGTTTACAATGAAATTAGGGCGTTGAATGGTTAAAGGAGACCCATGATACAAAATTATTAAGAGGTTTTTAGAACCACTAAGATGTAAATATTTTTTGCCAAACAAGATTCACCTCTTAACGGTTCAGATATTACCTTTTAATTAAACTATTAAAAGGTAAACAAACAACTAGTAAGTCTTTAAAGATGAATCTGTTTTTAAATTGATATGTGTTTCCTCAAGTTATAAAAAAAATGGTTGCAGCTTATTAACAGTGTTTGATTGTGTTTTAAACTTTTGGTAGTAGCAACAGAAAGAGAAGATAAAAAAAACCTTCGATGTTACCAAAAAAAACCCATTATATATAATTTTAAGTAAAACCGTAAATTTTAAGATTAATATTTATTTTTGGACAAAAAAGCTGATTACCGACAATCTGTACCATCCCCACACATAATAACTTCCAAAGATACCAATTTGAAACGGTATTTTTTGGCTCACTCAACAGTTGAGACTAAAAACATAGATCAGGATCAAACCCAGAACTTGTCTTGTATCTGGACAAAGAAAATCTAGATCCGGCTTAATGCTGAATATAAGATGATACCTATTTTAAAACGAATTATATTTATTTTAAAATGAATTAAAAATATTATAATTATTTTAGAAGGAAAAAAAAAAGTGTGGATATTTACATGAAGTTGTCACATGTCCAACCACTGCACCATGTCTCAAATTGATAGTAAGTGTACGTATGGATTTGGGCCTACACCCATTATTGGGCTTATACATTGAAAGAAATTACAGTTAGCAGTAAAAAAAAAAAACTTGGATATTCAACCAGCTATGCGAGCCGATTAATCTTAGGATGATCACTTGTTTTGCAGATAGTTCAGAGTCATCGCATTTGAACCTTCATGGCCACGAGGAGATTTTTATTGCTCTTTGGATTTGAACCTGAGACCTAATTGTTTTTTGTTTGGGTTTGAATAGTGGGTTTTGTTCGGAGTTGGGTTCTTCGTGGTAGAAGAAGATGAAATCGTGGACCAGAGGCAGTAGCCGGATAAGATGACTGGAGGTCTGGAGGGAATTGCGCTTTAGAAGGGAATTGATTTCGTGTACCTCATTAGTGTTGACATTCAATTATGATTGATTCAAGGGTGAAAGTCTCTTCTTACATTTCTCACCATAACTTCCCTTCTCACCGGAATCCAACGCTTTAGTTAGAAAGACAAAAAGCTTAACAAAGTGGCAACAACAGTGACCACTTGTGTAACAAAGCGGCAACCACAATGATGAATATGTAATCATTTTAAAATAAAAAAGCCAGACTTAATAACAAGTGACATGAACCAAAAATGTAATTTACTCTATTCACTGAAGTTTTAATACGATATTATATATCTCATCATCGATAATTCATTGGAGGAAGCTTTAATACAAAATCATATATATATATATATATATATATATTTAATTAATCTAGATATCCAACATGTTATGCGAGCCGACTAATTCCAGTACGACCATCCGTTTCACGGGTAGGTTGGAGTCACCGCATTTGAACTTCCGTGACCACAAGGAGATCTTATTACTAGTAATTCGTATAGCATATCTTTTATAGGATTTTCAAACAATAATATAACTTCAAATACATTTTTAATAATAACTAGTAGAGTACTCGTGCAATGCAGCGAGACACATCTCAATTTTATTGTTCTACTTTATTTTTTGTCTATGTCGATGTTATAATACGCTTTTATGTGTTTTTAAGAAAGCAATAATGATTTCATTTTTGAATAAAATATAAATTTGAAGATATCATAAAAAATTAAATATATATATATATATATCAATGTTAATATCAAATCAACTATCTAAAAATTCTCATTTTTTTATGTAATTTCTTTAATTTATTATTTTTATTTTTAAATTTAAGTTTAATAATAAAATAATTTATTTTAGGTTTAATAATATAACATTTTATAAAGATAACATTTAAGTATTATGTTAGAACTCAATGATTATTCTAATTATATTTTAGAATTTTTATATTTAAAATGAGAAGTTTATCATGTATTTGATAATGTTTATCTGCAGTTAGTTACACGAATTCAGATATGGAGCTTTAATAAGTTGGACTTATGCACAAATCTACTTGTAATCTTGAGTTTTAAGTAACATGCATTAATAAACAATACTTTATGTATAAAAAATGGTTTTTAAAAGTTTTTATCAAATACTTTATAATATATAAATAAAAACCATTTTATTTACTATAAAACCATATAATAAAAGGAAAACTTTAATATGGATTTGATCAACACATGGTCCTTCAATGACTCTTCCTTTTTTATTCACTATGCAAAAAAGTAAAGATCACAATGCAATTTTTTTTGCCTTTTCTATAGATTTAGATCTCATGGAGATTGGGGTAAAAAGTAAACAATAAATCAATCTTTATATTTGTCTAGGTAGCCGTTTATCAAGTCATATTATCTTATCGGATGAATATGGTAATGAACTAAGAATTTTACCCGGTAAGAACGAGACAATAACCAAGAGTCTTACCCGATAAGTGAGGGCGACGACTTTTTTACCATGGTAAGCATTTACTGATTAAATTGTTTTTTTACGATGTTGTTTTGGTGGACTAAAGTCTTACCCGATAAGTAAGTGGTAGTGTTAAATTTTACTGTTAAGTGCTTACCGAGTATGTGTTTGGTAGACGGTCCCTTAGTAAAGAAACTGATTTACTGAGATGTAATGTAGATTGTTAGATGTTTTATAATAAGTATTTATATATTTGAGTAAGTTTGTTTTTGGTTCAGTATTAATCGTGCAACTCTTAATTAGTTGCTTTACTGGTCTAACCCGATCTCCATAATACAGCAGTTTATGCACATTAATTTGGCTTAATAATTTGTTAATCTAAAAATCACAATCGAGAGTCTTCGGTTTTCTGGGTTCTGAAAGAAATAATAATAACAAAAAAAATACAAGATTTTTTTATTTCTTTGACAGCGACGCACGATGCTGGAGCAATAATCCTAAAGGAAAAGGGCGTTGATACAAGAGGGTTTGATTTTAGGAACAAGCGCAAAGGGGTTATTTTTGAATGTTAGCACGAGGGTAAAATGGTCTTTTACTAAATCATTCCGCTTTGTTCTGGTGTTTTTTTTATGGGACCAATGAGAATCACTTTTGTCCTGCCTAATCCCGTGCCTATACGTTTGCCATGTGACAAAGACTCTTTATCTTATTTCATTTCAAGTACCAAATGCAGCATAAGAAGCCAAACAGACGGTCAAAAGAACAAAAACCTTACACGTAACTTTCAAACGTAATCAAAGGTTCAAAAAGAGCACAACCCATGAAACAAACCAAAAAACCTCCATGTGAACAAATACCCTACATATGAGATCTTGGCTCAAACGCTATATGTTGTTACAGTTTTGGATAATACTAAATTACCAAGCCACTGGATGAGCGTATGCATGTTGTCAAACTACAGATAATTAAAATAACAACAAAATAGAAATTATTAATTAAGATTAGAAAAATACTAATTATTCAAATAATCAAGAAAAACTATCACTACAACAAAATTAGGTTTATATGACACCAAAAAAAATTAAACGTTCTAAAAACCCATCTTTTTTATAGAACGTTTGTTTTTATATAAAACCTTTTCAAATATAAAATTATTAATGCAGGGATTTGTATTATAAGTATTCTAAAAACTTGTTAAGACGTCTAAAAGCGTCTTATAAACTTATTGCAATGCATTTAGATAGCACACTTTAGTTTTTGTCCCATAAATTAAGTCTTATAAAGTGGGCTATTAGTACACTTAATTCTGTTGGCATCATATAAACTTAATTTTGTTGTAACGATAGTTTTCCTTAATTGTTCGAATAATCAGTGTTTTTTAATATTAATTTATAACTTATATTTTGTTCTTACTGTAATTTATTTGTAATTTGACTGTATTTTAATAATCTTAGTTAACCAAACTTAATTTTTAATATTTTACTCGCATATTTCAATTCTCAACTCAAAAGACATGTGAATTTATTTCGATTTTTTTTTGTTTTTCTAAACTTGAGATTTTTAACTTTATTTTTTTTTGTGTGAATTTTATCTTTTTTTAAATAAATATAAAAACTTTTATTTAAGATATTTGATTTGTGAATGAATATATAAAATATTTTTAATAATTTTTTAAAAAAAAGACTGTGAATTAAATTATATATTAGAGTAAATTGCATTTTTGGTCCCTAAAGTTTGTGTAAAGACTAACAAATTATTCACAATGGTTGCTAACTAAGAGCGTTAAGTGGAGGGATGATGCTATGAAAATGAAAAGTTTGGGACCACCAGTGTAGATAGTTTGTTTTAGGGACCAAATCCAAAATTTGAACAAACCACATGGACCACCAGTGTAATTCATATTTGAATTACTTACACTAAGTGAAAGTTCAAACCGAAAGATACTTTGATATATGTAAAAAAACATGTGAATAGTCTTGCGGGAATCTTTTCTCATATAGAAAAGAGAGTAAAAGATTGAACACTTTATAACTCCTGGTCTATTTATTTTAGAAGGTTATTCGCATAATGCAGCGAGATACATCTCGATTTTAATGTTCGTTTTATTTTTTGTCTACGTCAATGTTATATAACGGTTTTATGTGGTTTTGGGAAACCGATAAATTTTTTATTTTTGAAAAAAATATAAATTTAAAGATATCAAAAAAATTAGAAAAAATTATAAAATTTCTCGGTTTTTTTGTGTAGTTTTCTTAATTTTTTTAATAATTAAGTAATCTGTTAGAACTAATAATTATCCTAATTATATTTTAATTTTTTATATTTAAAATGAAAACTTTATCTTTTATTTGATTATGTTTATTTGCAGTTAGTTACACGAATTCAAACATGGAATTTTAATAAGTTGTACTTACGCATAGTTTACTTGTAATCTAGAATTTTAAGTATATGCATTAACAAACAATATTTCATTAATAAAAAATGGTTTTTAAAAGTTTTTGTCCAATGCTTTATAATTAGTGATGGTCAAACCGGCCCGGCCCGAGACCGCCGGAGGACCGGGAACGGGACCGGCCAAGGTCCGGCCCAGCCCGGGACCGGTTATAGGACCAAAATCTGGGACCGGTTATGGATTTGGGGTGTTTCGTGGGACTGGGACCGGTTTAGGCCCGTCCCGATTTTTAAAAAATGTAACTATTTTTTTTAATGTAGCCATTTTTGGCCCTTTTTTGTATTTTTTGCTTTCTAAACACTACATATAAGTGTATTGGTTGAGAGATTTACATATCAAGTTTTCGATTCGTAAAAAACGCTAAAAACGTTCACAATTATCGGTTTCTCGCTATATCTTGTAAGACAATGTAATTTTAATTATAATAAAACGCATTTTTAAAATGTATTTGAGTGACTCAATTACAAATTTGATAATGTTTTAAAAATATATATCATTAAAAAAATAAAATAAAAATATTTTATAATGACCAGGACCGGTTGGGACCGGCAGCCATAACCGGTTACAATAAAGCTTGTCGGGCTCAACTTTTTCGAGCGGGACCGAGACCAGGACCAGTTATGAGAAATCTTGGGACCGGCCCGGCCCAGCCCGGCCCGGGACCGGTGTTTGGCCATCACTATTTATAATATAGTATAAATAAGCAATAACAGGTTATAGAGTTTGGACTTGAATTTCTACCTGGATTGGGCTTCCATAATATATATTTATTGACTAAGAATTTAGTCCATCCAAAACACCCAATTTGTGTTTGGTAAAACGACCCTGAAGACCTCCTTGTTAGAAGCTTTAATTTTAATTTTAATTTTATGCGGAAAGCCAAGTTAACCAAACCGAGCAACTGATCAATGTATTGAACGATAGTACCCAATCGAATAACACACCCTACGGAACGTGTCACAAACACAGCATGTATAATAAAATTCAATGTGAAACACCAAAACTTTTCAAATATCACAAAAACACCTCTGATCTGAGGCTGCAGAAGTTGAAAAAAGATAAAGCAGTGTATTACCTCCGGAATTACTCCTTCGTTCATGAACAGAGAGACCGTTGATTCCCATTCTTGGCTAAGAGGCACAATCTCCCGCTCTTCGTCGGTTTCTAAAACAAACTGCAAAAAGATCCAAGAAACAAATGAAAGAGAGTGAAAATAGCGAAAGCTATTATGCTCAGAAGTCATCGGTGGAAGTAGAGGTTGAGTTCAGAGATCCAGCTTGTCCTTTGCTGTTTTTGCTAATAATCCCTTTTCCAAAATATTCAGCAATCACGGAAAACCCGTCTTTTGAATTCTTAACTTGATGGAAGAATTGATCTTGGCTCTTGGAGTTTTGCTCCAAGCTTCTTTTCATTTCTAGAACGGATCTGTATTCAGGGGCGCATTCAGGACATTCTTTTTCGTTGTCACCAAGGCAACGTTGATGGAAAGAATGCATACACATAAAGTGGACAGCAGGAAGGTCAAGGGTGAAAGTGCAAGCAGTACACTTGCTTAGCTGAAAGATTCGGGCATTAGTCCTGAGATCTTGGATTTCTTTTCTCATTGTTGTTGTTTCTTCCTGTAGAATTGAAGAGATCGATTAGATACATAGTGGTTCATTTGTTTATATGAAAAGTTTCACATCATAGGGATACTCGGGTTTTTGTCCCTTGTAGAAGAAAAGGGGTATTCAGAGAGATCGTTACATTTAGACAAAGACACCGATGAAGTGCTTTGCAGATCATGAAGTTAGAAATGAAAGTGCTTTCTGTAATTTCCATTTAGGGTGCGTTTGGTATGCGTGCAGTACAAAAACTTGTTATCCCACATTTGATGTGATATTAGACTGGGACATGACATGACTTGAGTTGGACAAAAATGTATTCTTTTTGTCCCACCAAAATAGGTGGAACAAATATCAAGGAGATGATACAAGATTGGTAAATTACTAAACTAATCATGTCAAATTAAAATCTTAAAAAATTCCAATGTCACTCTCACCTGTCCAGTCCTACCCCGTCTGAACCAAACATAACTGCCATCTAAACAACAAGAAGAAGACAAAGCATGCACACATGCAACCCCTACTAGGATGACATTGGTCCTACTTTATGCATTAGATTTAGATGCCATTGGCGTTTTGAGGAAAATAAGCTCTTTTCCAACTGCTTCCACTATTTATTAAAATTTCAAATAATTTTTTTCTAGAAACCTAGTACATGAATATGTCAAAAAAAACCTAGTACATGAATGTGCAAAAGAATCAATATTAAGCCCTACTTTGAAAGTATCCCTAATTCCTTGAGTACTAAATTGCCCTAAAAAGCCAGAATGAGTAATTACATGATAGTCTAACAACCTACAATTAACAATGGGGAAGTAGAATATTAGTAATGTCCAAGAATCCTACTTCTACAAGTGATAAGTCCCAAAATTAGCCCATTGAAACAAACTTGAATAAATGACCTTGCATTGCACCAAAATCATTATTATGACTCTAAGAATGATAATGTAATTGTTTATAGATGGTGACGACTAAATCTAGGTTGTACTTACTTATTGCATGAGGGTAGAATCCTAAACTAGAGACAACTCACATATAAACCCAGTAAGTAAGAAGATGAAAACTGTTTAACGATACCTCATTTCATGTAAATAAATTTTAGGCAACTATGAACCATCTTATATTGAACCAAGGAAGTCAGTCAATCAAGAATTAATGCTGCTTATGACTGGTTATCTTTAACTGCCAATCCTCAATAAACATACCCTTTCAATGTAAGAACTAAGAAACATAGAAATCTCTAGAGTAGAGAACTCAAAAGTTACCTGGTACTTATCAATCATGCGACGGTCCTCTTCAATAAGCTTGGATTCATGTTCCAGTTTCCTAGCTATGTAATCTTTGATGACAGAGAGAGTGAGACATGGATTTGAGGAAAGTGTCTGCAAAACCATGATAGGAGGCAAAATATCATCTCTTTCAATATAAGTCAGGACTTCCCGCACTTCTTTGGAGCACTCTTCCCCAAGTTCACCAAAGTACTTCAATAGATCTGCCCACAGAGAAGGGTCACCTCCCTTCCCTGAGTCCCCTAGTTTCTTACAGCAGGCAATCAGCCCCTCATGGTCATGTGAGCGCATGTAACAAGTAATCACCTCTTTATAGAGTTTCAACTTCTCATAAAGATATAGAAGGCCTTCTTTAAAAGCATTCATTTCACAGAGAATTATAGCCAGATCAACATCATATAGCGGTTGTTCTTGGTCGGATGGCCATGCACTCTTGAGCAATACAAGCCCTTTCTGAAGTCTTTCCTGATGATCCTTTTCCGTGTTTACATCTTTATGTTCAGGAGGTAATTTCCCATTTGATTCGGCTCTTGACGTAGAAGCTATTCCCAGTGAACTCTCTGGTTTGGAAGTACCGTTCTCAACAATATTAGATAGTGACATTAATGGGAAGTTCAAGTCACTAGACAAATATAGCTCCAATAATGTGTTGTGAATTTCTACTTGAGCTGGTGAATCTTTTACTTTCTTTATGTACTTTTCAAGAAAAATCATAAGTGATCTTGGATGATGAATAAAGATGTTGAGAAAATCAACAGGTGACGGCAACATATATGCATATGAACCATTCGAAGTCCCTCTGTTTGATGTCTCTCCTTCCTCGGTGCAAAGGCCCATGAGAATTTTGATAGTTTCAGTGGGTTTGTGCTCTATAAGTATTTTACCATATTCTTTCACCGTCACCCCAGCTTGACTTGGTTCAAGGCTAGAAATATACTGCAATGCCTCTTCATATCTTCCCAAGTCTTCAAGCAAAATCTTTAAGTACCACTCATGCCTCCCAGACTTCTTGGCGACGTACATTGCATGCTCATGATAATTAGCAGCTCGACAAACCCTTATTGCAGTTTCCACGTCAAATTTATGCTCCCCGACGCCATCCTCGCTTTTGATGAAGATGTTCAGCTTGTCCACATCTTTCAGTTTGGTATAACAGTTTAAGAGAAGCGTTGTGTGATCTTTAGAAGCAAGACCTTTCTCATGTAACTTCTCCAAGTAATTGGTAAGATTGTAAATCCTCTGTGCATCAAGAAACTTCTGTATCACATATGAAGGTTCAAGGTGACCGATGGTATGAATGTACTGAGCCATAGCCTCATCAAAGTCTTGCTTGCTGTACAAATGATCGCCATACTTCCTTAGCACTTCAGCAGTTGCAGCTGCATCAGCTTGTTGACTCTGAACAAGATTGATGGCTACAGTGTAAAGATTCTTTTTAAAAAGCATATCCAACTTGCTTTCCATATCCTTCTCTCCAATGCATATAGCTGATTTGTCACTCATTATTAGCAGTATGCTTCCCCATTCACATAGCATGTGAGAAACTTCTTTACCCACTATACTGTGTGCAATTAAACGGTTTTTCAGGTCAAAGATATTGAATGTGTTGGTGCCACTTCTTTGGTCCGCAATAACACACAACAGGTATCCACGAAACCACCCAAGGAACTTCTTTTCCCCTTCAAAAGCCCAACAAGGACCTCTACCATCAACTTCATAGAAATATACAGCCTCGGGTCGACCAATGATCAGCTCCTGATTACAGACCAGATTGCATTACATTTAGGTATAAAACGATAAATAACAAATACAAGATAACTTGCTTTATAATTAAGAGAGGATGAAGAATGAGCAAAAGAAGCATGTAGAATGGTGATACCAAGCGGTCATTCATTGCAACGCTATTCACATTGCATCCTATCTGATCGAGGGTTTGTCGGCTAGCTGGCTGAGTCTGCAAGTTAAACAAGCTTACAGAACCTGGAGTAACCGCAAATAACTGAAACGCTTTCCCATCAACACGAAACCCCATTCCGGTAATAGCGCATTGGGTTTTATCTTGGCGATTCTCCACTTGAAGCATGAAACGTTTGATACGCTCACGTGCAATATCCCCTTGGATGCAATAAATGCAACCATTGTCTAGTCCAATAGCTATTAGCAATATTGGTGGAGCTTCCTCTAGAACTAGAAATGATGTTATCTGAAGAATGAAAAGCACTCCATTATCCATAAGTTTTAGCAGATTAGTATACAAGTTACCAGAAACAAGCTCTTATGAGACTGCTCCAAGAAATCAACTTGGATAGTACTGAGGCAGTTACAAAAAATTGAAAGTGCAAAATGCAAACCTTTGCTTCTGGGAACTGATTGGTGAATATCCGCAATATCTGGATACAATCCGGAATTGATGTGCTTGGCCCTTCTGGTTGAGTTTTATCAAGGTCAAAAACCTTGAGGCACACAGATGATAACTGTGGAGATATTTGTTCATCTTCTCCCACAGTTAGTAGGAAGTTGCGTTGCTGTTAATTTAAACCAGAAAAGGAAAAAAAAAATCAAACTTCATATCGCTAGGGGAAGAATACTCCAAACTTGGCCATGATCATACAAGAAGGAACTCCACAAATTACATAATATAGAAACCTTCTGGAAGTTCCCAACCATGATACATTTCTGAAATTCACGCTTATGTTATGTCAAACTCCAAATTGTCATGTCTGCCTGCAGAGAATGTGTACCTCCAAGATGTGCACATGTTATGTGTGCAAGTCCATCCATGGGTAAAAGAAAGTACAAAAATAATGAAAGTATTTGCTCAGATCATAGTTGGTTCCTCCTGATATAAATGCAAAGGGCACTGAAGAGATCATACAGTGGTATACAACAAAATTGTGTCTGTTCTTCCTCAACAGTGTGAACTTAAGCTTATTTTAATTCATGATTCAGCATGCTTGCACTGTAAACTGGTATAGCTATTTTAGGACAGGAGGGACGCATAGTTCACTAAACGCCTTGCATCTTGTTTGGTTGAGTTCATTAATGGACACACCCGTCTTAATTTCTTTTCTTCTCCCATTGCTCCTAGGCTTGTCATTTTCATTAGAGAAAATAAGACATAACAGCTCAAACCATTTTGCCATTGCCCTAGTTTAAGTGTTCAAAAATCACATGCTGTCCTCAAAATGCTTCCTTAGAAGAGTTCACTATCAGGATAAACTGGGCAAGGGGATAAAAAAGAATTGTATAGGCATGGCTGTAGAATTACTGTAGACATCACAATTTCCTATCTCTTTCTTGATCTTGAACTCAGTTCCCAAACAAAAAAAGCAACTTATAATTTAAAGACCTAATTCGTTGCCATTCTGTATATTTGTATACTAAAACCTAAATCATTTTTATCCACAATTATGTGTCCTCTAAAGTCATGTGCAGCATAGCATACCATTGGCAGAATAACAAATAACAACAGAATCTCCGTAAAAAATCATTAATCATAACTTAAAAATTGAGAACCTTGAGTTGTTGAAGGAATAGAACAGAGGAAGTGTGAGCTTGGAATCCATAGCTGAACTTAAAACCTCGATCCAGTAAACTAACAGTCCCGTCTTCACATCCCACCACGATCTTCCCCCTTCCGCTAGAACAACACTCAATTTTTCCAGCGACTTCATCCGGGACCAAACATTTTCCGGCGTATTTCTCCTCGAAGAACTCGAATTTCCTCCATTGATACATACTCCTTTAGCGTATCGAAATCAAATCGATGTGATAATTGTTGTAATCATGTCAATCTATAGATACAGATACACAATAGTTGAAGAATTTATGATCGATCAAGGGGAAAAATGAAACTAAAATCAAAATTAAAAAAAGAAAGAGGACGTGTTTGTTGTGTTGTTCTTGGACGTAGATATCCGTTTTCAACTCCAGGACCCGGATGTCCCAATTCTTTGCAAAAAAAATATAGTTACTCGTTTAAAGCATAAATTTATCATCAGATGAATATGAGAAGAGTTAAGAATCTTATCGGGTAAAAGTGACGAGAATAATGGAAAGTCTTACCCAGTAAGTGAAAATGATGACTCTTACCTAGTAAATTTTTGCATTCGATATGTTTTGATGTACTAAAATATTACGCATCAAAATAAATTATAGTGTTAACTCTTATTGATAAGTGCTTACCGGGTAAGCATTTGGATAAACGGTCCTTAGTCATTGTTTTCTTTCTTATCAGGTATATTCACACAGTAAAGGTAATTGAATCAGCGATCACTTATCAAGATAGGTGTTTAGTAAATTGTAAAAAAATCCATATCTGATTCTTGGTTCTAACGGTCGTTAAAAAGTTCCGTTTAACGAGTGACATTTTCATCCATTTATTGATTTTTTTGTGTTTTAACCAATCAAAATCGATTTTATGGTTTGGTCCTCGTGGTTTTTGATTCAATAATTGACAAAAAACTTTTAAAAATTATTTTTTATGGATAAAATATTGTTTATTGATGCATATTACTTAAAATTCAAGATTACAAGTAATTGTGCGTAAATACAACTTATTAAAACTCTATTTTTAAATTCGTGTAACTAACTGCAGATAAACACAATCAAATACATGATACATATCCATTTTAAATATAGAAAATCTAAAATATAATTAAGATAATCATTAAGTTCAAACACAATGTTTAATTATTATCCTTATAAAAAATTATATTGTTAAACGAAAAATAAATTACTTTGTTATTAAATCTAAATTAAATTATAAAAAAAATTAAATTAAAAAAATTACATCAAAAAAACGAAAACTATTAAATAGTTAATTTGATACGAATATAAATTTTTTTCTTCAAATTTTTTATGCTATCTACAAATTTATATTTCATTTGAAAATAAAAACATTATCACTTTCTCAAATTCACATAAAATCGTATTGTATCGGTAGAGACAAAAAATAAAAACTAAATATTAATATCGAAATTTATTTCGCTGCATTACACGAGTACCTTTTTAATATAATGAAGAGTAAACTATAAATTTGGTTCTTATAGTCTGTAAAAAAATAACGAGTTTGTTTTCACAATTTTAAAATTACAGTTTTGTTATCGTGATTTATAAAGATGTCGGGATTTGCTCAATCTTTTTAAGATTCGTTGAAAATTCCATTAAACAAGGGATATTTTCACTCTTTTACTGATTTTTTTTTTGTTTTTTACCCAACCAAAAACCATAGAGACCAAAATCATAAAATCAATTTTGATCGGGTAAAAAACAAAAAAAAATCATAAAAGAATGGATCTCATTCAATAGAATTTTAACGAATTAAATTTATTTTGACTATGATATTTATAAAATATTAAGTATACTATGACTTTGGATCATATGAGATAAGGTTGTTTTCGTAAGACACGTGAGACAATATTTTTACCCTTGAAACTTCACAGCAAAACACTGTGAAAGTAATTGATAACTCTTATTTTTAAGAGTTATTTCCTATTTATTTCCTCTCTTTTTGCTATTATTAAATACTCAATTTTCTTGTTTTTACTCTTTTATTCCAAAAAGTTTTAAAAATATGATGAAACACAAAGGAAGAGGTATTATTCCAAAAATCTGTATTTTTCTAACAGCACTGCCCACTGTGGCACCACTGTGGGAAGTCTATCAGCCTTGTTACAGCTTCTTGGGAAACGTGCAGCTTGAAGATTCCTCCAGATATTTTCTCCAGCTGCTTATGAGCTGTCTTCCTTCTTCTATTTTATTTTCTTTTGTATTTTCTTAACCTTGTACTAATTACCCTTGGGTAATGATTGAATGTTCTTGCTCTCATTCCTTTCCCATATATAAAGAGGCTTGGGGGAGCCATTTTGAGGTGTGCCCAACACCATATAAGACATTACTCTCTTTAATTAAATGCCTTTAATTTATGTCTTTAAATTATGCCTTTAATTTATGTATTTAATTTCTAGTATTTTACTTCATTGTACTTGTAATTTAGTTTTACTTTAATGCAATTTATATTTCAGTATTATTTTATGTCTTTAATTACTTTCATTATGTCTAGCTAAATTACTTATATGAGTGTGGGTGTGAGTTTAACTTATGATATTTATATAATATTTGGGTGTTTTTATCTTTTATCACTTCGTAACTTGGTAACTTAAGACGGTGCTTAAAATGCGGATAAGCTGATCACTTTGAAGTGTTAATATTAGATYTTWGACCCAGAGATGGGCGGATCCGAAATACGGCTTAAGTGATGCACAATGAACTCGAGAGGGTCTTTGAATAATTACGTGGAGACGCGAATTTTGCATGCATCTAGCTAGGGGTTAAGCAATAGGTATTTTTATCACAAAAAGATTTGGGTAAGAATCGCATTCCTTTTACTTTTTAGCTAGATTAGCAAGTTTCGAAGTGGTAAACGTAAAAACCTTATGGAATTTTATGAGGTCCGGTTATAAAAGTTCACTTTCGAGATATCGGAGCTTTTATAAACAACTCGTAAAAGTCTAATCATTTTATTGTTAATTTTATCTTAAGCAACACTTGCACCCATGCCCATCATTTAACGTTAGAAGTTTATTTCGTTAATTAGCTAGTCGGTCTTATTTCGGTCTTTTTATAAACAAAAATCCAACTTTATTTTACATTTAGAAACTCATGCAAGAAGTTCGTGAAAAATCTCTAAATCTCTACCTTCTCTGTGGGAACGATCTCGGTACTTTGTACCACTTTATTACTTGTAAGCGATCATAGTGTCGACGTGCTTTTGCACCGCCACTGTGGGGACATTCTGCCCACTAGGTGAACACGAATGATCCTAGCCCTGTCAGTAATCTTCACAATGTTTTTGCTGTGAAGGTTCGACTTTTTTTACTTTCACAACATTTTTGTTGTGAAGTTTCAAGTGTAAAAATGTCATCTCACGTGAACCCAATTCAGTATACTAATTAACTAAGAGTTATGGTTTTTCAGATTTTTTGGTTAAAACTAACATATATAGAGCAGCGAAAAGAATGTTGAGCTTAATGTTTGTAATGTAAAATAAATAACATAAACAGTAATATGATCGAATTATCATTATCATGGAAAACATCCATGACTTTAATCTAGAAGATGAATAGTAAACTTACTTGTGGGAACACTTGGAATTGTCTTACTTGATGAAGCCATGATCACTCTTAATAATCTATTTGATGCCAATCAATTATGATGGAGTTACAATTCTCTTATTAAGAAAGAGATAACCACAAAATATAGTTATTTACAATCGGTTACAGTTGGTTACAGTCGGTTACAGGGACCGGTATCGTCCATCGAGATAATCGAAGGGCCTGTATGTAATTAAGTCATAACCAAGTTAATTAAATTAAACATTTATCACTAATATGATATTAACATAAATATTAATATAAAATATATCAATTTTCTAACATGTAAATCTAATCCAAAACTTTGATTTTAATCAGCTTAATCAAACATGCTTTAAGTATTTTGATTATTTTATCTCTCGTTATCTTGTTATAAAGTGTAGAAAGATGAATTAAATATTTGAAGAATGTCGTTTCTATTAGTAAGGGACGACTTCAAAGATTAGTCTGTGTAATTATAACGACTTTTCAGTAATATATGTTCTCTCTAGATATCTGTGTTTCCACAGAAAATCAAAACAATTTAACATATTTACCCAATTATGTACCTGTGATTATGATTTACTGTAATTTTTATTTAACAGAAAATCAAAACAATTTAACATATGGGGTTGGATTATAGTAAGAAGAGAAGTTATGGTGAGAAACGTAAGAAGAAATCTTCACCATTGGATCAATTTGATCAATCTTAATTGAATGTTAACATTAATGAGGTGCATTGGATCAATTTTTTTAATTCTAAAGTACAATTTATGGGTGAATATAAGATTAAAGATGTATATTATTCTATTCAGACTAGGGGTGTTCAAAAACCCGACCAACCCGATCAACCCAACCCAATCCAATATGAAATAACTCAATCCGAAGCAATTCGATGTGTAATCGAGTTGTAAAATTGTCAAACTGTAGGTATTGGGCTGATATTGAGTTACTATTATTTGAACCCAACCCAACCCGATGAACCCGATATCCTTTTATTTCTTGAATTTAATATGATTGTTGAATTTCTAATAATATATAAATTAGACAATTACACTATCATATATGCTTTTCATATACACATTTTTGATCTATTCACATATCTATATAACTCATTCATATATATGTTCAGTAACTGTGAACATATATATGTAAATTGAGAAAATTAACTGAATGTGATATACGTAAGAAGTATGGATAAGTTGTATCAAATGGTTGATGTTAAGAAAATATGAGTAGAGAAATAACATATTCAAGGTTAAAGAAATATTTTAATTTACCAAACTATCAACCCGATCAACCCGTACGGGTTGGGTTGGGTTGCACTTTGGTTTATGTTGGGTTGGGTTAAGATTTTTCAAACTGCAAGCATTGGATTAAATTGTTCAAATATCTTCAACCCGATCAACCCAACTCATGAACACCTCTAGTTCAGACGACAAAAAAAATCCAAATAATATAGTTGACTTTGAGCAAAGTCAACCTATAAATAAATAAAATACATGGTTGGCCATCATCATCTCTAATTATCTATGATTTACCTGTGAATAAAGTTGACTTCTGAAGCAAGTCAAACTTAAAATTTCAGTCAAAATGCAGGTTATTCCTAAATTCACCAAGTAAAATAAGCAAAAAAATTAATCATAAATCAAGATTCAAATTCAAAAAATCCCTAAAAATCCTCTTGAATCGCCACCCAACCCCACCATCCCCCCTGTAATTTCTTGAATTTTTCAAATTTAACCTTGGAACCAGTAAAAAAACCAGTAAAAACAGTAAAAAAGTGGCATGTTCAAAGCTGTAACTTCCTCCTCTTAATATCTCTCTCTCTCCAACTCTGTGAAGAATGTGGCCAAAAACCCATTTGATTCAAGAAAAACCCACTTCAATTTACCCATCTTTTCCCCGAAATTTCGTGTTTTTTGATGAAATTTTATGATTTTGATATGAATAGATTATGTGTTTTATAAAACTGAAGTATTTGTGGGGCATGAACCAAGGACAAATGGGGGCGCCCTTGCTGTCATTTTCGGTATTTTTTTAAGAATGGTGTCGTTTGTGGGGAGAATTGAGGGCATAGTTTATATTGATTATTAAAAATTAGCAACAATAACAAGAGCAAGAGAGAAAGTGATATAGATATAGATACATATATAGATATAGAGAGAGAAAGAGCTATTTTCTAGAGAGAGAGAGAGAATGGTGTGTTCAATCAATCATGGAGGAGTTTTTGAGGCCATGAATAGGTTGTTCTGACCTCCTTTCTTCAGAAGCCTAATTAGATTTTGGTGGGTATCCAAGATATTTGCTTCAAATTGTGTTTTTTAGCCATAATTTTCATGAATTTATGGAGTTCTTGTTTTACACTTGTTTATGATTAGGAAAAAGGCTTAGAATTTTCTGACATGGGTTATTTGCATAAAGATTAAGTTTGCATGCTTCAATTTTATGTTGGAAGTTATTTGTTAACTCAAGAGTTTCCATGAAAATTGAGAAAACGGGAAATTTGTGTGAAATTTCTAGTCATACCCAAGTTGTGTTCTTCCTTTTCGTGCCAAAAATGTCAATTTTTAATGCTAGAACATAAATACGAACACCAACTGTTTGTTGAAAAGCGCAAAAGAAAAGCACACATTAGCCATGTTGAAGAGGACTCGCTTTTACTCTTTAAGTTCTATCATGTCTTCCATTTTTGTTTCTCTTTTAGTGATATTTGTGGATATAGGAACATGTCTTCTTTCTTGTTCCCAATTCAGGTAATTCCTTCTTCCAGAGACGAAACTCTCAAATCCAGAGTATTTGTGCTATAAAGACTTGTACATCGATGAATCAAAGGCGTACACTTCTCTGAATTTGAGAATTTCTGGTTGGTCTAAGTTCAGTTTCTGGTATTGTCAAGTGTCTACTATGCTTTTTATGATTTAGAAATTGTTTCGAATTATTCAATGTCTTGTTAGATTTATGAGATGCAACTAACTTTGGTCATATGTAGGTTAGAATCTAAAAGATGGACTTTTCAGAATCTACGAAAGTCGTATATGATAGGATCCAGAAACTAGAACCTGAAAAAGTCTCCAAGATTATCGGGTATCTACTGTTGCAAGATCATGGTGAAAGAGAGATGATTAGATTAGCCTTTGGCCCTGATAATTTGATCCATTCTTTGATCAATAAGGCGAAAACCCACCTCAATTTACCCTCCAATTCAGCTACTTCTAGTCCAGTTTCACCTCCCAGGGTCAATTCGGTATCAGACATGCCCATAAAGTTCACACCTTTCTCTCCTGGCGGCTTATCTCGTCCATCCCCGTTGGCTATCCAAGTTCCTAACCGTTGCTGTGATTCCCATGGCCAATCTTTAACGGTTTATCCATCTTCGTTTCCTGAAGATTTTCGCTTTCAAAACCAGCTACATTTCCTGCCATTAGAAGATCAGATGGAGCCTGCAAACGGCTCAAATTTCGCGACTAATAACTATTTCTATTCTGAACCTACAGTGGGTTCTAGGACCAACAGAAGATCTCCTAGTTTGCCTGAATCGCCCGTCAAGATTTGCCATTATTTCTTGAAAGGTTGCTGTAGGCATGGAAGTGGTTGTAGGTATTCTCATGGTAATCCCATGCTGGAAAGCTTCTCTCAGATCTTTAGCCCGGGTTCAAATGAGGACGATAATGTCTTTTCACCCGGGTCTCTCAACAAACTGGAGATGGAACTCACTGAACTCTTGAAATCAAGAAGAGGGTTTCCTGTTTCTATTGCTTCTTTACCAATGCTGTATTATGAAAAGTTCGGAAAGACCCTTCAAGCCGAGGGGTATCTCACCGAGAGCCAAAGACATGGGAAAGCCGGTTATAGCTTGACTAAGCTTCTTGCACGGCTCAAGAGAATTACACTCATCGATAGGTTACACCCTTCAACCCTTCATTACAAGAAAGTCAGTTATATCGGACGCCAAATATGTCTAAATGTCCTAATATACTGCTTTATCAGACTTAAGTATGTGTGTTCCATGTAAAAGTGTTACAATAAGTTGATAGGACGCTTTTGGACATCCTAACAAGTTTTTTATGGCAATTCTAAATAAAGCGTTATATTAGTATTTTTAAAGCAGTCCATTAAGACAGTTAGGTCCTGTTTTTTAGCAGCTTAATGAGACTCACATGCTTATTCGGTCAACAGTACATGGCTGTTTAGTAGTGGCTTAATGATAATAGAAAGTGGTTTGTTCAGTAAGCTTCTAAGGAGGAGCTTTATGCGGAAAACAAGTTTTTTTCTAAAACCTGCCCTTCCCAATTTAAAAACACGCTGCTTTCATCCATGAAAGAACTCTTCCAAACAAAAATATTTCCGATCCATACAGACAAATTAATCCACACAAACATCTTTATCCATACAGGACTTAATGTAAAATCAACCAACAGACTATAGACATATTTGGCGTCCTGTAAAGCCAATTTTGTTGTTAGCGGTTATTCTTTTTGTTCACGATCTTTCTTGATTCCTTATTGTAAATCTGGTTGTGTCAATAGGCCTCACGGGCAACATTCGGTCATTTTAGCCGATGAAATTGCAAAATATATGGATTACAATGGAGATAGAAACGAACAAGGTGGTATCGTTGCAGGCTCTAGGCAGATATATCTAACGTTTCCGGCTGAGAGTACCTTCACAGAACAAGATGTTTCAAACTATTTCAAGTAAGGCGTTTACATAGATCGAAATAGTCTTTATATGTATATATCATATGAATTGAAATGAAACAGTTTACATTTTCTTATATCAATCCAGAAAATTTGGGCGGGTTCATGACGTGAGGATTCCCTGTCAGCAAAAGAGAATGTTCGGATTTGTAACCTTTGCTTATGGGGAGACCGTTAAGGAGATTCTGAACAAGGGGAACCCGCATTTTGTTTGTGGTGCACGAGTTTTGGTCAAACCATACCGCGAAAAATCTAGGGACGATAGGTAAGAACATGGTTAGGAGCTGTTTACCACCTGTTGATCGTAAGAGGTGCTTACCCGGTAAGAAAGGATGATGTTTACCAACACATTCTGAGTTCTGACCCACAAATATATTGACCGAGAAAGGGTTGCGTTCTGACTCAGTCAGCGCTTACGACACATGGTAAATAACCATTTTCAGCCGGTGCTTAACCAGACCGAACCTCTTAACCAGACCGCATTCTTAATCAATCAGCACTTACTAATTTGTGTTGGTAAACGGCCCCTAGTCTTTTATCCTGACAGAACAACTTGTGAATTTGACGCTAAAATTTATACCATTTTCTGCAGGAAAATTGGAGACAAATTTCGGCATGCTATGTACTATGGTGGTCACTGCCTCGATGCTGAATCTGAGCTTCGGTCAAGTGAGATATATATATGTTATAAATCTTTTGACCTATTTGCATATGGCGATCATGCTCGTGTTTCTAGATAATTTGAGTTATTTTTACATCGATGCAGTGGCCAGAATTTGTGATAGTTCGACATTATTAAAGAAACAGCTGCTAGAAGAACAGCAGGAGCACGCACTTGAGTCAGAGAGATTGCGGTTCTCAGAAATGCAGTTGGCAGCAAACCCCACGAACCAACCGACTTTTGGGTACTCGCTCGAAGAGTTGCAGCTATCAGAAGGTTAGAAACTCTAAATTCGGCAAAGCTGAAGTTATATAGCTGTTAAATTTGGCTGGAAAACTATCTGTTGGCTGATAAGATTGGCTAATAAGCTATCTGTTAGTTGAAAAGCCGAAGTTCTGATGAATCTTGATTTTGTAGGTCATAGAGGGCAGATGAATTTCTCATCTGCAGAGCAGTTTGGTCATCTGTTAGATGTTCTGAACAATGGCTCACCTAATGATGACAGAATTAGGCAGATAAATACCAAATACAATGATCAAGAGAAGTAAGTTAAAATATAGCCTATGGTTTTCTTTATGGCATCATTTAGACTGGACCATAATGAGCATCGTTACACCTGGTCGCCCAGCTGGGCTAGCCCAAACGGTTAGGACCTATTGCGTCGTGACTTACCCGTGGTTCATTCATTTCAACCCCCTAGGCGCTGTTTTCTTTTCTTTCTACTGCAATAAAATCGGGTTTATATGACACCAGATATGCCTACAATCCTAATAGACTGTTTTATGGTATTTAACTTTATAGGACCAAGCAATTGTGCGTCCTATGTGAAAGTGTTACAATAAGTTGATAGAACATTTTTGGGCGTCTTAAATCCCTATAAAGCAGTCTATTAAGACATCTAGACATATTTTATATCCTATAATGCCAATCTTATTATAGTGTTCTCGAAATGGAAAAGGATGGGCGACGCTGGTGCACCAATGTTTCATGATCACCGTCACATTAGTTCATCAATCTTTCCGTTATCTTTTCTTTTTCCATTTTTTTCGCTCATCGGTTTATCTGGTCAAAGTTGCAGCAGCCAGGGACTGAATCTTCCCGATAGTCCATTTGCATCTCCCTTAGGAAGCGGGATATCGACAGCAACATAAGTTCTTTCACAAATAACAGGAGCAGACTTAGATATGAAGAATCAACATCAAAGTCCATTTCTTCACACAAAAAGATCCAGTTTTTTTAGCGTTTTTAGGCCCAAAAAAAAGCAAATTGCAACGAACACAAGGTACAGAAAACACTTGCGATATTTCACCACGTTACCGTTAACTTTTTTAGTTTCTATAAAGGGTTTCAATGCAAGCAAGAAAGCAAGACAGATAGCTTGTTAGTTTTTTCTTTTTGATTATAAACTTTAGGAAGAAGAATGAAAGCAAGTGTAGTGAGTCTGGCTCAGTTATAGAAAGCATATGCAGATGGCTTAATGCTAAAGTTTTCTATATCTATATCTATATATATATATATATATATATATATATACACACACATATATATGCTACTAATAAAAGCTTAGTTTATACAAAGTTTCCATTTTTAAGCTCTTATGTACTTTATTATTGCTTGAACTTCGAACATCGGGCATGTTTGAAGCGTGTAAATGTGTGTCGTGTGCGTATGAATAAAGGGATATTCTTTTTCCATTAAACCATGTATGGATTAAGCTCTCTGTATGAATTAAACTAAATCGCTATTTGTTTGTTGTTTTGAATGAACTGATGTAAATGTGTATCATGTGCATATGTAGTTGTACTCTCCTTCGAACCAAGAAAGAGGGCATGGGTTGGTTTCGTTGTTTTTCCATTAAGGGCATGTTTGTTAGCAGCTTAATGAGTTTAACGAGACTTACAGCTTATTGACCAATTATACGTGACTGTTTGGTAGTGGCTTAATGATATAGAAAATGGCTTATTCATTAAGCTTCTAGGAAGAAGGTTTATGCAGAAAGCCAAGTTTTTCCTGAACATGCCCCTTCCAATTAAAAATCCAAGATTAATTACAAGTCATTAGTTGTAAAGCAGCATCAAACAACAATGATTAACTCTAACACAATTATGGCTTCTTTGAAAACCTTAGACAAAGTGTGGGGTTTTTGTGGTCATTGTGTTGCTTATGCTCATTTCCATAAACATCTTTTGTCTATTTAATAAAAAGAAATAGCTTAACGAGTCTGTTCTTAATGAATCGACAGGTATAATGACCATTTCGTCATGATTGTGGTCAGATTTGACACAGATGTAATGAGTATCAAAGTTTCACCTTTTCTTAACAAAATGATACAATCACATGGTAAAATTATTACTATCCAGAACAATAATAGCAAATGTTATATACACCGGGTACATAAGCAGTGATTTCAAATCCGCAATGGGTGAAAGCTTGACGAAGCAATGCTGCGTGGAGGTGGAAGGCCACGGGTCGTGAACTTCTTTTCTCGGAGAAGAAGCAATGACGGTATCTGGGAAATAAGTATTTGCTAATTCTATGCCAGCAACCGCAGTAATACAGAAGATGCAAGCGTTATCCGGAATGATTTGGACGTAAGGCGTTTGTAGGTGGTTTTTAAATTGTAATGGTTGGTTGAATGTGGTTTTCACGGTTTATACAAATTGAGTGGTTTTTATTTGAACGCATATATATATATATATATATATATATATATATCTATATATATATATCAATATTGTCCTTTAAAACTTGCTTACAACCCTCTTAATCACATTACTTAAAACCATGATAAGCTTATATTTTTGGGTTTTTTCTGTTCTATTATTATATACAATTTACCCCATATAAACCAAACTGAATTTCTCCCCTTATAAAAGTCAACTAAACATGTTTTTTAAAAAAAGTAAAGAAAATAATATTACTATATATGACGAATGATCGTGTGAGAATAAGAGTTAAAGTGAGGAACGTAAAAAGGGATCTGAAAACTTGATCACTTTTAATCTCACCCCCACCTCATAAATTACACTTGATTTAAGAATTGATCTGGTGCATCTCGATACACAAAATTAATGTTGCTCTTCAATTAGGATTGACCTAAGGGTGGATATCCCTTACTCGGAACCCAATCTTACTATATATGTAGAGAGTATATATATATATATATATATATATATAGTGTATGTGAGTGAGAGTGTGAGTGAGAGAGAGAGAGAGAGATGGGCAATGAGGAGGAGAGAATATTGGGAGCCAATGAGAGAATTGAGTTTTGGATAATTCCATCTTCTTTATCACCCAACTTCATGTCTTATTTAATATTTGAGGTGGATGGGTGGTCTTTGACAACAACCAAATCTATTTCAAGATTTGTGGATCCCATACTTGTTAATATCCTTGCAAAAACCATCACGTGATATGTCCCTCTCATTCCATGGTTAATTTTTAAACATTTCACAACTAAAATAATAAGATTTAAATCTGGTTTTATTGAAAAACTGTAATTTATCTCCTTAAAATAATTGTAGGACCCATATAATAAAAACTGTCTAAACTGTACCACACACCCTTTTTCCACGGTCTTTTATTACATTGTCCTTAGGTACCATTTTTTTTTATAAGAAAAGGAAAGTAAAAGTATTTACTATATGGATCCTGAATTAAGAGACTTGTCGATACTAAGAAAAGAAAGACGTGTTCATTATATAAAATAGATTAGGTAATATTTTTGTTATTAAAACATGGTCGTTTTTCTAATGAGTATCTTACTTTCGGATATCTTTTTTTTTTTGTGGTTGTTGGAGTTCTATATAGTGTTTTAAATTTAAAAAAGTCATATTGTATTATTATTTGTGAATAACAGCAGACTGTTCTTTGTTGGATGGGTAAGTAATGGAGGGTATATTAGAGAAATCAAAAGTTGCAAAAAGGAGGATGTTAGGTTTTCCTGTGGTTGGACCGTGTTTAACAATTAGAGCTGGAGTTACGTCCATCACTAATTAAAATGACAGAGGAAGATTAGAGTGGTTTGGACATTTACACAGAAGGTAGATTACGACACTGGTAAGGAGGGGGGGGGGTAGAAAGTATGATGGTTGAGGGAATGAAGTGGAGAGACAGACGAGGAGGATGTGAGTTGAGCAGTTGAGGTCTTGAAGACAGATATGACGACCTTAGACACGACAACCTTAGACAATTCTGATAAGATTACATCTGATAGGAGCTCTTGGAGACCCATGATTAGGGTAGCGGATAGTTAGGTAGTTAGAGCCTTATCGATACAGGGTTGTCTTAGTTTTTCCTCCTTCCTTGTATACCTTTTTCTGAAATGTTTGTTATAAACTAGCATTAGTTTTTTTTTTTATTAACCTGGATATCCAATCTGCTATGCGAGCCGACTAATCCCAAGACGACCACCTTCTTTGCAGATAGCCCGGAGTCACCGCATTTGAGCCTCCGTAGCCACAAGGGGATTTTTATTCCTCCTCGAATTTAAACCTGAGACCTCCAGGTACTTTTGACCTTTGGAGCCAAGCTTAAACCAACCAGACACCGCCCTTGTGGTTAGCATTAACTTTTCTTCATGTACTAGGATAGGAGTTATTAGTACTATGCTCGGTGTTTTCCTTATTTGTTTAACCTATTCGGCTATTTTCCTCACGTATGTCCCTAACGCAATTTATGTTAACTATACTTGTTTTTTTGCACACAGTCTCACCTATAACATGCTTGAGTGAACCACAAGGGTTATGGCATAGTGGTTGAGCCCAACGGATATGGTGGAATATCTCATCTACCCTCGGTTCAATTCCAAGTGTCCATAACAGTTGTGGTAACTGAGTTTATCAAGATTGAAGTCTTACAATCACAATTTGTCGGGATTAGTCTGGGTATAACGACCTCATTCTAGAAAAAAACATGCTTGAGTGTGGATTTTGATTTTTGTTTCGCAAGCCAAGGGTCTTCTCGTAAACAGCAAAGAGGTCACAGTACAACAAAGAGATCAACACTCGACACAAACTATAAAATCAAACGAACCCGGTGGAACGTATGTAGAGGCGGGCATTTTCATGAAGACCCCGACTTGTGAGAAATAAAAAGAAAAAAGGGCAAAACAGACATTACAAATATTTAAAGCAAATCAATATAAGAACCAGATTTATGACACCATCTATAGCTCATCTTAGTAATCCTCTTGTTACAAACCAGTGCAGGTTTTCAATCTCCAATAACCTGCCAATAAACGCGGACTTATGCGCATATATCACAAAGACTATATCATACAACAAAAACATAACGAAAACTTGTGGACCGAAGGTTGAATCAATGATAACTAGTACAACAACGATTTTTTGTTTTTGGTCAATTGGCATCGACACGAACAACCATTTCTGTACCTGTAGATTCGTTTGCTGATTCTGGTTGAGGTGTTGATTCATCATCATCATCATCAGACTCATTGTTGTTTCCCTGTGTATTTTGGGTAACGGTTCTGGTCCCAGCCGGCATATCGTGGTCGTGACGTCCCTCGTAAGTCGTGATCACCACTTTCTCGTCATGGGATGCCCGCTCTACGTGCTTCTTCACTGGGCACCCAGCATTTGAACACCGGTAGTAACTCCTGCATGGACATCACTACTTTTTAGTAATGAGATTTTACCAAAGAATTCCAATAAGCGGAACCCAATGCTGGTTCTATGCAGGGTCGTTCCAATCTTTTTGGAGACCCTGCTACACTTGTACTAAGACTATAGATCGACTGAACGTTTTAATAAATCAAACAAAAATATAAAAGTTCATATCACATATTATATTATGCTTACAAATTAAAACAACAAAAATTTCTTAAAATGCCAAAGTAACACGAAAAATTTACTCGAATAGAATGATTCTTTTAACATTCTTAGAGAGCTGAATCAAGAATTGCCAAATCGTTTGAAAGAGTAAAAAGTCTGAAACATGTATAGTTGGTCCTCAAAACTATTCTATATCTCACATTGGGACATCCTCAGGCACGACCCTGGTTTTACGGGAAAGGTTAGGAAATATGGCATACGGGTGAGTGATTATTTCATCTCCCATCACCTACTGATGTGAGACGCCAAGCAATCATATTGATCGAACCTGATGAACAGGTTTTCAATTTGAATGCCCATCAAGCATTATGCAATGCTAATTCTATATGCAGTACTTTGCCCACCCTAATTCTATATGCCGTATTTTGCCCAATTACGGATGCTTGTGATCAGGACTTGTTCAGGATAACCTAAAAGACTTGTTTACAGGACCCACACTTGTGTGTATTGCTTAGTGACATGGGTCCGGGAAAAAAAAGGACTGGCTTTAAAAAAATTGTCCAAGTTACAAGCAAGCACGCAAGATAATGGAAGTTTAAAGTCTATTCAAAGAACTCACTTTTGGCATTTAAGAGTCAAATACATTAGTTTTTCAACTTCCAAACTGATATATTAGTTCAGGTCATAAATATAGAAATCAAAGATGCATTAATCCCTATAAAGAGTAACATATAAAAGACAGTTTCAACTAAGTAACCATAAATTAAAACCAAAAGTGAATGTCAATCATTGGACAGAGGGAAAGGAATATACCTTAATTAAGGGGCCGTTTACTAAACGCTTACCCGGGTGAGTACTTACCGGAAAATTTTCCTCACCGGATGAACATGGCAAGGGCCAAGAATCTTACCCGGTAAGAGCGATGATAAGGATGGAGAGTCTTACCCGGTAAGTGAGGGTGACGACTCTTACCCGGGTAAGCGCTTACCAGGTAAATTATTGTATATGATACGTTTTGATGTACTACAATCTTCCCCAATAAAATAAATTATGGTGTTGACTCCTAATGTTAAACACTTACCGGGTAAGCATTTAGGTAAACGACCCCCGAGTATACATGCATGTTCAAGCAAGCACACAAATTTAAGGTCAAGGGTAAGGAAGGTTCTGACTTCATGAAACAAATATAACATCCAACTAGACCACAGCTAAGAACAGGACCACACCAAAAAGTTGCATTATACTTCAATATACTTGCATATGGTGGAGTTTGGTGTAACTATGAATGCCAATTAAATATACCTTGGATTGGGATTGCCTTTCACTAATTTCTGCCCGTATTTGCGCCAACGGTAGCCATCATTAACAATATCAACTGCACTTGTAGTCTGAACGATAACTCGTGGCTCATAATTCGTCTTTGTCACAACACTATCATTGACGCCAACACTCTCTTTCTTCCTGTGCAAAATTTGAGGATTAGCACAAGGCAATGCACGAGTAGGAGAAAGCTATAAAAACAAAATACAAGTATATGACAGTATGCTTTAACTTACTGTCTCTTTGAGTCGGGTAGAATATTTTTAACCTCACTTTCTATTTCACTAGACCGTGAGACTGCAACTTCCGCAAAATTTTGACTTGAGGCAACCATAAACTGCGGACGAGTTGCTGAAGCTTCAGGATCTTGAGAGGCTGCAAGATGCACAAAGACATAACAAATTGTTTAGTAAAGCACTAAAAGAATAAAAATCTCGTCCCCAAATCCCATCTCCCTTCCCTGTCCCACCAATCACGCGAATACAAATCATTATTTTATTTAATTCACATTATTATTCTCTCAATTTATTGATGATGTGTCTTCACGTGATTGGTGGACAGGGAGGGGACATGAGATTTTTATTTGCAATATAGGGACCAACGCAAGACATGTATCAGTAATGAATTTGATTGGTTACTTTCAGATGTCAACGATGGCTCATCAGATCCTCTTGCTTGATTTGGATGAACACATGACGGGCTTTTAAGAAGAGTATGTGCGGGTTTGGGATGTTCATGCTTGCACAAGTAATTTATCTCTGTGATATGTCCATCATGTGAACGTTCAACTTGCTTTCTAGCTGGGCAATTAGCAAATGTACATTTGTAATAGCTCCGAACAAACACATTTCCTCTTACAAGCTTCTGACCATATTTTCGCCAATTAAATCCGTCCACATTAGGTTTTTCAGGTAACCTTGAGAAAGTGACTCCTTGATCAGAATGCAATACATTGACCGCATTCTCAGGGTTGCGTCTTAGTGGTAATTTATCTAGCCCTTTCTCGGGTCTTAATGCCACAACAAAATTTTCTTGAGCAGATTGTGATTCAGGGACACTGGCATCAGGAGACGGAGTTTGCTCTAATGTGTCTGGCACTCTCTCAGGTATTATAGAATGCGTAGTTCTTTGTTCATTAGATTCTGATACACGATTTTCGGAATCTGACCCTTTGCCAGGTAGTACAGAGAGGGAGCTTCCTTCTTGGTTGGACTGTGATGTGTGGACCTCGCTACCCTGATATGGCCTTTGATGCATATCACGTGAATCCTTGGTCATTACAGACCCAAAATTTCTTTCTTGATTGGATACTGAGACCTGATTTTTACCATTAAGACCATCCGTCAACTTCAAATAACCTGATGACTTCACCATAGCAAATTCACTTCCATCTCGATTGCATTGTGAGATGAAATTCCTCTAGCTCAGATAATAATATCTCCACATGGGCTCCTTCAGGACCTGATTCAAGAATTCGAGTATCAGAAAGCACTATTGGGTGCACTTCACCAAAAAGGAATCTCTTTCTATACACCTTTCCGTGAAGAAACCATATGAACCAGTATTGAAGCGTTAATATATAGAATCAATGTATCTCTCTATTCTCAGGACACCAAATATCATCACATTTTAAACAACCAGAGCAGGAAAAGAAAACAATGCTGGATCTAGAAGAAAAACTTTGATAATTATCCCATACTATCATTTTTAAATTCTCTACACTCCTGAAAAGGAGGACATATCCATATATCCACACACACACATACATAACTGAGTCTCTTGATTCGATGGTAGTGGGTGGTTCCAGACTAGCCATTAATAGGGTGTGTATGTTTATTTTGACATTTCAATATGTGCGTGTATGTATGTGGCTGTATGCATAAACGCATGTATGTGTGTATGTATGTAGTATGCATATCAAAATGGTCAAAATACACATAAAACCCTGTTAACGGCAAGTTTCAAACCCACTTACCATTCAGTCAAGCGACCCAGTAAGTCCTAGTTGGGTGAAAAGCAGCTGGATTGCATATCTGGATGTTCACTTACTGGAACACGCATAAAGATACTGTTTGCAAATGCATTTATTATGGTTGTCCATAGATGTTCTATAACATCAGTAACAAGGAAGCATGTGTCAAATTTTGGTGTTCAATGAAAAGAGGAACTTACAACCTATGTCACAGTTCAGTGAAGATAAATTATACCCTCGACTACCAAATTAAGTAACTAAACAGACATATAAAATAATCCTGGGTACCCTGGTATTAAAAGATGTCTTCAATTCATTCCATAAAATGAAACTGGATAATAATCACATTTACAAACTATTTCCTAGGAAGTAGCAAATAAGTGGTCAATGAAGAATAGTAAAATACCAGCAATAATTTGTATAAATTACAGCTCTAAATATTATCTGTCTTCTTAGATGAACCTAAGTATTGCAGCATCTCTTTTGTGGGCTTCCATGAATTATCATCAAATTGAAGGTGGAACTCCATATTTCTTGCTCAAATAGAAGAAATGATTTCCATGTGGGGATCACAAAAAGTAGTACATTGTAAACCATGACTTACAAGACCTGTCGAATTAGCAGTAAATTCTGTCTTTAGTGGTCTATCACCCTATGGATCTCAAAAGACTTGTATAACTATATTATAAGCACATGGCATCCACTAGTTTCTTTCACTAACATTGTACTTTTTTCCTCCCAAGTTATTTAATAGAAGTTCTAGTAGAAAGAAAAAGAATTGCAGTATGGATCAACAACTGTTTCTGTGAAGAACAGAATATGAAGTAGATATAAACAGGCTGTTGCCTGCTTGCCAGTACTCATCTTCTAGTACTTTTATTCCCATGCCTTATGCTCTCAAGTGTGCTTTCAGAATCCCCATAACTTAAGAAAACCTTTTTTGACAACAATTGTTTCTTAAAAAACTTCTTTCACAAAGTCGGAGATCTTCATGGAAACAGCCTTTGAGGGGTAGAGGAAAGGTCTACGTACATCATACCCCGAATACCCTACTCTTGAGTTGAGATATATTGGGTACATTTGGTTTGGAAAATTAATGCTAGGACCTAAAACATTTGATTACATACTGGTGGAGGTGGACTACCATATAAAGATAACTAAATTTCTGAAAGTCTCCCCAAAATCATAAGTAACTTTGAACCAAGCTAGTGAGAATACAGGATGAGTGAAACTATGAAAAGTTTCAGGGGTCACTATATAATGGGTTGCTCCCATTAAATCTGAAAGCATCTATAGGCCTATACTGAGAATGAATATGATGTACAGGCAGAATGTTGGACCATGAAAAAGACAACATGTGGACAAGATGTGTGTGATAGGAACATCGATGTTGGGGTGGATGTGTTGCCAAAAAATGAGAAATAAGGCTATGAATGACGATAAATGGGAGAAGATTTGGTGGCATCGGTTGAAAAGTTGAGACAACACTGGTTGAGACTGTTTGGTCATCTTCAACATAGACCTTTGAATGCACAAGTTAACCAATGAGGCATGTACAACGAGCAAATAGATGAGTCAGATGGAGATCATGCAATCAACCATTATTTACCACAGGGAAATGATGAATATGGATCCAAGTGATTTGCATATACCAAAGGAATTGGCGTTACATAAGAATGTATGGAAGAAAGCAATTCATGTCCTAAAGCCCTAGGGATTTTCACCTCTTAGGATTTTGTTTTGGGTTTCACTTCAGGCCTTCCAAAGTAATTTAGGACAAATGCATGATTTTATTGGTCCTTCACATTGTCTAGGGCTGACCTCTGCCGTTAGGCTGTATGGGTGACCTTGTGGCCTAGGGCCACCTAGAGCCTTTCACAACTATGACACTCGTAATGTAATTCCTCTTCCTCTTCAAATGATGACTCATCATTGATTTTCTTCTTATAGCCCACACCGGATGAAACTTGACAGTCAAAATTTTCACGTTTGAGTTGTTAGAAACTGGGTACATGTAGCATACATGGATCTTCACATGATTACTGTGGGAAATTTTCTGAAACTACAATCAAACAGATTTTTGAAAGATATTTCAACACAAAAAGAGCTATGTCAAGAACTTAAAGTTGAGTGATTTTTTTATACAAATACTGGTTCTGCAATTCATAAGCTTACATTGGAGTGACCTTTGTTCCCTTTAAAAGATTAAAAGATAGCTTTCTTGTTAAATATCAAAACACCCTTTCAGTATTTCTTCACTGTTTCAAATAGAATGTTCTAAAGCTTTGACCAACAACACTTGTTCACCAGACCTGCAACTTTGTAAAGTTGCAAGTGAACGAAAAGCTTAAAAGATTTGAACTCAGTGGCTCTAATGGGTCTATACATGAACACACGTGGGTACAGAAATAACCACTCTAAAATATGATGTTCTTTACTGCCTTATCAGCTTATTTTCTGTTACGTGGTTCATATATTTGCTTTACAGGATTTTCTAATACATTTATTTTGGTGTGTTTCACTAACATGCATCAATAGTGGTTGTCTGCTCCTGAACTAAGCTATTGGGACAGCATCTTTGATAGCATTTCTCAGTGAGAGAGATCATATCGTGGTCTGAAAAACTTATGGAGTTGATAATTTTATTTCTGGTGCAAAGCATTCTTAAAAGGAGTATGTCTTAAGAGCGATATCTCATCAAATCTACAGTCTTCTATACACCCTTGAGTCCTTGACTACTAAAAGAAGAAAACCTATCATTGCTTCCCCCTGTTTCCTCTGAGTGGCCCAACACATATGACCACTACCATTCCTGTTTGTAAGTTGCAACAATCAGGACCAGAAGTGATAAGCCCATTTATGTTGAAAGCTAATGTTTCAAATAACCTGACAACTAATGTACATTTAGCCGAGTACAGACAGCAACGAACAGGAAAGTATATTTCACAAACCTTCAGCCACCAGAGAAGAATTGGAAGTTATGACCTCCGATAGGAGTTCGTGGAGATGCATGACTAGGGAAGCAGATTGTGTGCAAGGACCTGGGGATAATGGAGGTAGGGGAGGGGGTGGAGTGTTAGAGGGTGGGTCAGAGGAGTGTTACAGCCTAGGATGGATAGCTAGGTATCAATGCACAAGGTTAGGAAGGGGGTGTCTGCACGAGGCAGCACTGCGGTCTTCTACTTGCTTTGTTGTTTTACCGCCTCTTTGTCTTTAGTTGCTTTGGTGATTTCGTACCTGCAATCTATATCTGTGCCTTCTTTGTCCATGAGTGCTTCATTATTATTTTTCTTGCTGCTTTTTCTTCTACTCCTCCAAATTACGTTTCTACCATTTTTCTTTCTGTTCTTCCAAATGTATTTAAAAATAACAGAACCATTATTTATTCGCTTAACCCTTTTCTCAAAACCTTTTTACAAGCAGAGGGTATTTAAGAAAACAGCCTATCTACTCCTTGGGTAGAGGTAAGGTCTAAATAAAACTACCCTCCCCAGACCCTACTCCATGTAGTATTCACCGAGTTCATTTGGTTTAGTTTCGCTTCCAAAAATCCGGGAGAAGCTAAAAGAATGAGACAATTGGCAGCATAAGACAAAATTTGATCTCATGGATCGGAGGAGATAGTCATAGGTTTGAAACTCGAACAATAAAATGTGTAGACATCCCATGTAGACTGCAAAAAGAACTCACCCCAAATAATCCACAAAATAAAGAAATATTTTCATCTCTTACTCGAAGCTGATATCTTTAGACCTACTAGTTCATGGATTATAAACCACTTTTGAAAAAGCCTTCAAAATCTTTAATATGCATTTTCTTCCTCCCATTTAATTGCTTGATCACACAACTAGAACTACGCAAACTAAAAATTATCCATTTGGTAGCTACCAGGCTACAAGTCACTCGTTCAAAAATATCATAATTGCAAAAACAAACAAAAGAGCAATTGCATCACGGTCAAAAGCTTCAAAAATTGCTCCAATTGATTACACTGACCAAGGAATCAAACCAAGGGTCCAAGTATCCAACGCGTGAAAATAACAAATAAATCCTAAATCACCAAATATCTAAACAGCAAAATCTCAAATCCCAAATTGCGATAATTCAGCTTTCCAGGGTACCAAAATAAACACCCCAACGATATTAAAATTTTACTTCTATATTTGAAGCAATGAAATAGAGAAATAACAAATTGCAACGGTAATCAAATAAGTCAAACTTAGTAACAGTCAACAACATCAAATTGGAAGGTTGACTTAAAAAAATACGTACATTCTTTTATACTGAATTACATCTCCGTAAGAGCTAGAATCAATAAAAAAAAATGATTAAAGCAGTGAAAAGCGTAGAAATTAAAACCAACAGAAACCCTAACATACCTTTTTGGTTGAATTTAGTGTGCCGAAATGACAATCGGAGTCGTGTAACACGCCGGGAAACTGTAAACTAACTCCGGCGAGCTTTAAGAACTCGTTCAGGAATCTCGTATGTCGATTGTTGAGTTGAATTGAGAGGAAGAAAACAGAAAAAATGATGGATCGATCGGAGGAAGAACAGAGGGAGGAGGTGTTCGGATGTGGTGGAGTGTAGCGAAGAATCTGATGATGTGTTCGGTAGCTGGGTGTGCAGCACCATTTGCCTCCATTCGAAATTACCATATTAACCCTCCTCCCCTATTTCATTCATCAATAAAATAATGGATATAAAAACCCTTTTATATGCCAAGAGAGAAACACCCCTTCTATTTAGAGCATAGCTTTTTTTAAAATTCGCGATGATTATAGATTTTTTATAAATCATATTATAGTATTTGTTTGTTTTTTCAAAATTACCTCTTAATATCTTTGAAATCTGATTTATTCAGATGTTTAGATATTAAAGGCGTTTGTTTTATTTTTAAAATAAGAGCTTTAAAGCTCTAAATGTCCTCTAAAATTTTAAGTGGTAAACGTATCTTTTAATATCTCTTGATCCTAATCCGTCCTCTATCAAATGGTTCTTATTTTGGAGGCTGAAAGAGATTTGTTAACAAAAATTATTTATCTTTTATACTTTTGTAAAAAAACTATTTATCTTTTATATTTTTGCACTAGTTTGACCGATTCAGATTTCAGACTTCAGATGTAAAAACAAACACTTTTACTGATCCAGCTTTCAGACTTCAGAATCATCTCTTATAAATCAGACTTCAACACCTCTTAAAAAACAAATGTCAACAAAAGGGTTAAATTGCATACAAAATCATATGTAGTTTTTATATTAAACGATCAACAAAAGGGTGACCAGACGAGGGTCCATGACCCCGGGTCGAGACAGAAGTCGCATGAATAACATGTGATTTTGTATGTGATTGTAATGTAAAATCACATGTGATTTGACTTTTTTCTTATTCCTTTATTTATTTATTGTTCTCGTATGAACTTGACTCTCTCTTTCTCTCTCTCTCTCTCTCTATATATATATGTTATATTTTAATATATATATATATATACACACACATACACACTTATATAGAGGGGTAGTTCAAACGAGAATGTTATCTAAATAGATAAGAAAATAAGATGATGAATCTTAGTCAATTATTTACTTGAATTATGCTTAAATAAAATTTTCTTAAATATCACCCAAAAGGGCATATGTGTGAATTGTGATAGCATATACCAATATTGAGTTCGCTTTCAAGTAATAAAATGGTAAAAATACCAAGATCGCATCCACAAGGACTGTACTTCAAAGTTTCGAGTATTAAGTTGAGAATACTGATTTCAATTAGAGAAGAAAGAAAATATATTTGAGCGAGTTTGGTGCTTTTAACAACAAAATCTAAATAAGTAACTAAAAAATGGGTAAGTGTGTAAGTTTCACTTAAGACAACTGTACTAACAAAATTGTCAGAAACTTTATGTCACAAAAACTTCTATAAAAATTCCGATCTCTCAAAAGTGAATCTTTATAGATCGTGCCCACAAAGTGCCTATAAAGTCAGCACTGTTGTCGATTTGTCTAAGTTGATAAAAATATAAAGTCCGATTAGTATGAAGATTTATACTCAAATCTCTTTGTGATACAAATCCAGACTAAAGTTTGAACCTTAGCAAATCATGCGAAACCCATATCTATACGTGATTATCAAATACTCAAATATTTGTGCATCACTTAAGTCATATTACGAATCTGCCTATCTCTGGATCTAAGATCTAATATTAACACTTCAAAGTGATCGGCTTATCCACGTTGAGTTTAAATCCCAACTAAAGTGATCAAGTTTAATAGTCTGCAACGACAGCACACCTAAGTGCTACTTACTAGTCTTAAGTTCAACTGACAGCCACACCCAAGTGGTGCTTAGCTAATAAGTAAAATAAAGAGCATAGTAGAAGAATAAAAATACTTAAAAAGTTACTTGCATTAAAATTAAAACAAATAGTGCTGACAGTAGCAACCTGTTGAAAATAAAAGACTTGAATTTAGATTACAATTACAGCTATAAAATCTAAATACAAAGTGTTGGAACTTCTACATTGCTGGAGCTGTCCTGTAATGCTTCACCAAAGCCTCTTATTTATAGGTGGAAGAATGTTGGTCTTTGCCCCATGGATGAAAACATTTTTTAATCTTTTAGTACAAAAAGTGTTTAATATTCATCTCATCCTCTAGAAATCTTCATATCTTTTGCTATCTCCAGATCTTTAATAAATCTTCAAACCACTGTGCTAGTGACTAGATAATAAAAAAAAACACGGTTTTGTTCAAAAGAAACTCGTCGTTGCCCACAGTAGGCACACAATGCGCACATCTGCAGTCCAATATTTAACCAAAAATGGCGCGTCAAACCATCAAAACACAAACTTCTATACTCAACAACTCCAAATAAAAATAAATAAATAAATAAAAGGAAGAAACATAAACACATGTGAAATCTACAATAAATAAAATTAATCTTTCATTTAGTTTTATTATGACATTTAAAATAAGTGTAATTTAAATTTTCATTAAAAATATTTTATTATTTGAAGTAATTTATTTAAGAATTTCTTACATTTTTTATTAAAAAAATTATATATGAAATCCACAATTAATCGACGTTTTTTTCAAAAAAGAAATCGTTAATTTTCATTAAAATATTATACGTGATTCTGATCATAGTAAATTTATGTGGGAAAGTTATCAACATCACATGTGATATTTGTAAATTATGAATTATGTTTTGAGTCAAATGCGATTCTATACATATGAAATGTGTTCTGTTACATATCACATGTGATTTTGTTTCCTCTTTTTTTTTTTTTTTATGTTTGATTTGAATCATTGTTTTCCAGGGTTTAAATCACATGTGATTAAGAAAAAAGAAAGTCAATTCACATGTGATTTTGACGAAAATTATATATTTTTTTTAAACATTGACTTAAATGAAAAAACTAAATTAAGCTTGTTTTAAATGTCATAAATAGAAAATAAATTTTAAATAAAAAATTAAATCACAAAAATAGTAAAAGAACAATTTTAAATACATGTCTTAAATAACTTTTATATAAATAAATGACTTTTATGCCCCTATTTATTCATTTTTGGAAATTTTTACTCTAGACATTGTATAATTAATCATGTGCTTATAATTAAGAGTTTAATCAAATGCGAACTTATAATTTGTGAGATTCGTTAGATCCAATGTGAGCCACTTATTTAAAATAATTTATGTATTTTATTAAATAAATATAAAAAGGTAATTTAATGATAAAAAAAATCTCGTAATGCATTTATTAATTTATTCTTCCCATAAGTAGAAAATCCATAATTCCTCCAAAAAAACATTAATTAATCGTTCACAACGTCTATCCAAATCCTTATACAATATTTTTAGTTGTTTTTCTATTCTTGATGTTATTGTATTACATTTAAGTGAAACAGTATTTTTAACAGTTGTTCACATCATGATACTATAGATTTTTGGTTCTGGGTTCATTGAAGATACTCGACGTATGTTCAAATTTGATTATTGATTTAATTTACAATGTGTATCCAAGTCGTTACACAATATTTTTCAGAGGCCTATAATTTTATTTTTGGTGTTACCTTGTAATCAAAATGAAAGAGGTATGAGTAGAAAAGGGGAATAAATGTATGTTGTTTTTATTCTATTGTGGCATGCAAACCATGAATTGAGAATAAGAAAAAAGTAGACCCCTCCTTTTTGCTTCTTTTATTGGGATGCAATTCATAAAATCAAAAAAGAAAATATAATGATTTCTTATTTTGTTACATCATATTCATATATATATATATATATAGAGGAGCGTTCAAATAAAAGCCACTCAATTTGTATAAACCGTGAAAACCTCATTCAATCAATTATAATTTTTCATTTTGTTCATTTTTTTTTGTAATTATGAGAGGTTGATTAACCATTTTTTTTTGTGTGGAGGGTGTTAATCATGGATATTATCATTTTCATTATTTTAATTTTAGAGAAATACATGAAACAGTTTCATTAAATATGATATGAAACAATTTCATAACCATATATGAAACAAATTCATCAAAAAAAAGTATTATATGAAACAATTTCACAAGATTAAACAATTTCATGAAAATTTTTCATAAGATTAAACAATGAAATCGACGTATGAGGGTGGTCTGCAAGGTTTTCATAAATGAGAGTGGTTTTCATTTGATTGCTCATATATATATATATATATATATATATATATATAAACTTGGGATCACATGAGACCAAAGATTTTTTGTGAGACCCGTAAGATCAATTCTCAACTCTTGGATTAAATCTACAATCTGAACATTCATAATCACAAAAATTGCCACGAGACTTCTCTATAATCACAAAATTGCCGCCATACAACTTTAGACTATTAGATCATTAGCTTATAAAGTTGATCAATGAACATAAATTGTTCTTACAGGTCTNTATAAAGTTGATCAATGAACATAAATTGTTCTTACAGGTCTTAAGAAAAACCCTTGGTCTCACGTGAATCCAACCATATATATATATATATATATATATATATATATATATAGGGAGACTTGGAATCATGTGAGACAAGATTGTTTTCATAAGACACGTGAAACACAATTTTTACACTTCAAACTTTATAGCAAAACATTGTGAAAGTAATCTTCACAATGTTTTTCAAGTGAAGATTTGGTTTTTCTTTACCTTGATAACATTTTGTTGTGAAGTTTCAAGTGTAAAACTCATGTCTCACATGTCTTGCGAAAACAACATTGTCTCTACTTTTGGATCGGTTAAATTTTTTAATCCAACTTAATTTTTATTCAATTGCTTTCAGTACATTCAACTATATTCATCTACTTTTTTTCTTTAAATTTATCTTAATTTTTAAGTTAATTTTAGATTTTTACATACATTTAATCACTTTCACGTATATAAATTTAATACAGTTTTGGTTATGATGATAAAAATAGGTAAATACAGGTAGTTGTTGGATGTATATAATTTTTTGTTCTCATCTTCTCAGATAACTCTTATTCTCGTTGGAACCCAACCCAACCCTATAGGCTGGGTCCCGGGGAAAAGGAGCTTTAAGATGATAAGTGTAAGAGAGGATCTTCACCCTTAGATGCACATTTGAATTAGATGCACCAAATCAATCTCCATATGAAACACGGTTCATGGGTGAGTTTGAAATTAAAGGTGAT